CATGACTGAGGGAAGCAGATAAGGCCCAGCCAGAGGCCCAGCTTCCTGCCAGGGGGAGCCTGGTGATGTCTGGACAGCTTGGAGTATGTCCACAAGCAGAGAGGTCCCCAGCCGTGGATCAAACCCCAGACCTGGCCCTGGACTCAGGCTGTGCCCCAAGCCTGTGAGAGGTCAGCTGGCTGGATGACTGGTGAGAGTGACAAGTGGGCATCACCAGGTCCCTACATAGGTGCCAGGCTGGGACTTCCACGTGGGGTGCAGTGTGTGGGCTGACAGAAATCCACCTGTACCCCAGTATGGGTCTCTCTGTCACATGACAGTCTCGGGCACGTTCACAGTCCTGTGGCTGCATTCAGGGCTTTGAGGCCATTTTTCAGTACAGAGATTTCAGACCGGAGTAATAAATGTTTGGAGAGTGTCCAGTGCGTCCTGCCTGGGTTCTGGCTAGGGTGTGGCGACCCTGGAAAGAACTTTCCTGACTGTAAACTTAGGAAAGCAGAGTGAGGCATGATGTCTGCCTGGCTGAGTTAGCTGGAGGCTGGCGAGTTCTGCTGCTGCAGCCCCCATAGCCTGCAGGGCTGCTGCCCAGAGCCCTGCAGCAGGTTTGCTCTCTTGGAACCCTGGAAACAGCAAGGCAGGGTTCATGAAAGCTTTTGTTTGCAAACATTTTGTTCATAAGTGGAAGAGTTTGGCAAAATTTTGTTTTTGTTTGCAAACTGCAGCAGGAAACAAACTCAACCTCAGCTATGTTCCCTGCACAATCTCAACTGTAGCGATTCTTTCCCCTGTGGCTCTGGTGGAAAAAGAAAGTAAGTCTTTTTTAAAATTAGAGATATAATTTGATTAAATTCAGAAAGGAGCAGGACTGCAGAGATTAGGAAAGATGTTGCCTGGCCCTGGCTGCAGGGCCAGAACTCCGGTGTTAGATGAGATGCTGTGAGGGTGTTTCTCCTTCAGGCAGGGAAGGCAGCACGGCTTCACACAGAGCACCTCTAACTCTGAGTAACCACTATTTAATTTTTGATTTCTAAAATTCTGTCATTTCAAAATATTATGTAATGAATGCTTCAGCATGCAACCTTTTGGAACTGGCAGTTTTCATTTGGCATGATTCACTAGAAATCTATCCACGCTGCTACATGCACGGATAGCTCAGGTTTTCCTCATTGCTGAGTAGTATTGTATGATAAGAGTGTACTGATATAGGGTAAGATAAATAAAGATGGGCATAAAAGAGACAAGGAAAACCATAATTTTAAAATTGTACTTTTAAACCGGAAGTGGTGGCCCACACCTGTAATCCCAGTGCTTGGGACACTGAGGCAAGAAGATTGCTGTAAATTCTAGGCCATCCTGGACTATGTAAGGAGTTTAAGGCCTGCCTGAATTACATAGTGACACTCTGTCTCTAAACACTAACAGAAACAAAAGCGAAAACAAAAACAACAAAATCACACTTTTAAGAAGACTGCAGTTTTGGCACGCAAACCCATTTAAAAAATTCTTAAGGTTCTCAAAAACATAATAAGACTTGACCATTCCCTTTTACCTGCAAATGGGCCTTTCAGCTGTACATAGCTGGCCATCTATTTTGCCTGTAAAATGGACTTTTCCCTGTAGATGAGGTACCACTCTGTCACCTGTGGTGGCTGTCACCAGCAAAAGGCCAATGTCCTTCTTCTGTTTGAATACTGATATCCCCATATACACCCTTTTTTGTGGAGTCAGAGATCAAACCAGGGGCCATGTGCATGCAAGGCAGGAGGAGGTCTGCCACTGAGCCACGTCCCTGGCCCTATACGAGCATTTATAATGGAAGGGAAAAGTCAGTAGACATTTTTCCACGAGTTGTGCCCCTTAGTCACCTTCTCCTGTGCACCAGTTATGAAGCCCATGAAATCCGTTTACCACTGAAAACCCTCCTGATCAAGGGGGGTCGTTCAGGCTCCTGATTAGAAAGACTTGCAGAGACACGATGAACTCAGAGACTGGCAGGCCCTTAACTTCCTCATTCTTTCTAACAACACCTTACCAACCCTTACTTTGTAAGAGAGAGCTGCTGTGGCACTTTGGTGCCAACAATCCCTCTCGGGGCTTTATGTTAAATAAAGCCTGTCCGTACTTCAAGTTTTCTGTTTCTCTTCTTTTATTTCTTACAGTAATACATCTCATCCTCTTACGTACTGTTCTTTCTTAATTTTTTTCTATGTACCTTACACACTAGTCCTAGAAATTCCTCTTCAGTGATGGGGGTTGGCAGACTCATTCTGCAGGTAGAGTGGGCCTAGATTTCCCACCTCCACTCTGGAACCGCCACAGCCCTGTCTGGTGACAGAGTGCTGTTTAACGATTCACCCACTGAAGGGTGTCTGGTTCACTTCCTATTACAACGGTAGCAATTTACCACAGATCCGGTGCCTTAAAACGACCCTAACATAGTCCCTTCCAGTTTTGCATGCCAGCAGCACTAACACCAGCTTGGCCTGTGGTGTCCTTCCTGAAGGAGAATTTGTTTCCTTGCTGGTCTGGTTTCTAGAGGCTGCCCACATCCCTGGGATTGTGGCTCCCTCCCTCTTCTACTTTCAAAGTCAGCAGTGCCACGCCTTCCAATCTCTTTGTGTGTCTGTCTCTGCTCCACTGCTTCTGGCATCTCTTGCTCTGACTTTAATCTCTTGTGTCCCTCACAGAAGAAAACTTGCACCTCCACAGCCTGCGCCTGGATAACTCAGGCAATCTTATTATCTCGCTAGCCTTAACTGAATCCCATCTGGCTGACTCCGTGAGGACAGTCACAGGCAGGCATTCAAATGCACACCTTTTTGGACATGAGGTTGTCTTCTAGAGAGTGGTTTCGGAGGATGACTTACTGCAATCACTCTTTTTGGATGGCTCATACATTTTTGTGTGTGAATGTGCATCCTTGTTCTTTTGGGGTAAACACTCAGGAGTAGAACTAATGGTGCTGTGTGATGATAAAGTCATTATTTCATTTCATGAGAAAGTGCCAAGCTGGTCTCCGAGTGGCTGTAGTATTTTGCATTCCACCACAATATATGAGTGGCCCCTTCTCACTGCACCTCTGTCAGTGTTTGATACGACTGCTATTTTTCCTTTTGCCATCTGAGAGTTGTGTGGTGAGATCTCATTCCATGACTCTGGGGGCCCCGAAAGTGTTTTGTATTTGTTTGCCCTCCATCAAGAGTACAAGAAAAGTTCAGGAAAGTGAACTTATTCACAATTTGGTCAGTTTGGGAAGGCAGCAAGTCCACATGCTGCAAAGCCACAGAGATGCTCCAATTTCTAGAAGGGATAGAACAAAAACTGGGAAATGGGCACACATATGTTTAGCCAGGCTTCAGCCTACCAGAGGGCTGGAATGTTAAAAACCTGATTTTGCTGACATTTCCTTGGTGCCAAGGTAGTTTCAATTCAGCATGAGAAAACTGGGGACACAGCTTAACTTGTGTGTGTGTGTGTGTGTGTGTGTGTGTGTGTGTGTGTGTGTGCGTGTGTGTGTGTGTGGTATTGGGGAGCAAGAGATGCCAGGACCTTGTGTATGCAAAGCAAGAACTCTGCCACTGGGCCACATCCTCGGTGTAACTTTGATAATCCTAGTTTTTAAAGCCCTAGTTCAACCTCGCTATTTCAATTTGCATTTTGCTGATGGATAATGATCCTGAACATTAAGGAATCACCCTTCTCTCTGTATTCCTTGTGTCTCTCAGTCTTTTTCTTTTTCTTTTTTTTTTCAGTACTACAGATTGATCCCAGAGCCTTCTCACTGAGCTACATCCTCAGTTCTGTTTTTATTTTTATTTTTAATTTTAAAACAGGGTCTCACTAAGTCCTAAGTTGCCCAACTGAGTCTGAATTTGTGATCTTCCGGCCTTTACAACCCACCATTTTCCTGTTGTCAACAAGCAGGGTTACTGGCAGGCAGACTCACCTTGGAGCACGAAGAAGGCTTGGTCTCCTAGCTAGGAGACAGTCCTGGGCTGACTCAAAGAGGAAAAGGTGTGTGCTCAGCTTTGACAGAAATGGAGGAGATTCAGTGTCCGGGCGGGCATCAGAGTGCGAGGAGGTAGCGCTCTACTTGAACCCACCCGCTTCTACTTGAACCCACCCGCTTCTCCCTCAAGCTCTTTCTCACTCAAGTCTCATTTCTACTTTAAGCCTCTGTACCCCGAGCATGATTTTTGCTGTGCTCACGGAGGTCACTCACATCTACTCGTCAGCCTTCACCATACCACTCAGAACTGGCCCCGAATCCTCTGAGAAAGTGCCTGCCTTGCTTTTAGAGCTGGGCAGACCCCTTCTTGCCTCCCTTGGCTCCAGGCCAACAACCCTGTTTCTCTGGCCTCTGATTTCTTGGCATCTTTGCTGATGACAGGGTCTTTGAAGGCTGTGCTGACTTTTTACCCTCTTGTTTCCTATGTTAATTTTATACACTAAAGGTTGATTACTTGAAGCTTGGTTTGCTTTTCCTTTTCTTTTGCCTTCTAAGACTGGGGATTGAACCTAGAGCCTTTGCACTGAACTAAGCCCCAGCTTAAAAATATTTTTTTGTTGAACAAGGTCTCCTTAAATCCCTAAATTGCCCGGGGCTGGGCATGACTTAGCATTCTCCTGCCTCAGCCTCCCAGAGTGCTGATTAGAGGCTTAGGCCACAGGGCTGACTGACTGGTTGTCCCTATGCATGCGTCAGTGCCATGAGACCAGGGCTGACAGGACAGCTCCACAGGAGAGGAAGCTTTTGAGAAAGGTCTGTGCCGATCAGAGCCAGGGATCTCCTGGGGGGCGGCAGGTGTCGGGGTCATCTCTGGCAGGACACAGGCAGGACACAGGGGCTGCCCGGGATGCTCCCCACAAATGAGGCTGGGGCTGGAGACCTCAGGGCTGGGAGCACAATCGCGCCCCGGGCTCCTCCCCTAGGGGGCGCAGCCGCCTCCGGGCAGAGCCCGCTTTCCGCCTCCAGCGAACCCCGGGGTGCACGGGCCGCCAGGAGGGGGCGACACTGGGGCCACACAGAGGCGACTCGAGGCCTGGAGGTGCCATGGCGTCCCGCGTCGCTGGCTGCCTGCGCCTGCTCGTCTGGCTGCTGCTTCTGCGGCCCCAGCTCAACGCAGACCCCGGGGACGGCGTGATGACCCCCTCCCCAAGTGGGCCGGGGACGACCGTAGGGGCGGAGAAACAGAAAGTAGACCCCCTTCCCAAAGGTGAGGTCCCTGTCCCTGTTTCTGAGGGAGCAGGGGTAGAGCAGGAGCTCAGGGAGGATGGGCGGCGGGGCGGGGCTGAGGTCGGGGGTGGGGTGGGGTCTTGGGGTCATTGAGGTGCCCTGAGCCTTTGAGGAGAGGGGACGCGGCCTTGAGCCCTGTCCCTTTACTGACCTGCCGCAGCCTGTGGCCAGAGGAGGATTGTCGGGGGACAGCCAGCAGCAGAGCGGAAGTGGCCCTGGCAGGTCGGCCTGCTGGCTTCGGGCAAATTCGTCTGCGGGGGCTCCCTCATCAGCAGCCGCTGGGTTCTGACTGCAGCCCACTGTATCTTCGAGTGAGTGTTTGGGGCGGGACCTGGCTTGGAACTCTTGTGTGACCTGGGACCAGTCCTATCCCTTTCCCAGAGTTGTTTTTCCCCGTCTGCTTAAGGTGTGTTCCCAGGAGAACCACCAGCCACAGTGTGGTGGTCCAGGAGAGGAGGAGGCTGGGAGGGCAGAGGAAGGTGGAGCCAGACTGGTGGCGCCAAGAGGCGTGGTAGGAGACGCGTGTAGCCCTTGGACTCCCTCTGCAGCTTTGCAGAGTACACCGTGAGGCTTGGAGACATAGACCTGAAAAGTAAAGCCCCAACAGTCGTGGAAGTTCCAGCCAAAGACATTGTTATGCACCAAACTTACACTCGCGTTGGAGGAGTCTTTGACGACGTCGCCCTGGTGCTGCTGTCCATCCCTGTGAATTACTCCACACACATCCAGCCCGTGTGTCTTCCCATCAGGACCTTCCAGTTACAAGTTGGTACAGAGTGCTGGGTGACCGGATGGGGCAAAAGATCTGAAAATGGTAAGCCAGGAAGCCAGGAGGTAGAGATCCCAGGGCTGGGAGGGGGCTTCCCAGTGGCCTGGGCGTGTGGCTTGAGTTAGGGGGAGGCAGGCTTTCTAGCAGGGTGTACAGAACAACAGCAGAACTCTAGGTGAATTTGTGTTGGTGTCTCAGGCCTGGGGATCCGAGTCCCCAGCTTGGTGGGCCCTCTGAGGGTGATGAGCTGTCACCCAGTTGAAGCTGTGCCTCCCTAGAAGCACCTGCCTTGGTACACAGGGCACTTCCTGTTTGTCAGAAGAGGCCAGGCAGCTCCTAGTGGGACTCTAGGGGTCCCCTTTTCATTTGGTAGCTTCAGGGCACCAGGTGGCTATGGGTGTGTGACCCTGCTCTGGAAAGGAAAGATGCTACCCCGAATCTCAGGGCACCCTGTCACCTGTCCTTGCAGTACTTGGGTGACAAGTGCTTGCTTGGTTATTGTTTCCCAGAAGGCAAACTTGCTTCCCTGCCCTGGGCTGCTCTCAGTTCTGCTGCCTTGGTTTGGAGCTTACTACCCTCTATACACAGGGACTCGCTTCCTTCAGGGTCCAATGGGGACTGGAGACATTAGGGAGAGGACACTCATGTGTGGAGACTGTATTGATACCCAGAGCAGGTGGCAGCTCCTCTCGCCCTGTCACACAGATGCATTTATTCTTGAATTCTCTTTCCACAGAACCAAAAGCAAATGCCACGCATTTGCTTCAGGAGGTAAATGTGAACATAGTTGAACATAACAAATGTAACGAGTTACTCAAGAAAGGGACCAAGTCGTCCAGCAATGCAATCAACGAAGGGGGCCTCTGTGCTTATGGCGAAGGAAAGGACTCCTGCCAGGTGAGTTCAGGGGCCCCTTGCTGAAGTGCACTGTGGTTGTCCCCTCAAAATCTATTTTCCTAAGCAATAGGGCCTGACCCATCTCCAGCCACCACATTTACCCTTATTCAGATGAAGGGGATGCAAGGACAAGTCTCTCCTGGGTAGCCTGGTGCCATGGTCCCGGGGTTATACCCATTGCATGCCATGTGTGAGGGAGGCGGTGGGTAGCAGAGGGGGAGCTCCGGCTCCTGTTTACCGCCCTGCTCCGGCACACGTGGTGTGCTTGGGTGAGCAGTTCAGTGCTTGTCTTCCTCTTATCTTGGGTCCATTTGTTCAGTACTTTGGACAACAGAACTTTTGGTTAGTTATCAAAAATCAGTTTTGATTTGTTAATAAGGTGGCATTGGGACATCTCATCATAGCGACAGGACCCCATGGTGGCACGAGTCTGGGGAAGCCCCATGTGTGCCCGATGCCACACCCCATGGGGCACCAATATGCTCTGACACCAATTTGTGTTGTTTCTTTGCTTTTGCCAGGGAGACTCTGGGGGCCCTCTTGTCTGTGAATTCAACAATATATGGATGCAGTTCGGTGTTGTGAGCTGGGGCATTGGCTGTGGCAGAAAAACTCCAGGAGTCTATTCAGATGTCCGTTTCTATAGGGACTGGATTCTGAGACAGCTCAGTCGGTCCCCATGCAGAGACACAGCAGGCCTCCTCATTCCATGCCTGTGTCTGCTGCTGCACCTGGCATTCTGGTGACTCTTGTCACCCTGCCTGCTCCCCCCTGGTTCTGTGTCTCTCCCAGCTCTCTCCTCTGACCTCCTTTTCTTCTGCTGTCCTGTGTTCAAGTTCTGCTTTGATTTACTGCCTCTGGAGAACCCACAATGGACCAAAGCAGGGAGTTGGGGCCTGCTAAAGGTCCTGGCCCCATGTGCTGGTCACCTGCTTCTGCCATTTGTACTGCAGGCTGAGCTGTGCCTAAGGGAAGGGGGTGAGGCCTGGCCAAAGGCCCAGCATCTTTCCAGGAGGAGCCTGATGACACCCAGACATCTTGGAGAACATCTGTAAGCAGAGACGTCCCCAGCCGTGGAGCCAGCCCTAGCCCTGGCCTAGTGTCAGGCTGTGCCCTGAGCCTGTGTGAGGCCGGCAAGCTGGGTGACTGATGAATGTCACCAAGTCCTTGCACAAGTGCCAGACTGGGACTTCAACATGGTGTCCAGGCTAGCAGAAGTCCCCTGTACCCTTGTGTGGGTCCTTCTATTGGTGGACAGCCTCATGCACACTTCTGATTTTTGTGGTTGCAACCAGTGACACCCCAGGTTGTGTGGAGGCTGTTCTGGAGTGTGGAGATTTCAGAGTGCACTGAATAAATGTTTGTATAATGTTCTGTGTGATCACCTTTCTGCTCCCCTTCGTGGTGATGGTACAGAATGTACTCTGTGCAGGACTCTTTTTCCCCCGTAGATAAGGAAACTACACTGACTGTACTTATTCACCCCCAGAAAACGTGGGGAGGTTGCATCCCCTCAGACAGGAATCCAGGGCTTGGATAAGTGTTCTTGCTCCTTGTGTGCCTGGCTTAGTTAGCAATACTCATGCAGGAACTCTGTATTTAACACCTGCTTCTAACCTCTCCTAGCAGATTAAGAGAGGAGCTTGGTGCAGGCGTGAAGCTGGAGTGTATGAAATATTATTCTCCTTTCCGTGCAGCCCACTGTGCTTCTCAAGTTCTGGTTACACAGGGAGGGGGATGACAGCCATTCCCTAGACTGTATGCGGGTGTCCTCCCTCCTGCAGGCCACAGATCTGCAATGGTCCATGTGATCCACCCCTCCGATTCTCCTGCCTGCAATGCCTTGGGGGTCAGCACTTCACCCCAGCATCAGTGGGCTTCCACGTGTCAGTTTGATCAATCTGCCAAGAGTGGCTCTCATACCGGATCTTTTACTATAGCACCCACTGCTTTGGGAAAGTGCTGGCTCTCCGTGGCAAAACCCATTTAAACTTCTTTTGCTTGGAATCTATTTGCTAGAACTTCTTCCTGGAACATCTAAGTGCTACAGCAGTTGGGGCCCTTGGTTCGCAGGTTGCTTTTCTTGGTCGTATGGGCCATTCTTAGCATTGCAGTTCAGGCTTTTCACTCTTTCACTTAAGAACACAGGTTCTACCTTCGAAGTTTCCATCTTATAGGTGGGGGTGGGCCTAGGAAGGTGACTTTTTAAACAAGTTCTCTGGTGCTGGCCCAGAGACCTTAACTTCAGAACTAATGCCTTGCATTCCCAGGAATAGAAAGGACTGTTTCTCTTGACTGCAGTAGCCGATTGGCACGTCGGTGCGTGGGTCGCTTAGGTTGGGAAGGGTCCTCATAGTTCTGTACTATGTGGGGGAAACAGGCACCTTGATCCTCTTCCCATCCCTGTCATGTCCTGAAGATTCAAACGGACACCCGACACAACCACCACGGAAGGGGACAAATGCCTCTCCCATCTCAGGTCACCCCCAGGATGCCTTGGTTAGTTTTAGGCTCTGCTCAAGGAGGTATCTCTCATGTTTTGACCCAGGTTCTGGGGTTACCTCACACACGGGTATAGGGGTGCACCTCGAGGTGCTTTTGCGCGGCCTGTGACACGGAACAACCACAGAGCCAGAGATCCAGGGTTACTGAGGTACAAGACATGGCCGGATGCGTGGCGTTGCCTGTGCGCAGGCGCGCAGCCTCGAATGCGGTAGTGCCCCAGCGTGCGTCATGTGCTCTGCGTGCGTCACGTGCCAGGCATGCGTGCGTCACGTGCCCAGTGTGCGTGCGTCGCATGCTGGGCGCTGAGAGGCTGCGAGGCGCTGAGGAGCTCCGGGGTGGGTGAGCCACATGGCGCCTTCACCACGCGGTCCAGGCGCAGAGCCCTCGGGGCCTTGGGTCCTGAGTTGTCGCCTGCTGCTGCTCCTGGCGTGGTTGCCGCTGAGCTCACCAAGCTCGGGTGAGGTGGCCAGCTTGCCCCTTCCTTGCGCCCCCCTGCCCAGCCCCGGCCTGTCCAGCGCTGGCCTCACTTGCTGCCATCCCCACGCCACCGTTGCTGTCCTCGGTTCCCTTCCTGGGGCCCCTGCACTGAGGAGCACCCAGTCCTTTCCCTGCCGCGTTCCCGCAGCGCCCCCTGTGGGGCGGCGTTCAGCGCCGCGTGCCCCGCACCTCAGGAATAACTGGCCAGAGCCTACCTGCCTCTAGCATAGGCTCGCAGGGGCTGGGTCCTTCCAGAAGGACCAGAGTGGCATGGTCACCTCCTGCGCAGGCTGGACCTGCAGTCGCACTCTGAATGCTACACCCCTCCCCACCTCCTCCCCCATTTTTGTCTTCTGTGACCTTATATGCTACAGGGGAACCCCCTTTTCTGCTCCATCCAGGCCATTCATTGTGCTGTAGCTGACACACACACACGTTTTCTGAGCTGCTGGTTGGACCCTGCTCCTTCCCTGTTCACTGCTCTCTGGAGGAACGCATTGCCCTGAGCATTGGGGTGCCACTTGTGTGGGTACTTCAGAACATAGCAGGCCTGGATGTGCAGGCTCCTGCAAGATGTCCCTACTTCAGACCTCATCTTCCTACAAAACAACTTCTTTCACTCTGTTCTCCAACTCCATGGATGGCAGCTACTCTTCTCCATACCCAGAAACTAGTGTCACCCTGGCCTGCTTGTGTCCCTACATCTCATACGCATCTCACCTCTGTCTTGAACTATTTCCTTATTCAGACCTCACTTCTTACCTGGATTCTGGGGTGCCTCTGGTGGACCTCTTGTCACCATTCTGTCTGTTTTCTGTGGCCTGACCCTGTCTCACCTCTGTCGGCTTTCCAGAAGATCAAGATTTCCCCAGCTTCTTGGACTGGCTAATGAGGCCCTTCATGGTTGTCGCCTCATTCCCCTCCCTGCTATTGTCTGTCACTACCATAGGCCTTGCTTTTATCCCTTGAAGTCTCCAGCAGACCCCACAATTATTTCTTCTGCAAGGAGTATCTTCTTCTTGTCATCTCCCTCCCCTACTCTTCTTTTCTTTTCTTTTTTTTTTTAGTACTGGAAGTTAAACTCAGCACCTTCACATAGAGCTACATCCTTAACCCCCTTTTTAATTCTTTATTTTGAAACAGCATCTCACTAAATTGCCCAGGCTGAGCTTAAATTTGTTGTCCTCCTGTATCAGCCTCCCTGAGTGCTGGGATGGTGCGCACCACCTTGTCCAGATCCCATTTTTCATTTACGTTTTACTTTCTTATCTTTAAGACCTGGGCCTGTAACTTCCTCTCCTACGTCTCTTCTGTCCATCCCCTTTTTGGGCTTACCTGTCACTGGTAGCCCTGTTGCTGCGTGTACCTTGCCCAGGTGACTGTGTATTTATGTCTGTTACCCCTCCCTGGGCCGTGTATCTTCCTAGCTTCTAGCTCCAGTCTGGGGTCGTGGTGGGAGATGAGGAAATATTTGGTGAATGAATGAATACGATGAAAAATGCACTCTTTGCTGCCTTCCTGTCACAAGTTCTTGCTTTTACACTGTCTCCATTTTGTCCTCCAGGTTTCAAAGAGAACAAAACCATGCCAGGTAGGTTCATGGGCCCTACTAGGCTTGTGAGAGAGTGACGGCATTCTTGGTGGGTCGGTCCCAGCAGGCCTGGCTTCTGAAGAACAGCCTGTAGCCTCCAGGGATGAGAGGCAGGTGAAGCCAGTCTCTGGTGAAGTCTTACAGTCCCTGGCCAAATTCAGCCCAGGCCAAAGCCTAGGAGGGGAGTGTCTGGGAGCCCGAAGCAGACCCTTCCTTTCATCCTTCTGTGTTCTAAGTGTTGTGTTGCAGATGGAGCCCTGAGTTCTGGGGCTCCATCTGCATAACCCGGCTCTTAGGTTTCTTGTCTTTTTCCTTCAGGCTCAAAGTCAGAGGTTGGGCTGCTCCTGCCCTTGATTCTTGGGCTTCCATCATCCTGGGCTCCATCCTGCTAGGCTCCACCCTGATTCAGTTCTGATTGTTTAGTTTTACCTTTGTGGTTTGTGTTTTAAGAGTCCTTAAGGAGTTTTGTTTAAGAAGTCCTTTCCCATGTGTGTCACACTGGTCTGCTAACTTTATAGTTTTACCTTTCCATTTAGATCTTCAAGTACTGTTAGCGAGGGATCCAGTTTTGCTTTCCTTAAGTTTTCTTCTAGTGAGCCAGTTTCCCAACACTGCTCAACAGATCTTTACTCAGTGATTTGGGGGACTCTCTTATTTACATCAAGGTCCTGTATTACATGGATCCATCAAGCCCTTTGACCTTGTGTCGGTTTGTGCTGTTTTGATGATTTCGGCCTTCATGTATGTATGAATGTCTGCACCACACAAGGGGCCCTTCTTTGCTGTGCTTTCTCAAAGACAGCACCAGGTATGGTGTCGTACTCCTGTATTCCTAGCACTTGGGATGCTGAGGCAGGATGATCTTTGTGAGTTCAAGGCTGGCCTGGGCTACAAAGTGAGCTCAAGGCCAGTCTTGACTATATAGTAAGACCCTATCTCAAAAAGAGAAAAAAAAACCAATTCAATCAAAGACTGAGCTCCTCATGCACTTTGCTTTGCTATGTCAATTTTTGGGCAAGTTTATCAAGACTTAAAACTTCTAACATTGTTTCCCTCTCTAATATAGAAAGGATAAAAATACACGTTAAGATTCATGCATGTGTAGAACCTATAAGCAGCTTATGAGAACTGATCTTACAAAACACAATAAAATGAACAAATACTTTGAAGTAAAAAAGACACTACAGTAATTAGTGCTGATCCCGGAGTGTCATGAGGTGAAATACAGCAATACTATTATTCTTTGTCCAGAGTGATTTTAGTCTGCTTTGGTTTGTTTAATCTCAACATAAATGAAGATATAGATAACTGCATATATGTTTAAGGGTATAAGATTGATAACCATATTACTAAATTTTTGTTAGGTAGTTGAACTATTTGCAATATCGCTGTTTGAATTTCCACTCATATGTTCCACTTTTGTATCTTGAACAATTATTTATAAGAGGACAACATGTAAACATCAACTAGTGATTTATTACTTTTTTTTTACTTTTTCTTTGAAAGTATGTATTGTATCTACCTGTTTACTATTTTGTTTAGTTTTTCTTTAAATTAAAAAAAAGTCTCAAAAAAAACTAACATTGAAAAATGAGTTTAGGGGCTGGGGATTTAGCTCAGCGGCATAAGCACCTGCCTTGCAAGCAGGCAGCCATCAGTTCGATCCCCGGTACCGGTAAAAAGGAAAAAGACCAAAAAAAAAAAAAAAAAAGGAGTTTATAGATGAATTCTAGGAAGAAAATTGCATTGAATCATTTTATTTTATTTTATTTTATTTTGGTACTAGGGATTGAACTCATGACCTCATGCTTGCCAGGCAGGCACTTAGGCCAGTGAGCTAAATCCCCAACCCCTTGAGTCATTTTATTTAAGAGTAAGGACTGTCTCTCCATCTGGGTTATTTCCTGTGTTTTTCATTGGAGTTTTAAATTAGTTATGTTTAGTGTTAATTTCTGTGTACTTTACAATTTTTTTGCTTCTGAAAGTATAACCTGAGTATATTTTCTAGTTGGTTGTGATGAGTTAGAGAAATACTAGTGATTTTAAAAGTAAATTGTTTCATCAGGCCTGGTGGTGCACCCCTGTAATCCTGGCACTTGGGAGGCTGAGGCAGGAGAATTGTGAGTTAAAGATCTACCTGAGCTATAAACTGAGCTCAAGCAGCCTAAACTGCATAATGAGACCCTGTCTCAAAAAAAAAAAAATTTCATTGAATTATGTTATTTTACACAGTGTACAAACTATAAGTGTCTAGCTCCCCGGAACTGTCACACAGTAGACAAACTTGTGTTCCACACAGATTAGTGCAGTATTCTTTTTTTTTTTTTTTAATCGGTACCGGGGATCGAACTCACGACTGCCTGCTTGCAAGGCAGGCGCTTATGCCACTGAGCTAAATCCCCAGCCCTAGTGCAGTATTCTTATCCTGGTGTCTGACATTGAGATTATTTTTGTTCTTTAATGTCACATAATATTTGCTGTAGGCATATAATGCGTAACTATTTTAAAATTAAGCGTTTCTTTTTCAGTCTGGTAAGTAAAGTTGTAAATATGTGTTAACTTTTTCAGATGCCTTATTCTGTGTCTGTTGAGCAGAGGACATGGTTTTTGTCCCTCTCAGTTGCTAGAACTGTTGGGGAAATGCCTGGGAGCTCTCACTGTGGGCCACCCTTGCATTCCAGGAAGGTCCCACATGAGTTTGGATTGTTGTTTTTCAGAGTATGATATTGGCTAATATTTCATCTGGAATTTCTGTATCTGTGTTAATTCATAAATTCATGCAGATGTCCAGCTTGACTAATAGACAATGTGCAAGCCAAGAGTTGTGACCTGTGAGCTCATGTGTCCAGGGGTCTCGTGGACCCTGGTGCTACAGGCTCCAGATGCTCACTGCAATGACTTCTAGAATAGAAGTCAGGAGCTCTTCTGGACTCTGAGCAGTGGGTGGCATTCACAGGAAAGAGACATAGCAAGCGTTATAGCTTTTCAGGGGCAAGGTGCATGTTCTGCAAGGTGACGTAGGATGTGCATGTTCTGAGCTTGGGACTTCTCTGTTTCTCCCTTGTTAGCGTCCTGGCTGGATGCTCTCTGTGAATCTCAGCATCTCTCTCATCTTGATGCTTTATCTCTGTCATTGTCACTTTCTGCCTGTAACCACTGCCCTTTCAGAGCACTCTTAGTCTGCCCCATCTCTGAAATGAGACAAGCCCCTGCTTTTATATCTCTGTGTGACTTGGCCCCGGAGGGCACCCTGGTCCCAATTATTCTCATCCCTCTCTGTGGTCCCTCTGTCCCTCTGGCATGCTTGTTCACAAAGACTGTAGTGAGCCCTGGTGGTCATCAGAACTGGACAAGATTCGCCGCCACTGGCCCTGGGAGGCCAGTGTCCGGACAGACAATGTGCACGTGTGTGGAGGGGCCCTCATTGCCTCCATCTGGGTGGTGACTGCTGCCCACTGCATCCAAAGGTGAGTATGGCCATGCACCCAAAGCCAGCAGACCCAGAGCTGTGATGGGCCAGGCCAGGCTCTCTCATTTCTCTCTGAACCTGGGAGGTCTGGTGGGGAAGAATGGGAGGTAGAGTCATGCTCTCACTCTCACAGCGGGCAGGGACTGAGCCCGGGCAGGAGTTCTGAGCAGCAAAGCTAGGGCAACAGAAAAACCAGAGCATCTGCCCGCCCTCCCCAGAGCATCTGTGTACATCAAGACCCACATACGTGCGACAGCAGACATGCAAGGCCTCTTTGAATCTGCCTGGAGGAGACAGCGCTTAGACTTTGAGGGTCCCCAGGGGGGATGAGGGAAGTTGTCGAGCAGACTGGGTACACCTTCTGATAAGGGAGGCCAGATCCTTGGGCAAGGCAAGTGCGTGCTTGTGTGGGAAGCTAGTGTGTACCAGTGGGGCTCTGTGTTTCCTGCAGCAACAAAGAGTACTCAGTGGTGCTCGGCACCTCCCAGCTGCAGCCCTCAAGCCCCAGCAGGATCTTCTCGGTCCCTGTGAAGGACATCATTATACATCCCAAGTACTGGGGCCGAACCTTCATAGTGGGCGACATTGCTCTTCTTCGTCTTCCTACTCCCATCATCTTCAGCAAGTACGTGCAGCCCGTCTGCCTCCCGGGACCCACCTTTGACCTGAAAGTGGGGACACAGTGCTGGGTGACTGGCTGGGGCCAGGCCAAGCAGCGCTTCTCAGGTGAGTGGGGCAGGATGGGGGCCACTTCTTTCCTGCAACATCTTTCCTACTGGCTTCCTCATGGCACCACTCAGGAAGGCCGTGGCTGTCACCATGCTGTGAATGCCTTATGACTATTCATGTGGTGATCATTGCCATTGTCGTGCAGACAACAAGCTTGGCACAATCACCTGCTTCTTAAAGTAACTCAGAGCCAGGAGTTCCTAAGTTTACTTTGAGCATCTGCCACATTCTGAGCCCTTGACACTGGAAAACTTGGTGTTCCAGGAAGGAAGTTGCGATGAGGGAAGGGATGGGATGCAGACTAAGAAGGAAAGCACAGAGAACTCAGATCTTAGCATGGAGCTGCGGTGGAGCTGGGCTGAGCTCCGGGCAGAGTAACAGCCTGAACTGGCAGAGGGAGGTGCGAGTGCTAACTGGGGGGCAGAGGGAAGGGCCACCGTATACCAAGGTCACCCCGGAGAGAAACAGCACGTGGCAGACCTGGGTCCTCCCTTGGCTGCTCTGGAGCTTCATGCTGGTCTGCTTGGTTCAACAGCAAAAGCTTTCCGGAGAAGGGGACCCCAAGCTAAAGTCTTACAGGGAGAGGAACTTAGACCAGTTCTACCCTGCTGGGGCAGGAGGGACCAGGTAAAGGAGGGCCCAGACATGTGACACAGTTTGATGCGGCTACATTTTGAAGTGACAGGACCCTAAGCAAAGATAGGGGTGTTATTGCTTACCCTGCTGAGCTCTTCCACAGCCAACTCCACACTGAGCTCAGACCTGCAGGAGGCTGAGGTGTTCATCATGGACAACCATCGGTGTGACAAGATTTACCGCAAGCAGTCCCTCTTACCCTATGTTGCCCACCTCGTCCTGGGAAGCATGGTTTGTGCTACCAGTTATGGAGAAAATTTGTGCAATGTAAGTTGTAGATGTTCTGGCAGCTCTTCTGCTGGGAACAACTCTGGCGTGGCGGCCAGTTCTGGAGCAGGCTTTCTGTGACTTACCTCTCTGTTACCATCACTAGACTCTGCTCTTGTCCTCCTTCCTTGGTGAGTTTGACCTTGGCTCTTACTCTGGGCAGAGTCCCCAGTGAGGAACCAAAGAAAGCCCAACTAAGGGAGACCCTTGAGCAGTGTCTTGTAAGCAGCACTCCAGGTGGGGATCTGGGTTCCCAGGGGCCCAGCAGAGCCCCCTCCTCACTCTTCTTTCTTTGTCTAGGGGGACTCTGGGGGACCACTGGTTTGTGAAGTCGAGGGCAAATGGATTCTGGCAGGGGTGTTGTCCTGGGAGAAGGCTTGCGCCAAAGCAAAAAATCCAAGCGTTTTCGCCCGCATCACCAAATACACCCAGTGGATCAAGAAGCAGATGAACAATGATGTGCTCTCAGTTCCCAGCTCTGCCTCCTCCTGGCTCCTGTCCCCATTCTGGCTGTTTCTCCCCACCTTACCCTTGGTGTTTTGCCTATGCTGAATGGCACAGAAAGATATGTAAATACATGGATGGAGGAGAGAAAAAAAATTATACTTTTTAAAAATAAACATGAAAAAACATTTTTCAGTCCAAAAATTAAAACAGCAGTGATACAGTTCCATTACTGGATGATCAAAAATTTAAAAGATCAGTGATACTATTTTTGGAGGTTTAACCCAGGTCATGTGTTCACTCTTAGCAAGGGTCAGGCTGGGGAAGGGAGTGGCCCCAGGGGACTGAGTCGTACTTTGGCATCCCAGCAAGGATAGGTGTGGTGGATGGCTAGGCCTTGGATGACCAGAAGAAAGGGAGAATGGGTCAGAGGGCTCCAGAATCTGGGACTAGGATAGCAGAGATTAAATTTGTGTAAATAGGAGCTGACTGGGGTTTTTTTTTTTGTATTCCCTGGAGTGACCCTCAGGTATGTGGGTGAGGGGAGGGCAGGACCTCGTGGAATTAATTCTGCCAGGAGGCTCTGCAGGGTCAGGGGTGTGATATTATTTGCTTTTTCTCTAGTGCTAGGGCATGAGAAAGGGGCCTGGGTTTAAGTGGAGGTCCTGTATGGGGACAGTCAAAAAATGTTCTGCAGGAGGACAATACGATCAGCCCACAGAGAGCGTTCCCAATGCAGTTTGCTTGCTTGCTCATTCTGTTGCTCACTGTTTTAAGTTTATTATAAAACACTGCATGTTCACCGTAAAAAACTAGAAAGCATTAAAACCTAAAGAAAAGAAATACCCATGGGGTATTGGAGGTACCCACTCTTCATTTCAGTGAATTTCCTTCTGCAGTTTTATTCTTAAAAAATAAAACAGTGTATGTAATATCTCAATACATTCTTGTTGTGATTTACTTAAATTACCAAAAAAGTATATATATATACCCCCCCATCTGCCTCCACCACCAATCTTGCTACCCTCCCGGAAGTAGTTTATAATTAACATCCTTAAAAATGTATAATTTTAAAAATAAATGACACCTTTTACATGTGTTATTAATAATCCACATTTTGAAAAAGCATGTGACTTGAAAACCTTTCTCATGTGGCATTATTCTGTGTATTGCGTATGGTTTAGCCAGCAGCAGTTCTGGGTGGCTCCGACTTGGGACCTTGCAGCAGCATTCCAGGAATACACTCCTTGTGTGTGCAGAGCGCTTCTCAGTGCTGCATGGACTCCGTCACATCCACCTCTCCCCTCCCTGGAACTAGCTGATCACTCTGTATGTGACAGGAAATGTTTCTCTTTTTGCTAAAAATAATATTACTAATCTTTTAAACTTTTGTTCATCTAATAATGGAATTGTATCATTGATGTTTTAGTTTTATGATCAAAAAATGTCTTTTCATATGTTTATTTTTAAAAAGTGTACTTTTTTCTCTAGTTACTCCTCTGTCTATATATCTTTTTTTTTTTTTTTTTTTTTTTTTTTTTTTGGTCTTTTTGAGACAGGGTCTCACTATGCAGTTCAGGCTGGTCTTTAGCTCACTTTGTAGCCCAGGCTGGTCTCGAACTCGCAAGGATCCTCCTGCCTCAGCCTCCTGAGTGCTGGGATTACAGGCATGAGCCACCACGCCCAGCTTGTCCATATATCTTTTCCTTGTGGAACACCATTATTTTTTCTGAATATTAAGGTTTTGTATATTTTCTTGCAAATATTTTTCCAGTGAGCCACTTTAAAAATGCATACAAAAGTAGGTAATGTTATCATAAAGGCTTTTAAAACTATTTTTTTTGTCATTTTCCTTTTTATTGGTACTGGGGATCAAACTCACGACTGCCTGCTTGCAAGGCAGACCCTTATGCTGCTGAGCTAAAACTATTGTTAAATCATGGGTCTTTTGTCCATGGGTCTTTTACCTTGTTAGGATAGTTTTCTCCAGATTTTTCAGGTTGTAAAAGCTATTTTCTCATATTTCTTTTACATTTGAATAATTTTACATTTAAGTCTAATCCAGTTTTTATATATGGTGTGAAGTGGGAATTAACTATTAACAACCAGAGAACCAATTTTGTTGACATAGTTTCTTACAAAGTCTATCCTATTCAAGTGTGAATTTGATCTTAGACACTTAGAATAATTATCCCTCCATGTATTCTTGAGTGTATGAATTTAAAATCCCTATTATTTTTCCATTGATCTGATTGTATGTCCTGGTTTAGTGCTGAACTCTTTCACCTTTTTTATATTTTCTTAAATGATAGCAAACACTTTTCTCTTTTTGGACAAAATATTTTCTATATAAATTTTGGAATCACTTCATCAAATCATTAAAAATGCTATTGGCATCTGACTGGAATTAAATAGCCAGATTAATCCGGGAAGAATTGATTCTTCTATAGTGTTGAAGTCCTGACAGGATGTGCAATGTTTCCTTTTAAGGTCAGAAATTCTGTCTTTTCAGTGGTTTTTCAGTCTTGTCCATGGTTGTCTGGGAAAATATTAAGCTTATTTCTAAGTAATTTGCAAATTTTGGTTATATTGTGAATGGTATCTTTTCTCATTATATTTTTGCTAATCATAAATCTGATGTCGTAAAGATGTTTGATAGATTTTTCTTTTCTAAAATCATAATGGTGTTCAATCCCTGGCACCAAAAGAAAACAATTAATTAAAAAGATAAAATCATTGTGGTTTTGATTCTTGGCTGTCTTCCCAAGCACCTTCATTTGGTTGTCATGGTCCACGTTGTTGTGCTGGTGACCAAACTTGGGTCTCACACGTGCTAAGTAGATGCTGTACCCATGAGCTATGCTCTCAGTCCCTGAGACTATCTTTTTAGTTCAAAAAGTTTTTGGTCAATTCTCTTGGCTTTGAACACTTAAAAGTCTCTAAAATGGTGACAGCTTCAACTTGTGCTTTCCAATCACGAAGCCATTTACTTCTGTTACGTCATTGGCTGAGACCTTCAGCAAAAATACAAGACAGGAGTGATGATGGTGGGGACATATGGTGGTTTTGGTGTCTTTCATCCCTCCATCCCACAGGAATTACTTAAATCTTTGTGTCAGAGACTTTGGGGCCATGGTGATGAAATAATATCTGAATGATTTTTTGATGGTTACTTAATTTATTCACATACTGAATTACACTAGTAGAATAGTAGTATTTACAGGTCAGTTCTGTAATACACCGTGCATCCAATTGCTGGCATTTTACTGAGACTTTGTACCCCACTGTTGGAGCTGACCTGCTGTTCTGCTTCTTGTTCTCTCTCTGTTCAGGTGTGGGGTCATTGCTATCCTAGCTGCTCAAAACATGTGGAGAAGCTTTCTAGCATTTCTCTGTGCCCTAGAGTACTTTACATGACACAGCTTTCTTGTTCCTTAGGTTTGGCAGTTGTGCATACAAAACTTCTGGGTCTAAATGACATTTTTAAGGGACAGATCTTCAAGCCTTGTCTGGTTTCCTACCTTGTTTTTAGCTAGTGTAGGTCTGTTTTCTTAGAAAATTTTCCTTTTTTTGATACCAGGGATCAAACTCAGGACTTCGCACTTGCCAGGCAGGTGCTTATGCTGCTGAACTACATCCTTGGCCTGAAAAACTGCTTAATTTAGCCTAGATTTATACATTTCAAACCGATACACAAATCTTGAACCTATGTTCCCTTATTTCTAATATTTGTATGTGTATTCTCCCCTTTTATTAATTATTAAAGATTACAATTGCCAAAATTTTGTCTGCTTTGTATTTTTAAAAACTAAAAATTTGGAGAAGGGCCCCACTGCAGACCAGGCCAGCCTTGAACTTGGAATCTTCCTGCCCCAGTCTTCTGAGTAATTAGAATTACAGGCATGTGCCAATGTGCCTTGTTTTTTTTGGTTGTGGCGATACTGGAAATTGAACCTAGGGACTCATTCATGCTGGGGCAACCCTGTACCACTTATGAATTCCTGTTCCTTTTCAAAATTTTTGAGACAGGGTCTTGCTGAGTTTCTCAGGCTAACCTTGCAATCAGAATCCACTGCCTCTGCCTCCCAAATAGCTAGGTTTATGTGGGGAGACTGTGGCCAAAGGAGTATTTGAAGTGGATGTCGAAAAGGAAGCCTCTGGACAGAAATTCAGGACTTCTGGATCACATGGTCAGAGTGTAGAGCACAACTTGCAGGACAACATTCAGCAGAATTAAAAGCAGTTTGTTCTCAGAGATGTTTGCTTTGGTCATCATGTCCCATCTGCCCCATAATATTGCTTAAACTAGCTTGGTATATATCGTGTAAAAAACCCATCCCATTCCGGCCCTGTCCCCTGACCAAAGCTCCTGCACAGTGTGATGTAAATGCTTTTCTTCTACATCTTTGTGTTCATGTCACTGAGTTCCAGATGAATGACTGCAGAAGTCTCAGCTCACTGCTGCTTTCTTGGGACTTTGAATTCAGCCTCTCTGGATCCTCTTAGTAACTAAACTGAAGTCTCATCACTGGCAATTTTTTTCATCCTTTATACAGCCATACGTGCACACTGCATCAGGTTTACAGGTACATACCTTCATGCCTGACTGTTTACACATTTTTTAAAAAAGAAAAAAACGTGTAACCAGGTGTAGTGGCACGTGTGTATAATTCCAGCACCCAGGAAGTTAAGGCCGGAGGATCAAATTTTGGGCTCAGCCTGGCCAACTTAGTAATTCAGTAAGGCCATGTCAGAGAATTTTTAAAAAGGCTAGGAGTGTAGCTCAGAGCAGAGGTTCCAAGTTTAACCCCCAGTACTACACCACCAAACAAACCCAGAAAGCAATGATAAAACTAAAACATGTGGTACTCTTGTTACTGGCCTGCACCCCCCCCCCTTTCCCTCACTGGACCCTACCTTCTGGTCAGAGTCACTTTCTGCCATGCTGCCCATGTTTTTTGTGGAGGTGCTGCCATGCTCCTAGGTCCCAGTGGCTTGATTGATGCAGCGTATTCCACACCCCCCTCAGCCAGACACTGACCTGGGCCAGCCAGTGGGCTAAGTGTGGTTGTGCTCTGCATACAGATGAGGCCACAGGTGGACACCTGCTGTTGACAGCCAGTTTTCAAGGAGGGGACCAACTTAGAGCAGAATCGCATGACTGGAGGTGAGAGATGGAAATTGTAAATCAAAGTACAACTCGTAAATGCTGCAGCTAACTGTGCTTTGTTGGTCCAGTCTGCTGCTTCGTATTTATTTCATGAAAGCTCTCTCAACTTTAGTATCCCATCCTTCTATTTTGGGGAGATTTATTTTGTTCTTTTTTTACCTTCTTGAGTAATATGCTTCTTTATTTTAAATGTCTTTGGCTTCTAATATTTTCACTTACATAAATTTTCCTGAGTCTTACTTTGGCCATATGTCACAGGGTTTGTTAGGTACAGGCCTCACTGTCATTTATTATATAGAAAGTCTGTAATTTCTGATGGGTAGATTGGGGGAGGAGAGGGCACTTCTTTTTCTCTATCACTGTGTGGATTTATTTATTTCTGTATTATGAAAGTTATGGAGACTTTTTGTGGCTTAGTATTTGGTCAGCCTTAGTGACTGCTTCGTGTCCATTAGGAATGAAAGTGTGTGTTCTGGAGCAAAGTTTAAGTAGAATGGATTGAGTCTGGCTTGTTGAGTCTGTTTCTCCAACTCTCAATACCTCTAGGGTTTGTGAATGCTCAATCTGTTGCTTTCTAAGAGATTGCTCAAAGGAAGTCAGCTTTGTCCATTTCTTCTTGCAGTACTTACATTCTTCACAGCATTCAAAGCTGGGTTGCTAGTGGGCAGCACATTATCTGCATAGATATGCTCATCCTACCAAGTAGAACTTGGTTTGTCAAAGGTCCAGGTGCTTCTTCACTCTTCTTTGTTCTAATTGATTAAAATATTTTCTATTTTGTGCTTGTTTTCTGCAGGTTTACAATGAGTTTATTTTTTGATCTGAATAATTTTAATTTGTTTTCTTCTTTGATAGTCAATAATAAATGCCTTTAAAGTAGGAAATTTACCTTAGACACAACCAGCAAGTTCGTTTAAAAAGTGTATTTCTATAATTAGCATTTTCTAAAAGTTTATAGCATTTTTTTCTTTTCTCAAAATAACAGAACACAGCTTAAGCATCTACTTCTTTGTACCAGGTGTTGAACATGGGGTCTTGGGCATGCTAAGCACATGCTCTGTGGCTGAGCTACGCTCTCAGGCCCCAACAGAGTGACCTGAGTTCAAACCCGGAGCCTCACGCACTGTGAGAAGTGCTGTGCTGCTGCACTAAAGCCCCAGTTCTACTTTAGGTTTTCAAACGGTTTGGTTCATCTCATTGACTCTTTCGTTACTAAATCCTTGTTTCCTTGTATTGTGGTAAAAGATGTGGTCTAGCCCCATTAGCACTAGGAGTTGTGGTTTTCTTTGTAGTCGGACACGTAGCTGATATTCAAAGCTGGTCCATGCTCAAAGGCAGAATTGGAGGGGATTCTTCCTCTGCAGGTGAGGCTCTTCAGACTGACCAGGCACTGCTGACTGACTGTGCGTGATGCCCTGCATGTCGCATTGATGGGCAGAACTTTATGAGACTACACATTCGTTGTAATATATTTTTAATATAAAGCAATTTTTTTTTCTGTTTAAAGCTTCTGTCCTGAGTATTTTAGAGATTAACATTGCTGTTTCTATTCTTACTTACATATACTTTATATATATATAGTTTTTTATGGTTTGTACTATTGGAGATTGAACCAGGAGTTTTCGCACTGAGCTCCATTCCCAGCTCATTTTAACTTTCATTCTGATACCATGTCTCATGTATCAGTAAACTGCTAACTTGCCTAGGCTGTGCCCTAACTTGTGAGTCTTCTGCCCTGGACCCCGGTGGGCAGCAATTACAGGTGTGAACTGTCACGTCCAGCTAAGGATCCTTGCCTTTTAAAAGTCGAATTTTATGTATTCACACTGATTGGAATAACAAGTGTACTTGATTTTTATTTGGTTAATTTATTATTGGTGATTCTCCCCACAGTATTATTTTCCTCAAAGGTGGAAGAGTAAATGGGATTTCTCTTCTGAGGATAGCTGCATCCTTGATTTTATCACACAGCTCTAAAAAAGAGCTGGTTTCACCTGTTTTTGAGCTTGATGCAGTGGGTACCTTCTGTGCCTGGCCTTCATGCAGTGTTGGTGAGGTGTCCCAGCAGCTCTGGGCAGCAGTCAGCCCTCGTCTCCACACTGGGGTGAGCTGTGCATCTGTCCCCCTCAGGTACAGGTGGGCAGCATCCAGCAAGGCTTCCACACAGCCTGCTGCCAGTGGTCTGTGCCTCCTGGAGTGTGTGCTGCTGCCGAGGCCCAGGCTGTGAGTACAGCCGGGGACCTATGCCGGTGCAGTTCCTCCTCTCCTCAGCAACTCTGGGTTCTCTCTGTGGCCCCTGCTGGGTCAGGTCCTTGGCAGCATGGGAACAACCCAGCCACATCCTCAGCAGCACTGGCTACAAGGTGCAGAGGTGAGCTGCTCTGAGGGGCAGTGTGCAGAGCGTGGGGTCCTCGGGAAAAGTCTGTGAAATGAGGACGCGTCCCGAGGTGTCATTTACTCTGCTGATGCATGCAGAGAGGTCTGCAAGTTGCTTCCCCTCAAGAAGACACTGTCCCTTCCAGAATCCCCTTCCCAAGCCAGACACACTTGCCTCTTACTTGGAGCTGTTCTTGTGAAAACACGAATCCAAGGGAAAGAGAAACCGCTGTCTGCATGTGAGTTGCGTGCCGTGGGAGGTAGCCGTCTCTCACTTAGTGTCTGGCCTGTACACCTCCAGGTCTCACTGGGGGCTTCCCAGGCCTAGCACCTGGTGCTGCTGTGAGCCAGACATGTTCCGTTGTCCCAGGCTCAGAGCTAGGCATCAGGAACACAGTCCTGGGCTAGGCATCACCTCTGGCCCTGGCAGCATCTCACCATGTCACAGCTGGGCAGAGAATGAGCTGGCCTGGAGTTCTAGAATCCTGGCACAATGGGAGTGCCCTGCCAGCCCCGCCTGTGTTGCCCACACTGCATCCTTGTCCCACAGACAGACATCCACTCACCATGGTGTGTGGATCTGGGGACCTGCAGGCCTGCACACCCCTGCTGCCTTTTGCCAGGATTGAGAATCAGTCCTACGGGAACGGTAGGTCCTCGGGGTGTGGGCAGAGGTAGGAGATGCCAGGGGCCTGTGTCAGTGGTCCTCATACCTGAGGGTTGCACCGTCCCTTCCTGATGGAGGGATGGGTTGGCCAGGGACCTTACAGCAACCTGAGTAACCTTTACAACCCACATGATGTTGGGGTAGTTCTGGTTTTCAGGCTGACCATGAACACATGAGTGAACAGACTGAACAGTGGAAATAGATGGGTGGGTTTGGGAGGACCCACGCCTGTGACATTGTTGGTATGAACACTGAGGGGTCAGCAAGGCACTGGTCACCCAGGGTGGGGACACCATTGTACAGTGGGAAACCCCCATTCCCGGAGCTTAGTGGCTCATAAGAGGAGGAATTAGGTGTCAGTGCCAGCTGTTGGTAGCCCTTGGGAAAGAAAAATTTAGGACCACACGGAGCAGGACCTCTGGGCTCCTGCTGGATCCGCACCTGTCACTGGAGCTTCTATGGTGGCACTCTGCCTCAGGTGACCTGCCAGCTGCCGATTCCTTGGTTGACAGAGAACTAGCTGGGTGGTCAGTGTGAGTGGGGATTTTGTCATTTTCTGTCACTATGTGGCAGCTCTTCCTGGGTGAATGAGTGAATGAACAAAAGAGTAAATGGGCAGGGGCTGGCTCTGAGCTGGGTGGGTCCAGCTCAGACAAGGGACGTGCTTGGTGGGAAGGGCTATGGGGTTCCCTGCGGCTGATTCCTGGGCCTCTGCTGGTGTGGGTGTTGGTGTGGGATGCCATCTATGGGGACTCCATCCCAAGGCCAGTATGTGTCTCCTGGTGGCCACATGGGAGTGTAGGAAAGTCCTGCTTGTAAGTAGCAGTGCCCTGACCTGGGACACTAAGAAAGGGTGGAGATCAAGGTCTGTAGTGGAACCCATTCGAGCGGCTGAGGGTCTGCCATGTAGGGAATGGCATCAAGCCTGAGACAAGGTTGATCCATGACATCTTGCATACCCCAAATAAGCAGTTGTGACTTCCCCCAAGTTCACCTTCTGTTCTTGGTGTAGAAGTATCTACAAATCCTGCAAATCCTGTGTAAGGTTTTGGGGAAGATTGTGTCACTGCTATCCTGGACTCAAGTTCTGAGGAGCCCACTGTGTGAGCTCCTTCTGTAGAGCTGGCTGAGCGGCCTTCAGCTTCATGAGACTGAAAAAGGCATGCTCCGGGGAGCCCGTTCCTTGCTCCTGAAGACAGAACCATCTTGACTGGGCCAGGCTACTATCAGAAGTGGAAAAGTATCTGTATCCCTCCACACTGCATGGAAAGGGGCTGGGCAAGAGGCACTTGGGGAGCACTAAGGCAAGACAGCATTCTATGGAGTGAGGGCAGGTGCCCTGGGAGCCATGGTGTGTTGCCTTAGTGCTCCCCGAGTGCACTAGTAGCACAAGTCAGTCACTGGACACACGATGTGAAGGAGCCCAGATACCCACAGAACACGCTCATCAGCCTGTGTTACTGCATGGACATACCGAGCCAACTGCTTAGGAAGTCGAGGTGTATTTAGTCAGCTTGGGGAGCTCAGCATGCTGGGTCTGCTGGGATGGCGAGGGCAGACCATGGCAGTGCAGGAGTGTGTCTCAGAGGTCGGTCCCTGCATCTCAAGGGTGAGGGGGCCCGACTCGAAGCATAGCAGTTGTGATTCCCTGAAGGACTTCATGGAGGCAGGGCCTGGTATGTCCAGATCCTCCTAGATAGTGGCCTGTCTGCTTACTGTCCCTCCCACCACCCCCACGCTGTGGGGTCCCTCAGGAAGGGGCAGCTTGTAACCATGCATCATGTGTCTGGCTTCACTTCGGCAGGAGGTCTCCAAACCCATGGACAGGTGGTTAGCAGGCCTGGACTTGGGAGCAGGCTGTGGATAAGAAAACCACTCAGTTTTCTTTACCCTTCACTTGGCCTCCAGCCCTTGCTTGTAGACTCTCTTCCTCCCTTCTCCTTGATAATGTGTGGTCATTAAGTGCCGGTCCACACTGGTCCTGTCTGACATCTCCTGTTTGCTTCTGTGCAGTCGTCTCTCCTCCAACTCCTGCCCTGGGGACTGGGAGAAGTGAGAGGGAAATGAGCCAGCATCCCGTTCCTGTGTCATATGGTTCCTGAGACTGCACCCCAGGGAATGGTCCATGTCAGGGCAGCTGCAGTCACAGTGGACGACAGCCCTGCTTGTCGTGCCCACCCTTTACCCCCAGCTGACAGCCAACTCTTCTCATGATGCAGTCTTCTTCAACTCCCCATGAGCAGAGTTGCATCCTGGGGTGATGGCTTATAGCAAGCCCAGGGAGTGTCACCTGTGCCCTCCAGTCACCCTGTTTTTGGACTTTAGGTCCTCCAGTTTGGGGTGTGATGGTCTCTCCCTGATGTGTGCAGGTGGCAGCAGCTGCATGTGGCACTCCCTTGTTGCTCCCTCCACCTTTCCTCAGACTCCTGGTTCTGGGCATGTGGTCATACCAATGTGTCCCACGAGGTGAAGCAGGGGAAGCTGGTAGAGGTGGGCAGGTGGCCCTGGCAGGTGAGCATCCTCTTCCTGAGCTTGCACCTCTGCAGCGGCTCGTTCATCCACCAACAATGGATCCTCACAGCAGCACACTGCATACTGAGGTCAGTCAGGCTGGGCACAGGGGGGAAGGGAGAGGGGGTTGGTGAACCCGGGATCCAGAGTTGGGTGGCCCTAGGCTTGGCTCTGTCTCTCCAGCCACAAGTGGCTTAACTGCTGGCCCTCTACCTCCTCCTGGCCTTGCAGCACCAGCCGCCCTAGAGAGTACACCATGAATGTGAGAGCCCCACACCTCCCAGATGATGGCATCGAGCTCCCGATCTCTCATATCGTGATTCCTGAGAATGTCACTGATTTCACGTTCCAGAACATTGCCCTCTTGAAGCTCAAGAAGCCCGTCTCCTTGTCCCTCCTCCAGCCCATCTGCCTCCCCCCTCCCTATTACAAACCAACTGTTGGATCCCTGTGCTGGTTGGTTGGGCAGGGAAGGTCAGCAGATGAAGGTGAATGCGGATGGGCAGAGGTCCTGAGATGCCATCCCTTCAGGACATAGCCCCACCATGGGCTCCTTCTTTAATGTCTTTATCTATTCAGTCACACTGCAAACACTTCCCATGTACCTAGCTACGTGTCATACTGTTCTGACCCCTGCATACAAAGATATTCATGTAGTCTAGCATAAAAGAAGACAGTGGCCTGTATGCATCTTGGGTCTCAGAGTGAGGTTCGGTTCCATGTCAAGTCTTCCCCTTGAACATGGCAAGAGAGTCACACTCAGCTATTAAGGGGGCTCCATGCCTGCAGGAGGTCTGAGGGCCGTGATCTCAGGACGGCCTGAGGCACTGAGGGGGCTTTTCCAGCTTTCACACACGCTGGTTACCTCGAGGCACCTATCATTCCCTGAGCTCTGGTTCCGGTTGGTGCTACCCGGGGCCCTAGCATCTGGGAGCCTTCATGGGGTGGGGGGTACACCTCTGGGTTCTGGGGTGTTGCTGCCTTGCCTGGTAACCCTCACAGATCCTGAATTACTGGGGAAATCTCTCCTCATCCTCATTTCGTATCTGCCTGTCACACCAAGCCTAGACCTTTTCAAAAGTAAGGCTTTGAGCTGAGGCCTTCAAACATTCCCATCCCAGGAAATACATCAGCGCACTCTGACAACTCCGAGCAACAAATAGGCGCTGACAAGACAAGGTCTTTCCCTCCACAGGGGAACCAAAGAGGAACAGCACTCTTCAGGAGCTGGCCACCAGGATCATAGACAACCGTGTCTGCAGTCAGCAGCACCAGTTCCGCTTGAAGGGCCCGAAGAAGTCATTTGGGGATGACACGCTGTGTTCCAGCACAGACTCAATCGTGGACAACTGCCAGGTGTGGATATGTTGAGGACCAGGAGGAGGACCTAGAGCCACGCTGGCCTTTTCACATGGCGTAAAATCTTCCATGGGGCTTCAGCTTGCCAGTCTGTACAACAGGGGTGCAGTACCTTTGCCGGGGTTCACAATGATGGCCGTAAGGGCAATGTCTCTCAGTCACATGTCCACACCTGGGCTGGGTCCTGGCAGAACCAGTTTTGGCATAAATAGCATCATTCTACTAGCAGATTGCCGCATTTACATCTCCTCCTCTGTAATGTTTCGAGTTGTACCCATACAGCTGTAAACTGTTGGCAGTGCTATGGTATTTTCTTCGGCATCTGTGTCACAGTTTACCCACTCTCTTGTTTAAAGTGATTGAAAGAGTCTCCAAATCTTTCCTATCACAAACTGTACAGCTCCTGGATATTCTCATGTCTTCTTGTTACGCATCAGAAGTGTTTCACCAGGATCCTTCATAGAATGAGTTCTGGGTTGTGTTCACCGTCATCTTTAAGGCTCATTGCCAAATTGTTTTCCAAAGTGCTTCTACTATCCTCTGTATCCTTGCAGCCAGTTTTGGCTTTGGGTGTTGCCAGACTGTGAAATGTTTTCCACAGTGAGAAACAGCACCCTGGGGAGCTGTGGCGTGGATGTCCCGTCCCCGGTACTCATGTTCATCATCTAGTCTGTTTATACACCATTCGAAGCTCCTCTCCTGTCAGCACTGCTTACGCGGATGCCTTGCACACTTCCTGTTTGTCTTTATTTCCTTTTTCATATTCTAGATACCAATTCTCTGTTCATGATATACATTGCAAATATCTTCTCTCCAGAGTTTCATAAACCTTTTTTGATGCTACCCTTTGCTGAAGAGCAATTTGGATTTATTTTATTCAGATGTATCATGTTTCCTTCCTGGTTTATGCTTTTGTGTTTTAAGAATTTCTTCCTTTCCCTGAGGTACATAAAGACATTTTGTGCTTTGTTTCTAAAGATTTGGAAATATTCACATTCTGAATAATTCTGTGAGAGGTGACAGACAGGGATCTATTTTCATTTGTTTCCTCTTGCAGACCACCAGTTATCCCACTGCTAGTCACCAGGAATGAATGTTCTGCATTTACCACTCTGCCTGTCCTGTATACTGCTCTGTCCACACAGGGCTAACTTCTGAAGTGAGATACCTACCTGATGGCCGCATTGTCCCTTTCTAACACGAATGCTTGAGGCCATGAGTTCCTGCTAAATGTTGTTTTAGCTTCATACTACAATTTTTTTTTTTTTTTTTTTTTGGTACCGGGGATTGAACTCAGGACGCTTTTGCCACTGAGCTAAATCCCTGGCCCAATGCTACAGTTTTTGATATGTAGCACTGTTACTGATACTCAGCTCTAAATGTTTGTATAATTTTCACCTGGTTTGGTTCTGACTGATGCATATTGCTTGCTGTTAATGATTTCCAGTGTTTCCCAGCAGTCATAAAAATAGCTGCATAACGGTATCAGCTGTGTGAGACACGCTGAAACTTCGTTGGCTGCCTCCTGTGTGGTTATATTCTTTAATGTTTATTTCATTATTTTCAGTTTCTAGTGATTTGATGTCCTTGGGCTTTGTTTGGTTTTCTTTTGATGTCTTCTTAAGCAGAAAAGTTTATTCTAGTTCTGTGTTTAAAAGTTAAGGGTTCATGTAACTACCCTTGTCTTGAACTTTTATTCATCTCTTAAATTTTGTACTATTGTGATTCTGCAATCACTATTTTGAAATATGTGTTGTGATTTGGAAGAAAATATACTCATTTTGTTTAAGAATAATGCAGAAATTAGAAAAAGGCTTCCCCATAATAAAGCTACCTAGCAAATTTTTTTATAGTGCTCATTTTATGTCCCTAACATTTCCCTTTATATACAAAAAATGTAATTAAATTTTTGGGGTTTTTTTTCTCTCTGGTTTTGATTTTTTTTTAAGGTAAAGTTTCACTATGCTATCTAGGCTGACCTTGAACAAAAGTTTCACTTTGTAGCCCAGGCTGGCCTCAAACTCACAGTGATCCTCCTGCCTCAGCCTCCTGAGTGCTGGGATTCAAGGCATGTGCCATCATACCAGGCCTTGAGTTTGATTTTCAACAAAAGTATATTAAAGGGGGTTTAGCTCAGCTGTGTAAGTGCCTGCTTGGCAGATGCTGAGTCATGAGTTTGATCCCCCATACCAAAAAAAATAAAAGTGTATTATATAGTTTTATTACTCAACTTTTGAATTTTCTCTTAAAACAAATCTTGAATTCCTTTCATGTTATACATTTAAATAGATTTCATTGTCCCTGTCTACTGAATAATAGTATTTTCATATGCTATATCACAAACTATTTAACCATTGTCTGACTGATAGACATTTGAGCATATTTCAGTATTGTCTTTTACCATGTCATAGTAAAAATCTCTTTTCTTGCTGGGTGTGGTGGCTCATGCCTGTAATCCCAGCACTCTGGAGGCCAAGGCAGGAAGATCGTTGCGAGTTCGAGACTAGCCTGGGCTACAAAGTGAGCTCAAGGCCAGCCTGAATTGCATAGTGAGACCCTGTCTCAAAAGACAAAAAAAAAAAAAAAAAAAAATCAATCTTTCTTTCCTTTCTTTTTCTTCTTTCTTTCTTCCTTTTGGCAATACTGGAGATTAAAACCAGAGCCTTCACACTGAGTTGTATCCCCCACCCTTTAGCTTTGATTTTGATGCAGGTTCTTGTTAAATTTCCCAGTATGGGCTTAAATTTGAGAACCTCCTGCCTTAGCCTTCCAGTACTGGGATTACAAATGTATCACTATACCTGGCTCAGACTAAATGTCTTTATTCGTGGATCTTTTCACATTTGTTCAAGTATTTCTCTAGAATAAATTTTAGAAGTGTAATTGCAAGATCAGTTGTATATAACTTTTCGTGGATTTCAATACAGTAGCCTCTACAAATCTATTTCCCTAATCCAGTGGTAGATGAGTGCCATTTTCCAAAATCAACACTGGCATTAAGCATTATCTTTATTTTAACTTTGTCAGGCATGGTGGTACACGATTGTAATTCCAGCACTCAGAAGGCTGAGGCAGGAGGATCCTTGTGAGTTTAAGACCAGTCTGGGCTACATAGAGAGCTCAAGGCCAGCCTGAATGGCATAGCAAGATACTGTTTCAAAAGGACAAAAATAAATAAGTTAATTAATTATTTTTCCCACCTAGCAACACTTTTAATAGCTATCTTTTAACATTTGTTATTTTGATAGGCTAAAATTTGTATCTTATTTTTATTTCATGAAATTGATCAGTTTTGTTAATTGTCCATGTCATAGGCTAATAAATGGGAAATTTAAACCACGGCATCAAAAATGCTCTGTATCAGAATTCAGAGAGTTGTGTAACTGATATTTTATGCAGTGTGTGGACCAGAGGGTGGTGTAGGAAGTGATTTTGTGAGGAGGATTTCTTGGAGAGAGTTTCTCCTATGATCTAGGTCAGGGGCTGTCCAGGAAGGGTTTGACTGAATGTTCAAGGAGTGTGGTGTGCCCTGGGGCCGGGGAGTTGTCAGCTGTCACCCGTCCCCTTCAGGCCAGGGTACCCGTATGTACTTGGGGAGCTGAGACAAATCCTCCCGGCTCAGAAGTCCAGGTTGGTGGGATGGGTCCTCACCAGCCTCCTGCCCAGGCTGCCTGCTGGCTAAACCCCCAGCGCTGTGAGGAGCTTCACTTCACGAGTTTAGCTCTGTTGAATGTCATGTGGAATTGCACAGTCTGACTTCTGAACTGAGATGGTTTATGTTGCAGTGGCAAGCAGAAATTCCAAAACAACACCAAGATTTGGAGGCAGGTTTATTCAATATCGACAGGTGCTGGCCTCAAGAAAAAACATCAGGCCCAGAAGGCTCAGGGAGTGAGATTTTTACAGGGTTGTTGCAGAGGGGAAGTACAGAGGCAGAATGGCTGTCGACTGGGGATCAATTTGTATAACGTGCATCGTACTGAGTGGCCGTTCCTAGGAAACAGAGGTAACAGGAACTGTAACAGGAACTGAAGCAAACTAGTGGTTACCTGGGAAACTAACAGCAGTTGTGCAGTATACTGGCTGGTGGGGCAGCATTTTATGCTGCAATGTGACTGTGTAATAAAACAAGTAAAGAGTTCTGGTTCTGCCCATTGTTACCCAGAATTGAGCAAAATACTGGCCTTCTGAGTACACTCAAAGGGGCAGAGGCTTGCTCTGGGCTCAGTGTCTCATTCATGCTTTGCCCTGTGTCTCATCCACGTGCTTTCACCAGACACCACTGTTTCTAGTGGACGTGAAAATTGCATCATCACTCTGTGATACTGAGTGATGAAGGAGCCTTCTGTTTCTATGACTTCATTTCAAATGGTTTGTAAACATTTAAATGTGTGTGTGTATTTAATATGGAGAAAGAATATAAAGCAAGTATGTTAACATGCTGACATAATGAATTTGGGCTAAAATATTACACTCCTGTCTTTTCTGTGAGTCTCAAATTATTTCAAAATGAAAAACTTTGGGCACTAAGAATTTTAACCCTTTGTAAAATGCTTTATGATGTTTTATCCCATTTGTTCATCATTTACATTTTTGGGGTGTGTGTGGTTTTTTCCCCCCATAGAACTATATAAAATTTTTGTGTGCATCTTTATTGTTATTTCCCTTGATGTTTTTAGGGTTTTCCCCCCATGTTTAGTGATACTTTCCACACTCTCAAATTAAAAAACTATTTATCCATGATGTTCTATTTCCTTTTAAAATATATTGACTTTGATTAACTAGGAGGTTGAGAAAGAGAATCCAGTTTTATTTCTCTCCCCCTGAGTAGCTAGTTTTGTGGACATCTCTTACTAAACAGTAATTTTTGCTGATGAATTAGAAACTCTCCCTTATCACACTGTTGGTTAACTTGACTTTGGTCTATTTTTGCCTGTACCATCTTACCTCTATGCCACTGTCTATCTGTTTTTACTGTTGTAGTTTATAATTCTTGTTTGTGGTAAGGCTAGTCCTCTATTCTTCTTTTAAAGAATTTACCTGGCTATTCATTCTAATCAAACAATCTTAAATAATGTGGTCAAAAGAAAAATCACTTGAGGTTTTTGGTGGAAACTAAAAGATCAATTTGGAGAAAACTCACCCTATTTTGCCCTTTTCTGTACCCCTGAAGCAGGAGTTGGCAGGTTTCTCCATGTCATTACTGCTGCTGCTTAAGTTTATTCCTAGGTACCACATGCTATACCCTGACTGTGAGCCCTGTGATTTTGTTTCATTGTGATTTCCATTTGTATTGTAGATTTGTGTGTCTACTTTGTAATAAGCAACCTTCCTGAGCCTAGTCAATTCTCTTCAGTTTTATAGGCCCAGAGACAAAATGGGCATTTAAAAATGATGATGAATTTACTCCCTTTTCAATGCATTTATCTCTTCTTTCTTTTTCTTGTCTAATTGCAGAGTCCAGAGCTGATCCTCCAAAACAATCGCTGTCTTTAGGAGACATTGTGCATGTAATTTAGCTGTGTCTCTTGCAAACAGCATAAAATCAGTGCTATCTGCCCCCATCCCCACTAGATTCTCCTTAAACCTAGTTTCCAAGATTGTTTTTTGTTCTTGCATTTGGGGTTGAGTTTTCCCCTTCAGCGCCCTTTTCTCCTTTAGTGATCTGGAAGTCACACTTGCAAGTTTCAAGCTGTTACTGGTCACCTACAGTGGTTTGAACACAAGGGCTGAACTGTGTCCTTGGGGCACAGGCTGGTTCCACTAGGGGGCAGCAAACACTGGAGGAGGCGGGGTCTGGGGGAGTCGAGGTCAGCAGAGGTGCATTCTTCGAGGGCAGCTCTCAGGCAGCCCCTTGAATTTTTGCAAGGGGGCTGCTGTAGGCGGAGTGTGCCACTCCACTCTGTCTCTGCTTCCCTCGCTACCACCGCCTGCCTCAGGGCCCTCATCAAGCCATAATCAAGCCATGCCGGATGCAGGCACAGTGCTCTTGTACCTCCAAAACTGTGAGCTAAAGAAACCTCTTCTTCCTTGGGTGTAGGCTGTGCCAGCTATTTCACTGCAGTAATAAAAAGCCAACTGATACATAACCTTTCATTTTCCACACATGCATTCAAAACTGAATGAACACTGAGAGTCAGTCCACGTATGTGGCCTCCTTTGCAGCACCAGCACCTTCCTGCACCCATGCTGCACCCCGACTCCCTCTCTTGATGAAAACACCCATAGCTAAGTCCACTGAACCTCTGGAGTCTTCAGCAGACCCTCCAGGGCTTGGCAGCCCCTCCTGCAAATGGACTGCCATGGGCCATGATTCCCCCGGCTGCCGTGGTTCTTTCTCTTCCCTTGTTTTGGGTCCCACCACCCCAAACATCCTTAGTCAGGCGCTGTGCCTCTGTTTTGTTTGCTGCCAACCTTCACAGCAGTGCTTGCTCCGGTGAGCACGGATGGAGTCTGCTGGGCACATCGCTGAGAGGAGTGTGTGTGCCGCTAGGCCACCCCGTGGCCTGTCCTCCCCGGCCACTGCGGCCACTCTCAGCTCACAGTGCTGAAGATTCTGCCTGTCCCTTGCCCCTTCATCCCTGTTGGTCACACCCAGCTTTAGCCCCATTTATCTGTTGGATTTAAACTCATGTCTTTTTTAGAGCATACTTTAATTATGTTTTAAGGTCACTATCCTGACTATAAAAGACAGAAGCTTTCTAGGTTATAACAGTGAAAATAAAAAATAAATCTCTTTTGGAATAAAGGCTTGTATAAGAATAGCTGCCATTGGAATGCATAGTACTGGGCCAGCTGTCCACACAGAGGACTGTGATATGCACCTAGCTGCTCTGTTAGGACCCTGTGAAAAGCAGGCAGGGGTTCTTAGTGAAGCAGCCATATAGGTTTCTAGCTTCAATTAAACTTAAGGACTGTACTCCACTGCTCAGTTAGGCATCCTAACATCTGAGAAAACCTACTGATTAAGTTTATTTAAATCCAGCACCCAGGAGGTGCTGGGTCCAGGATAATGTCGATCCAGCCCACACAGGGTACTGGGCTCGGGAACACACAGTACCACCACATGGACATTTATCCCTCCGGCTTTAAGGAGCCAGAGGAAATCACTTTGCCAAGCTGTAGTATCAGGGATATCTGTGCATCATGCGAAAAGTATTTGTCCATGTTCTGGAACATTTGAAATAACATAAATTATCTCCTCCTTAAACACTGGAGAGAAGTTGCCTATGAAACCGCAAAGCTGTGTTTTCCTTTGAGTCGCTGTTCTTGGGCAATATTTTCAGTTGTTTTGTACATAGTTTACTGGGCAAACCAGGCTTTCTATCGCTGCTTAAGTTAGTCTAAGTGATTTGCATTTTCTTAGAAATTATTCACTTCATCCAGAGTTTAAATTCTCGAGGAGGAAATTGTAAACAGTCTTGAGATTCTGAGAAAATACATTTTACTCGACTGTGGTTCTGGTCTCCATTCAACTCAAACCACAAAGTATTTGTATTTCTTGCTCTCTTTCTCTCTTTATAAAACTTACAAGGTGTTTATCTATTTTGTTTTTTAAGAACTTGATTTCATTTCCAACTCCATGCTTTTTCTGGTTTGCCTTTGTCTTTCTTAATTCTTTCTCAGGTGTCTTGACTGAATGTGCAGTGATCCATAATTGTTGGTAATACTGAATAATTTATTTTCATCTTGTCTTGTTTGATGCTAAAAGTATTTTTTTTTTTTTTTGTCTTTTTCGGTACCAGGGATCGAACCCACAACTGCCTGCAGGCACTTATGCCGCTGCCTGCTTGCAAGGCAGGCGCTTATGCCGCTGAGCTAAATCCCCAGCCTCACTAAAAGTATTTTAGACCAGAGCTACCCTTTGTGCAATTTAGAGCTCTGTACCATGGGCTTTGTAATATGTGGTTGTTCTTATGTTTCTATATTCTAACTATAGATTTTAAATCTGATTTTTATTCTAACATTTGTGAAAGTTGATTTTTGGTTTCCATGGTGGGGGTGGGTCATATTTTATTTCTGAATTCCGGTTTTATTCCTCTAATGATGTTACTCCCCAGTTCTCTTCCCGCATGCTCTCTAGTCGCTGGGCCTCTAGGGTCTCCTCAAATCACGGATTTAGGCACAGGCCTTCTCACTACAGTCCTGATTTGATTAACATTGGCTTAATATTTCTCCTTCATCTTTCTTTTCTTTTCTTTTTTTTTTTTTTTGTCTTTTTCTTTTTTATCGGTACCGGGGATCGAACTCACAACTGCCTGCTTGCAAGGCAGGCACTTATGCCGCTGAGCTAAACCTCCAGCCCCCACTCTCCTTCATCTTTCATGTTCCCTCTTCCTAAAAAGGATCTATGACTAAGCACGGTCGTCCATAGCTCTAACCCTAGCTACTCAGAAGGCTGTGCCAGGAGGATCCAAGTGTGAGGCCAGCAATTTGGTGACTCTCCCAAAATAAAATGTTTAAAAAAGGCTGGGAATGTGGCTCAGTGGTAGAGCACCCCAAGCACGTGTGAGGCTCCGGGGTCAGTCTCGTGCAACACAGGAAAGAGCATGTGTCTGCTCAGATCTGCTCAGTACATCCCGAGCTATGGGTTCATTTGCACAAGCGCTACTGTGCTGTTTCCACCTCCATTTGTTTATGCAGGAATTTCAATGTATTTGGCTAAAAGTTTCATTCTTTGAAATCTCTGCCCCATATGTGCTGCGGACAAATCTTCCTTTGTCACCCCAACATCGTTCTAATCAGAATTCACAATTTTCGGTCACTTTAGTTCTTAAACACTGCCCCATTGAAGATCTTGACTTCATCGATTTGATCACAGTACACTTCACGCTGCTCCCCTCACACGGCTCTGCCTCACCCCAACAAGTCCCCTCCCTGCTTGTCATTTCTCCCGGACCCTTAGTTCCTCATCTGTGGTCAACGACACCTCAATCATCATCTGCCTTCACTGAATCCGTCACCTGCATTTTGCTGTAACTGAGCTGGACGTACTTTTCCTCTTCAGTTTTGTGACATTTGTTTTTTGTTTTTTGTTTTTTTTTTGAGACAGGGGCTCACTGTGTAGACCAAGTTGGCCTTGAACTCATAGCCATCCTCCTGTCTCAGCCTCCCAAGGATTACCTATGTATACCACCAAGTCCAGGCTTTGAATCTTGTTTCTGAAAAATGCCTTGTGTCATGGCATAAAGCCATGGCCCTGTATGCTTTCAATGAGACTTTTTCCTTTTCCCATTTAGAGTTTCACTTCCTTTGGATCACTTTATGGTAGGATGGAGCTTCATTTGTCTCCAGCTGGTGAGTCAGTTTCTCTATTGCTATCACAGAGTTTTCCTTCTCTGGGGACTCCATGCCTTCATAACACAAGCCAGATGCCCCGTGGGCACAATCAGCTTGGGGATGCCCCACTGCCCCCTTGACCTGTGTTTCTGCTTCTGTGCCAGTCCACCCTGTTTTTGTAATTGTGTTTAAATATGTATAGCTATCTGCTTGCCAAACCTGCCCCCAGCCCGACTCTTTGTTTTCTCTTTCTCAAAATTTACCAGTTCATGGGCTGTTACTCTTCATCATTATTTTAGAATCAGATTATAAAGCTTATGGGAAAAAACCTGCTCTAATTTCAACTGGATGCTCTTGATCTTTAGAGATGTATGTGAGAATGAGCCCTGTTATCATTTTTAATTGTTCTGCTCTATACTGAATGGAGATAATATGGTATGTAAGAAATATGTATGGAGAATAAAGAACAGCACAATACCCTCCCCCAGCTCTCAGAACAGTGCCTCACACAAACGGGGCTCAGGCCCAGGGGCGAGGCCCCATCCTAAGCCTTGGGGGCTCCAACTCTTGGTTTCTTGGGGGCACGTGGCTTGTAGTGCCTCAGTTTCCCTGTGTGCATGTGGTCTTTCAAGTATTATCTTGGGGATTGCCCTGAAAGGTATCGTGAAAGGTAGGCACTTGTTGCCAGGTGCCAGGAGGCACTGCCTGTACTTCCAGTGCCATCCATCCTCGGCCGAGACTTCTGAATCCCCAGACAGTATGAATCCAGGCTAAACATTCACACCAGGGCCATTTCCCGGTGTCCTGTGGGGTCCCTCTTCCTTGGAGGAGTCCCCTCCCTCACAGCCTCCTTTGGCTGGCTCTGGACTGGGTGTCTATCCCTGGCACTCAAGCACAAGGCTGTACACTGAGTGTGACGAGGGATTCTCCTTGCCCTTCTGGGGTCCAGTCCTCACTTAGTTGGGGCTCCGAGGAATCTAATCTCTGGAAAGCTTGTTTGCATACTTAAAATGATCCTTTTTGAAGCCTGCCCTGCCCTGTCACCCACCCAGCAGGTCAGACAGGGTATGTGTCCCCATTCTGCAGGAGGCCCACTTGTGAATCGGTGGCGTGCCCCCTGTGGGCAGCGTTGTGTGTGTGCAGGTCTTCTTTTGCATTCTTAAGAATATTGTTATTTTTTCCGTTCAGTGTCTTGTGGATTCTTGATTACATTTTGTCCCATAAATCTTGGCTTGTATTACATGAGGCAGATAAATCTAATGAGCTGCTTTTCTGCCTCATAAAATTTCCAGCACTGCAGACCAACATAAAGCTTCAGAAACGGCAAGGACCCCACCCTCACCAGCAACATCTGTGCTATAAACACTGTTCTGATATGAGCATTGATTTTTGCAGAAGAGGGGAGATGGTTTGCATTTCCAAGGGCTCACTTCCTAAACAGGACGGTGAGAAGGAAAGTCAGTGGCCACACCTAGGGGTGTACAGGAGTGGACCTGGTCCTGCAGGGTGGCCTCCTGCACCCCCTGAGGCCTCCCTCCCTGCCCCCACAGTACATCTCTGGCAGCTCCCTGGCCTGCCAGGTGAATGACATCTGGATGCAGGTGGGGGTGCTGAGCTGGAGCTTCGGTTGTGGCCAGCAGAACTACTTCCCCATGATCTACGCCAGCACCTCCCACTTCGTGCCCTGGATCTGGAAGCAGATGATCCGCCTGAACGCCTTCAACAGGGCCTGGCACGCCTTCCCGAGCCCACTGCTGATCGCTGGCCACACCCTGCTGGTCTCTTCGGCCCCGCTGTGGCTCCTATGAGCTGCGTCTCCAGGACAGGCACCTCAGAGAGATGCAGGGGGTATGGGGGGGACTTGGGGGAGGCCTTTGCCCTGCTGTGTCTCCTCAGTTCTTCAATGGAGAGGCTCCTGACTTTAACATCATCTCGTCTTTGACCCTGGCCGGGGCCTATCAGCCCACCTCCCCCACAGTCTTATCTTGTGTCCATGTGTTGGTTGCATGACCTTGGTAGCCTGTCCACCATCTCTGGGCGGCAGTTTCCTTTCTACCAATGGACTTGCAGTGCCTGCAGAGTCTCCCTGGTGACCTCTAGCAAACCCAGTCCCCAGGATCCCAACCCTGAGCTTATGGACGGCCTTCTAGAGCCCACAGGCTCAAATCCCACCTCCCATCCTAAAGGTCCGCAGCCTCAAGCAGGCTGCGTGCTGTGGGGCAGGGCTGAGTGCCTGCCTGGATGTGTGTGTGGTGACAGTGCCCTGGGCAGTGCAGGGGCCTCGGTAGCTCTGTTAGTCTCCAGAGAGCAGGCAGGTGAGGCCCAAACTGGCCAGGCTGAGTGGCAGTGAGGTCCCCCTCTCCCCAGTCTGGGAACCTCAGGGTCCATGAAGCCAAACACCACTGCTCCTAGGGCACCCAGCATCTCCAAGGTTCCTGTGCTGTCTTTCCAGAGGTTGGAGCACAAAATGGCCTCTCGAGTGTCTCTCCCCAACCAGAGGCCTTCGCGTGTTTCAACGTATCCTGGCTGGATTTGCCTTGTCTTTAATTAGGCTGGAATCTTCCAGCAGGTTTGTGTTCTGGCAGGATTCCCCCATACTACTCTTTAAAAGCACTACCTGTAATCGGGCCACAAACATCCTCCAAAATACCAGTGTCCAAAGTGACCCACTCCGACAGTGGCTCGGTGGGGACCCTCATTCTCTGCAGTGGGACATGGCTGGAGGGCTGAGAGTAGCTGCTTAAAAGGACACAGTGTTCCAAATAATAATAAAAATTATTATTTTGTACCAGGAATCGAACTCAGGACTTTGTGGTTGCCAGGCAGGCACTTGTGCCGCTGAGCTATGTCCCTGCTCCAAATCATTATTTAAGGACTAATCTGTTTCCTTTTTGCCAGCCAGGCTGGCAGGACCCCGGGGTGCTGTTGGAGCTACTGGTGCTACCCAGGGGCTTGGGTTGGGCTTCCTGTCACTCGCAGGGATGACAGCACAAAGAAACTCCTGTCACTGGCAGAGGTCAGGCTGTGACCCAGCTCCGGAGGAAGAAAGGGGCCGGGTGAGCACAGGGGCTCAACCAGGTGACTGCTGGGCACCGTTGCGGGGACCCGGCCTCCCAGGGCAGCGGCTGACCGGGGGGCGCTGTGGTCGCAACCCGGGAGGGCACCATCGCTGCTGCCCCGATGGAGCCCCGCTGCAGGACGCGGACATGCGGGCAGGGCTCCTGGGGTTACCGCGCGCTGCTCCTCCTGCTACTCCCGTTCCTGCTCCGGACCGCTGGTGAGACCCCGACCTCCCCCGGGCCCGGCCCCTCCTCCAGAACCCGCGCCCTTCCTGACCTCTCCGTATCCCCCTCAGGCAGTGTGATTGCAGGCCGCGCTCCCGGGGTGCTGTCCACCGAGGCCTCCACCGGCCCTGCCAAACCCTGTGCCCCAGGAGCCAGCTGTGCACCCGGAGGGGCTCGCCTTCCCCGCGAGGCCCCCTCACCAACGCCGGGGCCCTCGCCAACGCCGGGGCCCTCTCCATCGCAGGGGCCTAAGCCGCCGACACTGACATCTAAGCCACCAACGCCAGCGCTTAAGCCGCCAATGCCAACGCCACCAGGGGTTGCTACCGCCACTTCCTGGGCCAAGCCTTGTGAGTATGCGAGGCCGCCGCTGTGAGGCTGTGAGCGCTTGTCTTCAACTTGGTGTTGCCGCACCCACAACACCCGCCCCTCCCCGCCCCGCCCCGCCCCGCCCGTGGGGTCTCCCCTGCTGCCCTTTAACGTGCTTGCTCAGGGCTGGGTTGTCTCCAGGGGACCCTTGCATGAGGACCTGGGCTCCGTCCCCAGCATTGCGCACAAGAAACGAACAAATGCAGTGCTGCCCTGGGCCCACTGAACACTGATGACGCAGCCCTGCTTCTTTTAGAAACATCCTGGAGTCTGACCTTAGCTGGGGGTGGGGGTCTCTTCCATCTGAAAACACCCCTCCAGGGTTCGCAGGGTTTGGCACTCCAGCCATCAAAGAGAGCGGTCAGAACCAAAAGACGTACCAGTCCCGCTCCTGGGAACCTCGGAACCGCAGCCAGGCAGCTACTGGGGACATTCACCGCCAGCCTTTCCCTTCCCCCACGGGAGGGGGTGCCTGCTGCCTTGCGCGTGTGTCTGCCGGGTCACAGGAGCCTGGGGTTGGGTGCGGTTGTGGAACCTGGTGGACAGTGGAGGCCACCGTTCAGGGTCTGGCTCGTGTCCAGAGATGGCCAGGAGTACCCCAGTCATCAGGCCATCTCCTTCCTCCTCAGCCTGCGGCTTGTCATTTGAAGGAGACCCCCTGCTCCGAGACGCAGAAGCCATGGCCCGGAGGGCACCTTGGATGGTCAGCGTGCAGGCCAACAACACTCACCTCTGTGCGGGCACCCTCATTGCCTCCCGCTGGGTGCTAGTGGTGGCCCATTGTGTGGCCCAGTGAGTTGGAGCCGGGGGTAATGGTGGACAGACACTGGAGGGCAGGGAACGATGTCACCCCACCCGGCTGGTCCACCGTGGCAGCAGCATCCCCACCTGGCTTCACCCCCCACCCCCCTGGGCAGGCGGGATCTGAGTCCTGCAGATTCTCTCGAGGCCTGGGCTTGAGTGCCACGCAGTTGTCCCACGACAGGGAACAGAGTGCTGGAAGTGGCCTCTGCTACCTCCTCCGCTCTGCTGTCTTTCTCCTCCGACCCTCCCTCCTTGGAGCACAGAGGGCGGAGAGGGCCAGAAGGGGAGGCCCATGAAGGCAGTTGCTCCCTGAGGAGTCCCTTCAATCTGGGGACAAGAGAGAGGTTGACCCGTGTTCAGGGGCCTGGGAGCAGCACAAGGAGAGGGACCTTGCCTGTGGAGACACATGTTCCATGGCCACACAGGGACCCCAGTAGTGCACCAAGGAGGGCAACCTGAGAGCCAGACTGTGGGCACCTGCACAGGGCCTCTCCCACCTGCCAGTGCAGTATAGGATGCTGGGAAGAATCCACGTGCAGTTGCTAGCTGTGCAGCCCAGAGCAGGGCGCTGAGCTGGTACTAGCCTCCGTTTCCCCGTCATCGTACAGAAATGGGGAACACCGTTCACATTGTTGTGAGGAGCATGCTGGGGTTGGTCGGAGCAGGGGATAGGAGTAGGGTAGGAGGCAGAGCTGACAGCAGACCCCCTCCTACCTCCCCCAGGAACAATGTGAGCTACACAGTGAGGGTGGGGAGCCCGTGGATTGATCAGGTAACCAGGACCACCTCCGACGTCCCGGTGCTGCAGGTCATCCTGAACCCCAGTTACCAGCCCCAGCGCTACTGGTCCTGGGTCGGCCAGGCCAATGACATTGGCCTCCTCAAGCTCCAGCACGAGCTTAACTTCAGCAATTACGTGTGGCCCATCTGCCTGCCTGACCTCAACTTCCAGGTGGAAGAGGGTTGCCGCTGCACCGTGATGGGCTGGGGACTTTCAAAGGCTAAGGGTGAGTCCCAGCCACTCAGACCTGGGTGCAGGCCAGGGCGCTCTGGGGTGGATGTTTCTGGAACTCCTTCCCCAAGGGGCCTGCTGCCCAGGGTACTGTCCTGTTGGGTCTCCAAGGGCCCAGGAAAGGCACACAGCATAGCCATTTGAGCCTTGGGGATCCCAAATGCCCTTGAGTCCTCAGGCCCAGGCCAGGCGGATGGGCGGGACTTTCATGAAGGGCACATCTAATCAAGGACAATGTCTGCCAGGAGGCGAGCAAGCCCTATGTCTGCACCTAGGACCAGGGGTCACTTAGGGCCTATTCCAGCTCCTCCCATCTCTTTGGGGGCCTCCATCCTTTGTCATTCCTATGTGGGCCAGAAAGCAGGTGTATTCTCAGACCCATTTGGTTACCCCGCGAATGTCTACTCCCTCTGGAAACCTCCAGATGAGAGGGGTTGGTCCCTGTATCCCCAGGGGACCAACATACCCCAGAACTGCTGGGGAGGAGCTGGGAATGGCCAGGAGCCTCCTTTCCCAGCACACATGGAGCGGCTGCTGGGGAAGCTTGGGAAAGGAGGGCTTGGGAGAGGAGGCCTGACACAGCCAAGAGCCCGAGGTATCGAGGGAGGAGACAGAGACACCACAGGAAGCAAAGCCGGATGGCAGGGGTGGTGGCCTGCTCTGGGGTCTCCAGAACCAGGTGCCCGTGGAAAGTGCCGGCTGGAGGTGTGGGTGGGCTGTGCCACTGTGCAACAGGCAGCAGAGGCTGGTGGGAAGAGGAAAGAGAGGCCAAGCCGGTGGCCAAAAGCCGCAGTAAGCCAGGCCATCCTGCAGGCCTGCAGCCCCAGTTCCGGACCATCCAGAAGAAGGAAGTCACCATCCTGAGCAATGAGGAGTGCGACAGCTTCTACCGCAACTACTCCCACATCCCGAGTCTAGTCTGGATCATCACCTCCCAGATGATCTGTGCCTCGGACCCCAGCAGGGAACAGTTCTGCTATGTGAGTGTCCTGCCCTTCCCCCGAGGCCCAGGGACCTCCAGGAAGTGGAGTGGGTGGGACACAGAGAACAAGGACTAGGTGGGCACAGAAGGTGGAAGAGGGGAGCAGAGGGCGGAGGAGATAGGTGGGGATGGAGGGAGAGTGGGGGGGGAGGGGGAGTGCTGGGGTGTGAAGGTGTGTGCTTGGGGGTGCCTGAGCCAGGCCCATCCTCCTAAGCCTCTCCTGCTCCCCTTACCCTGTTTACTGTCCCCCTGCAGGAGGGGTCGGGTGAGCCCTTAGTGTGTTCCTTGGGGGCCACCTCCTACCTGGTGGGCTTGGTGAGCTGGGGTGCAGGCTGTGAGAAGAACATGACACCGCCCATCTTCCTCCGAGTCTCCCCCTACCAGTTCTGGATCAAGAACCAGCTCAGTGGGCAGCCCCCTCATCCGGGCGCCCCATCCCTGGCTCTGCTCCTGGCCCTGCCACTACCCCTCCACCTCCTGGCTGTTCTGTGATACTGGGCACCATTAAATGCTGCTCTTTCCTGGTCTCCTGCCTGGGTTCCCCCTCCGCTCCCCAGGGCTGGCTGCAGTGGGAGACAGGTGTACAGGGAGTGGGGAGTGGGTGGTGGCCGTTTATCCCGAAAAGCATGGGGCTGGGTCTGCCTCTGTCCTGCGGGACTTGGGATCTTGAGAGTGACATGGTGTTAGACCACAGTGGCTTAGAACATACTGTGTAGCCTGAAGCTGCGGGGACCCCCAAGCAGGGTGGGGCTGTGTCTCTGGGCTGGGAGGAGTGGGCTCTTCCCCTGAGCTTCATCCATCAGCAGCCAGCAGAGGGCCGGGGGCCAGACGGGGTCATGCATCACTAGGCTCCACCGAGGCTCTTGGTGGTCTCTTTCTCTGCCCCTTGGACTTCCCCAGCCCTGCTACATGCCAGGCTGCATCCTGAGGCCACAGGGCAGCAACTGCACCTGTCAGAAGGCAGGGTACCCAGCTCCCAGGGCAGCCCCCTGCCGTGTCTTCCACTCACTGTTGCTGAGTCCCTGAGCCCTTCCGGCCTGCCGGGATTAGCCTCGCCGTAGGCTGCTGATCTGCAAGTCCCCAGCACCAGGCTCAGGTGTTCAAGGCCACTGGAAGCCATGGGGCAGAGTCCTGGGGCTCCTCTGCCTTGATGGACCCAGGTGGCCACAGCTGCCCATCAGGCTCTGGGCCCCCTTTCCTTGTCACCCTCATTGGGCTGGGAGAAGAGTTGGGGAGAGAAGTCCTGCCTAATCTGTGCCACCTCTGTGTTGCCCCCACATAAGAGGCCCGAGGACAGAGTGTGCCAGGGTCTGAGAAGACACTGAGCTTTATTTACAAGTTGGCAGCTGCTTTTCCAGCAGCGCCCCTGCTCAGGAACCTCCTGTGCTGTCTCTTGAGTCCCCAGGCTCAGGTTTGAGAGCCGTGTGCAAAGTTTGGTGCCACGTGGAAGTCCCTGTGTCCCTCTCCCTGCCCCCCAGGGGTCAGGCCCCTTGGTCTTCGGCTCCTCTTCTTCCCAGAGATGCTGCTGTCACTAACGAAGAAGGAGGAGGCTGTCTCATGGAGCGGCTGCAAGCCTTGCCTTGACCCCCTAGGACCTTAAAATCTCCAGCCTCCTCAGGGTATAGTAAGAACCACCACAGCAGCCTGACACCCCTGAGTGTCTGCACCCAAAATGCGCCCTGGAGCGCTGAGTCCCAGGGCCTCACGTTAGTGTCTTGCTGCTGAGCTCCTTGGTGACAGGTGAGGCTTGTGCATGGCATGGTGCTGCGCTTGGATCCGCCGGGCCAGGGTCTCCAGTTCTGAGGCCCCTTCACCCCAGGAACAGTACCTTGCCAGGCTTGGGTCAGGCCCAGCAGCATCAGGGCAGCCTCTCTGCCTGCATCCAGCTGGATGTGACCCATCACTCCAGGCTGGTTGTTCGGAAGGTAACCACCCACTCCCCCTCACTGTGGGGAAGGGCAAGGTGGAGGCACAGCCGCTGGGGGCGGCAGTCCAGGAGCATGCCCTGTGGCTGGGAGGCCGATGCCTGCGTAGTCTTGGCCCTGCACCTGCCGGGCTGTGGGGACTGACCATGACCGTGGCTTCCCGGGACACAGCTCTGCAGGCCACATATGAGCTCGGAGTCCATGCTGCTGGCCTGTCCACCACTGCCTCATTTCTCTCCTTTCTTCTTCTTAGCCTCGCTCTTCTCATCCTCCTCTACCTTGATGGCTACCGTGTCCACACTGTCCTCCTTTTTCTTCTTCTTGTCCTCTATGGGGAAGGAGGAATGGCTGAGGTTGGGGTCTCCAGGAAAGGTCCCCAGAGCCTGCCTTGGCTTCACCTTTCTCCTGCTTCCTTCCCACCCAGCCTCGCCGCTGTAGCTTGTCGTTGCCACCCTGGTCCCCCTCCCTGACCCTGCTGCAGGTGCAAGGCAGGAGCAGAGTGACTGTGGAAGGCAGGCGGTGCCCGCCCACTCACCTCCGGGGATCTCCGTGAGCTCGTTGAGGGGCGGCACGGTCTCCAGCTTGTCCGTGTACATCTTGGCGGCCTTGCGCTGCAGGTACCGGGCCTCAATCTCCTTCCGGGTGCGGGGGACTCGGCAGTTGAAGACGCAGCACAGGGTGATAACTGTGGGGAGGACACGGAGCCTGGCCGGGGCTGGGCCTCACGTGACTCCGGGAAGGCTCCCAAACTTCAGGCCTGCTGGCATCCCCTCCGAGTGCCCCCTGCTCAGATGCAGGCCCGTGGAGCCCCCCTCAGGCCATGTGTGGCCATGGACTTTGATCTGAGTTTGATTTGAATCCTAGGCCTGATCTGGGCTGACACCAAGGCCACACTCTACCCCACGCTGTTCCCCTCCCCCAGGCCTCTGGGTTGCTCTGTGCACCTGGCTTTCCCGCCCAGGCTCTGGCAGCAGAGCCAGCATGGCCTCAGACCACGTGTCCTGTGGACCAGGGAGGGGCCAGGACCCTGCCCCAGACATTCACCTCAAGGTTATTCTAGGAGCGGTTTTCTGGCCAGGGCAGCTGCACCCACGCCAGTTGGGCCAAGGCACGGTGCTGGCCCGAGTAGTGAAGGCAGAACAGGGCGCTGCTGCCAGGACCTGGCGGGCCTGAGTTTATTTTTCTAAGGCCCCCACAGTCTGACCACCTTGGCTGTAGCTCTGGGGGAGGGGACAGAGCCTTTTCTTATAAGTCAGATGGGCAAACCAAGATTCTTGGCCAACTCCTGGGGAACAGAAGGGCCTAAGCAGCACCCGTCAGGTCTATTTTGAGGAAACGGATCAGACCTAGGTAGCCTGGGCTGGACAGTCCCAGTCTCATTAGCACTCATAGAGAAGCAGCAGCAGATGAGTGATGGGATGGCCCCAGAGCCTCCGCTGTGGGGACAGGGCTGGGCTGAGCAAAGGGGCTGGGCGCCAACAGCTCTGAGCCTGTGCAGCTGTCTCTGGTAGACCCTTGCAGTCAGCCGGCCTTCCTTGTCCAGAGACCTGGGCTCTGGCTCTCTGTCCTCTGTGCACACCCGAGATCCAGGCTTGGTCTCCCATCTGACCCTACTAGCTTGGGCCACTGCTCTTGGCCACCCATGGGCACCTCCTTGGACTGCCCACTCAGGCTGCGGGCAGGCCTGCTTGCTTCTCTTTAGCAAAGGGAAGAAAGTTTGAGTCTGTGGCTGCAGGAGACCCACATGGATATCCCTTGCCCCAGCCCCTCCAGCCACAGCGCCCTGGGCCAAGCAGCCTGGTGAGCAGAGGTTTCTTCGACACCTCGGGAGGAGTTGGGTGCCCACCGCACCTCAGGCCCCTGGGATTGAGCCTTCACTTCTGGAAACCGGGGTGGGGCAGAGGCTGCTCTGTGTGATTGATGTCCACGTGGAGGCTATGCTGGGCCACTCGATGCTGTGGCCCTCAGCAGTGATGCTCGAGGGCTGAGCACAGCCATGGAGGGGGGCTTGCAGCTCCTTCACCCCTGTTCTTGGGATGCCCCAGAGCTGCTCCCCAGACCTGTGTTCAGGGCTGCTCCAGGGGCTCCTTGGGACAGATGGGTCCCCAGCCCTGTCCCCTGCATATGGGGTTGGGGGTGTCTGTCCTTGGGGCCTCAGCAGGGAGCACAAGGCCGCCTCCCGCTCAGAGGGGGAGGAGACACTTTGTCTGGCACCATGAGAGGCACATGGGAGTCAGATGCTGCCTCTTTCATAGAGCTCCCCACATCCAGGCAGCTGGCCCTGAATATCTTGCCCTGCCCCTAGGCATCCCCTCCTGGAGAGCTGCTAGAATTCAAAGTGGGGTGCTCTGGGTGGACACCTCACAGGGGGTCTCCGAGCCCTGCCAGGGAGATGGTGCCCCTTCTCCTCTGTTCACCCCTTCCCTCCTCCTGGTGCCTTTCTGGCCAACCCCCTAGCACAGCCTGCCGTCCCCCTCTTCTGGCCTGGGCAGGGGAGTGAGTTTCCCCTCCCTTTACCACCTGCACCCCCACACTGCTCCCCATGGGACTCTGACATGACCCCGCCTTGCGCCCCGGCAGCCTCTTGCACCTGGCCTGTATTTCACGCACATTTTCTGTCCCCCTTCCCAACTCCAGACCCTGCCCAGGAGGAGGCCCAGGAAGGGTGCCTGCCAGGCTTGCCTGGCTCTGACTGCACAGAGCAGTGCCTAGAACCCAGGAGAGGAAGGCCTCCTGCTTTGATTTGAGTCACTCCCCGAAATGGAATTTGACGAGGCTGAGTTTGAGCCACATCTGCCAGGCATCTGGGATGTGTGGGCCCCTGGGTGTGGGCCCTGTGAGCTGGCCAAGCTGCGGGAGCAGCAGAAGAGGCCTCAGGGAAAATGGCTTGCCCCGCCCTCACAGGAGTCCCCTGTAATTATTCTAATTGCCGTGTGGTTGCCTCCTGCATCTAGCAGCAGCAGAAATCTTTGGGTCACCACAGGCCGTCAGCCCTCCCTGGGGACAGTGCACAGATCCAGAGATGCCAGAAGCCACAGTGGGCCTCTTGCGGGCGCCTGGCCTGCTTGCACTGCCCGGAATTGCTGCCCTGAGCCTCAGGGTGGAAGGGTCGGGGTGTGGGGTGCAGGCAGTGTGGGCAGGGGTGGAGCGGCTACTCACTGATGGACAGCACGAAGAGCGAGAAGATGCCCACCACGTGCCACAACCGCATGTCCCAGAACACCACGGTCTCCTTGGTCAGAGGGGGTGGCTTGGGCTTGGGCGGAGCAGTGCTGGGCTGTGGAGAGAGAAGAGTGAGTCAGGGGTGCCCAGCAAGTCGGGTCCCAGCTGAGAGGTCTCAGCAAGGACTCGGCCCAGTTTCAGAATCTCCTGGAATTCAGTGCCTGGGACCTTGGGCCTAGCAGCCTAGACCTCTGTCAGCTCAGACTGGGAACCAAAAGCTGAGTGGAGTCACAGACTGTAGCAGTGGGGTCCTGGAGGGCAGGCAGGGCTGGTGCTTGGGAAACTGAGGTGGCAACAAGTCCAGCCAGGTCCAGGGCCCCTGTGGACATGTCCTGAGTCCAGTCCAGAGCCCTCTCACAGGCTTCTGTGTTGGCCACAGGATTTACTCTCCAGCCTGTGTGGAGGAGCCAGGCCCAGGCTGTGCTGCTCTGCCCCGGGTACCCACCAGGTGGCCCCCCAGTGGCTGGTAGGGCCCAGCTAGCGTCCTCGGACGGGAGAAATAATTGTAATGCAATGGCGACATCTAGAGGCCAGAATATGTAAGCGAGGCTGTGATAGCCCGGGGTCAGGGTCCAGCAGGCCACCCCTCCCCCCACTGCCCTGCCCTGGGGGTTGTGGGGTCCGGACCCTGCTCTGGGTTTCTAGGAGACCCCATTCATGCTGCCCCAGGTTTGAGGGCCCTTCTCCAAGGGACACTCACCCACCTTGTGTTTCTAAAGGACACAGTCCTACCCCACAGAACAGGGGACATAGCCCTGGCCTGGGCATTTCAGAGGGCTGTGACCTTATCCCAGGCATCTGGAGGACTGTAACCTGGTCATGGGTGTCTGTGGGGGCCATGAGCTCATCCCAGGTGTCTTGAAAGGCTGTGACCTTTCCTTGGGTGTCTGCAGGGGCTGTGACCTTGTCTGGGGCATCTATGACCTTGTCCTGGGTGTCTGTGACCTTGTCCCAAGTATCTCAGGGATGTGACCTTGTCCCAGGCATCTGGAAGGTTGTGACCTTGTCCCAGGTGTGGGGGGGGGGGCATGACCTTGTCTAGGGCATTTTGGGGGGCGCTGTGGCCTTGTCCTGGACATCTGGGGACAGAGCTCTGCCCAGGGCACATGGCCCTGCTATGTGGAATCTGGGCAGAGCTGGCCTGACCAGAAGTAGTGCTGACCCTCTCCTGGTCACCAACTTTGAATGAGAGGCAGGAGTGGGAGCCAGAGCTCAGGGGAGCCAGGACCTTGAGCCTCCATGCACAAAGCCAGAGGGACAGACTGCTCTCCTCCCCACGTGCTGCACCCACACCCATGGCCTGGGCACCCCCACATGCCTGGCACCCCTCCTCAGGCAGATGCCACCCTGCAGCACAGTGGATCCCAGCCATGGGGTCCATGATTCCCTGGCTCTGTCTGCCTTCTTTCCTCTGGACCTGTTTCCCCGCCCTGCCTGGCCTCCAGCAGCTTGGGGGAGTCTCTGGTTGGCAAGATATGACCTCAGCATTGTCCCCCAGCTGCAGGTATGGGTCAGGCCTGTGGGGCAGGCACAGTTGGGGGTGAGTTGAGCCTGTGGAGCAGGCATGGGCTTGTGGATGCTGGGTATGAGTGGGTGTCACCAGTCTCCTGTCTGGTGGCAGGGCTGGTGTCTGGCCGGTGGCGGTGGTCTCTATTTCTAAGGCCCAGGCTGTGACCTGGCTGGCTGGTGAGCCTGAGTGAGGGCCCAGGTTCAGAGCTCACATGCTCCCCTTCCTGGCCTGGCCTGGGCAGCAGAGTGGGGCCTGCAGGGGACTGGGCCTGGCCCAGCAGTGGGTGGTAGGCCCTACAGGGGTCCGGATTCTGAAGGCTGGGGTGGATGACATGGACGTAGCCCTGTCATTCTCTGGTGCTTCTGGGGTGATAGGTGATGGGTTCTGAATGCCAGTCCTTTGGATGAGTGGGGGTAGAGGGTGGGGAGATGCATTCCAGGGGGTGGGGTGATAAGTCTTGGGCTCAGAATGCTCTGGACCCCTACCCAGCCTTCCTCTTGTGCCCAGGCCTGCTGGGTTTCTGCACTCAGGGCCCCGGGGCTGCTCTAGAGGCTCAGGCCAGCCTGGGTCCCCTTACAAGGACACTGGAGCTGACACTGGACCCAGCTTGCCCTCCCGTCATGCCCCCTGGTCAGCAGTAGTGGGGACAGGCTGAGTAACGGTGCGGGGCTCTGACCCTTGTCTCCCAGCCATTCCACTTCAAAGCTATATCCTTCAGACGCCTGGGCGTGGCTTTGTCCTCCCTCTCACCTCCTGTCCCCCAGCACAGCACTTTGGGGGTCCCCTGTATACCTTTCCCTGTCTCCTGCACTTCTGTCTCTCTTCAGTTAATGCCAAGATGCAACCAGGTCTCTACCTGGGTCCTGCCAGCTCCCTCCTGCTCAGCCAGAGGCCTCCACCTGGACTGGGACCACCTTGTTCCCAAGAGCAAAGCCTGTGTCCCCCAGGGCACCCCAAGTTCAGGGCCTGCCTCCCTCAGCAAACTCGAGATCAAAGGGACCAGTGCCTGTGCTCCCTGCCCAGGAGACCACAGGGTGGACCATAGGGGCTGGGTGTCCCTCCCATGGGGCAGGGCTGTGTCCTCAGGTGGACAGGGGGTCAGGCAGGAAGTGTCTCCCTGCTCCACTTGTCCTAAATCTTCAGACCAGGGGACCTAAGGCCTGGTCTCCCACACAACTCAGCCCCCTGGTCTCTCAGGTCAGAGAAAGAGATCAAACCAGCTCCCCACAGTGCCCTGCCTGGATCCGGACCCCCCACGCCCTCCGCATTCAGCCTTACCTCCACCAGCTGGCCGGCGACCCTTGAGAGGCACAGCCCCACTGCCCACAGGGGCCCTGTGCCCCACCACTGCCCGGCCATCATCTTCGGATGGCTGCAGCTGGGGTAGACAGGGTGAGGCAGGTGGGGGCCACCTGGGGACTGCCCTGGCCAGCGGTGCTGGCGCTGGGTGGTGGCGGTAGCCAGCAGCTCTGGCTGCAGCAGGGGAGCATCATTTATTCATCCTCAGTGTCAGGTTCCGGCTGCTGACATGGTCCCCGCCTGCTGTCCCTCCTGGGAGATCAGACTCCAGACACCCTCCCGGACCCAGCAAAGGCATGTCGAGGGGGAGGCAGGATGGGTGCGGGTCCTCAGTCAACAGGTTTCCCCCTCCTCCTTGCTCCTCTTGGGCCTCAGTTTCTCCACCTGGGACAGGGGAGGAGCTGGCATCGGCTGATCTCAGAGGCCCTTCCCATTCTGACGTACTGAATTTCAAAAAACCCTACTGGACTGAGGCAGGGTGTGTAGCAGGCACGTTGCCATGGTGACAGGCACTCAGGGATGTCCTGGGCTTTCTGGCTGGCTTCCTGCCCAGAGGCAGCTCTGGTCACCCTGGACACCAGAGCTGGGAGGGGGATGGACAGGGGAGGATGGCTCAGCCAGACCCCGCTGGTCGCTGGTGCTGTGGAAGGTTCTGGAAGGAGCTGGCATCTTCTGCCCCTGGGGTGCCACAGGTGCTCTTGTCTGACCCTGGGAGCTTTCCTTCTGTCCCACCTGAGTCTCCCTGGCCGACTTTAGCCTGGACACCGAGCCCCACTGAAGTCTGCCCTCTGCTTCCAACTCCTCCGAGCCCTGAGGGTTCTCAGTGCAGCCAGGGGAGGAGGGGGGTCCACAGGGGCTGCGAGACCTGGGGGAGAGGCAGAGGCGCCTGAGTAGGGGGCCCCCTCCTTTCCTCCTGTCCATTGTGGGTGACTTCCTGCCTGTGCAGCGCTAGGAGAAGGGCCCAGGTCTCGCGGATCAGCGAGGACGCGGCAGAGAGGGGGTGCGCAGAGAGGTGGGCACTGGGCTGTGGTCTGGAGCTCGGGGCTGGGGAGGTTCGAGGCTGGGGCCGGCCGCTTACTGAAAACAAACGACGGCGGCGCTCCTGGGGACCCCGAGCTTCTCCCCAGCACCAGCACCTCAGTCTCGACAGCCAGGGCGCACGTGTGGGACAGACTCTGGGACAGCGTGGGAACCCCGGGGCCACCATCTGTCCCCCCACTCCGCGCTGCTCTCTGCAGACCTGAGGCAGAGGAAGCGGGCGCACGGTTCCCCCAGGGCAGACCCACAGCCCTCGCTCGGCCTGCAGCTTCGCCCGCCCTGGAGGTGGCGCAGCTGGGCCACACAGGCCCTCAGCAGCCAGGGAGCTCCTCAGGCGAGGCGTGGGCCCTGAGACGTTACCTACGTTACCGCGCCGAAACTCCATTCCCTGACCGGTGGCTGAAACGGGGTGCAGAGCTGGCGGCGTTAGCTAGGCATGTGGGCACACGCCTGTTACCCCAGCACTCGGGAGGCTGAGACATAGGATCGCTGTGAGTTTAGAACCAGCTTGGACTAGAAGTGAGCTCAAGGCCAGCCTGAACTGCATGGTGAGACCTGGTCTCAAAAAGATGAGAAAAAAACCCAAAACCAATTGGGGACTCTCTCACACCTCACTCGGCCCCCTTCTCTCTTCGCTGTCTTCACCCTGCCCCCCCCCAAGCACTGCCCTTGCGGGGGTGGGGGCAGTGGGTGCAGGGCTTGGCCCCTGTCTGGTTTCTTCCATATTTGAGTCAAGCCCCCCCAACTCCCCCCTACAGGGGACCAAATATAGTTCTATCCCCGAGGATTCCGGTCAAATTGACTCAGTCTTAAATAGCAGGGTGTTCTGAGAGAATGCAGTTTTACACTTTAATAACCTCAGCGGCAGGAAGCTGCACACCAGAAGCTCCATGTGAAAATTGAATTAATTAAATTTGCTTTTTTGCCCTCTGAAGATGGCAAAAGTTGAATGGAAAAAACTCTTAAAATTAACTTACAATCCTAGTTTGTAATCGTGGAGGCTGAGGCAGGAGGATCAGAAGTTCTAGCCCAGTTGGGGTGACTTAGCGATTTAGTGAGAGTCTGTCTCACATAAAAAGAAAGAAAGAAAAAAGAAAAGAAAGAGCCAGGATGTAGATCAGCTTGAAGGGCCTGGAGTCAACACTTAGTATTGCAGGCAAAGTAAAACCCAAACCAAAACCTCCCAAGATGGGTCTTTTAAATTATTCACATATTGAGCTGGGGATTTAGCTCAGCAGCATAAGTGCCTGCCTTGCAAGCACATGGTTGTGAGTTCAATCCCCAGTACCAAAAAAAAAATCACATATTACACAACTGAATTAGCATAAAGAAAATTTAAATAATGGAACTTTTGAATTATAGTTCCTGCAAATGTGTTGCTTTATGCTTCATGACTTCTTTTTTAGTTCTGATTTTTATTGGCTCGTGTCTGCAGCATATCATGATCGCATGCCTCGCAAGGAATTGGTACCTCTGCAGAACATATCTCCAGTCTGATGCCAGCCCCCCCGCCCTTTTCTTTGTCTTCTGGTAACTTCTGAGGTTATTAAAGTCAAGAGCCAGGCACGATGACATATGCCTGTAATCCCAGCACGCAGGAGGCTGAGGCAGGAGAATCACTAGGAGTTCAAGGATAGCCTGGGCTATATAGTAAGACCCTGTCTCAAAAATAAATACCCTGTCTGCACTTGGGTCCAGTACTGAGCTCTCACAAGGCCCGAAATCAACCCCAGGTGAGTCCAGCGAGCCTGGCTTAGGGGAGCTCTAGGTGTCCACGCCCCTGAAAGACAGCGCCCCCTCTGTGCGTGTTAGCATGAACACTGGCCATAAACGTTACTTGTCCCTTCTGTACTATTCTTAGCTCCTGAGGGTTTCCATAGGGACTGGCCTGGCCTCCGGGGCCTCTGGGTTGGAACTATGGCCAGCCAGTGGGCGATGGCTGGGGGACCTGGGAACAACTCCCCCCACCCTGCAAACAGGAAGCTCTGGTGCTCGGGGTTTATCACTGGAGCTGTGGTGAGGGAGTGAGGATCTTCCGGTCACAGAGCCAGTCTGGGATCCAGGGTGGCAGGGACTCAGCCAGAGTGGGGGTGGAGAGGGCCTGACCTGTGACACAGCTACTGAGGCCTGCTGGGAGCTGGCTGCGGCTAGACTTGTTGGCCCCAGGCCAGGCCTGGAATAGCTAAGGTCCAGGCCAGGCCTGGGTCAGGCCTGTGTGTGCATGAGCGTGTGCTGGCTTGCACCAACAGCGCACTGTATGCAGGGACACGTGTGCATCCGTGTGTGAGTCCTGGTGTCCAGACTCACAGGCCATGGATGCATACACGTGCATCCGTAGCAGAGTGTCAGGCTGCATCCCTGCTGGGAACAGAGCTCCTACAGTGCCGCACAGGGGCCCAGGCAGCAGGCCCGGGAGCAGAGGGGTCCACAGGGCTGCATGTGTGTGCAAGGAGTGTGCACGGACCCTGTGTTACAGAGTGAGGTGAGGAGGAGGGGGAGAGGCAGGGCAGGCCTGCCCCATCTGGAAGGCAACAACACTGGGTCTGCAATGCCGTGAGGCAGCCTGAGAGTGCAGGCTGCTCCATAGGCCCAGGCTCAGCGGTCTCATTCCCTGCGTGTGGCTCGGCAGAAAGCCTGTGCCCTGGAGAGAAAACTGGATGAGATCGGCCTGTCTGGTCCTCCTCCCTCCGATGTGCACAGATGGGAAAACTGAGATGAGGTGGGGGGCAGAACAGGTCTAGAACCTAAGCTCTGCCCTGTGACTTGGCAAGGGAGCTGGGTAGCCCAGGCCCCCAGGCCTGGTTCCAGTTAGATTAGGGACTCTACCAGGCCACCCTTTTCCCCGGTCCCCAGTCACCTCTGGAGCCCTGGCCTTGTCACTTTATCTCAGCTCCGAAAGCCACAGTAGCAGCTCGGGCAGGCTGCTCAGCTCAGGAAGCTGGAGCCGGTGCCGCTGGCAGCGCTGGGTGACTGACCAGTGGCCGAGGGCTCCTTTGTTACAGATTTGCTCCCTCCTCTTTCTCAGACTCGGCGGCCTGGTCTTACCCAAACTTTCCAAGGTCTCAAGCCCTGGCAGGAAATGCGGACTTGGGCTCCACTGGGAAGCAGGCAGAGGGGCCGCCCCCAAGGTCACACCCAAGGACACTCAGCCTGGGTGGCTGCAGGGCCAACTTCTCTTTCAGTTACGGGTCCAACGGATCCACTGGCCTGAGGGGTGCAGAGCGGTCAGCGAGGGACTGCACCCCAGGCCAGGGTATAAGTATGGGGCCCACTCAGGGTGCAGGGCTAAGCCCCAGACTCCCCAGCTTTCCCCTGCCTGGGGTTCCAGCAGCCCTGGGAGCTCAGCAGTGGCCCGGAACCTTGGCGGGTGACTCTGGGTGCTGCATTCCGGCCCCTCCGAGGCCCTGCCCACAATGACACTGGGGCGGGACAGGGGCTGGGTGGGCTCAGCACCAGGGTGGGGCGGCGCAGCGCGACACAGCGGGGAGCAGCGGTTGCGTGCAGGTAAGGGGCGGGGCTGCCGCCGCCTCACACTGCTGGCTGCGGAGCGCCCAGTCAGGGCCGCTGCTGCCGCTGCGCGGCTGTGCTGCGCTCCGTCCCGCGGGCTCGCCTAGGACTGGGGTTTGTGCCTGCACCGTCCTCCCCGCCCTGTGGCCACCTTGTGGGGGTTTAAGGCAGCTTAGGGACAGTGCCTGAGCTATATCCAGCTGGAGGAGGACGCCGGCAAGCGCAGGGAGAAGGGCTGGACGGAGGGAAAAGCAGGATGCTGGCGTTATCTCACGGGGCAGCGTGGACGGTGCCTGACAGCGGGGACAGAGCTGAGTATTTGGAAGAGGCAGGGGACTACATAAGTGACCGCAGAGGCAGGAGGTGTCGGGAGCAGACACGACAGCTTCACGATTGCCTCGTGTGCTGGTTGACAGGGGCCAGCCAAGAATCGCAGGAGGCCCCTGCCTGTCTAGACCAGGAAATACCAGAGCAAGGGCGGGGACAGGGTGCGGCCAGGGCGATGGGGCTGGCAGGGAAGCAGGGAGGCCTGGTGACCTTAGCGGCCACCGAGTGTGGACAGGAGCTGGGCTTGTGGGAGAGAAGGCAGGTCTGACTGGGGCTGGTGGCCACAGGGACAGAGGTGACGCACCTGTGCATGCCAGGACTGGCTGCACCACACCCCGCTGTGACACTGAGTCAGCCCAGGGAGCTCCGAGGAGGCTGGGTGCTGCCGGGATCTCACTGTGCACTGGGGTGAGTCACCCAGCCTCTCTCAGAATGGTGGCCAAGGTCTGGGCTTGCACAGGCTCTGCAGAGAGCATCTGGGGACCTCCGATCTTTCCCAGGCCTCCATTTCCCCATTCGTGCATCATGCACAGCCTGCCCCTTAAGGGAACTTTGGACTGGAGAAAGGGAGAGAGGGCCTTGACCACAGTGGGCTGGGGCTGGGCAGTAGTGTACCTGGTGTGGGGTCCCCTAGGGGTGGCAACCTGGAAGGACCCCAGAGTGGGCAGTTGCCAACCTAGGTCCGCAGGACTCATTCTGAATGGTTCACAGGGGCTCAAGAACCAGGTCCCAGCCCCTAGAAGTTCCTTCCATGGTTAGCTCTTTGGAGGGGCGACTGTGGTAATTTGGAACGCTATGATCGCGTTGCACCTCCATTCCACCGAGTGAGGACAGGCTCAGAGAAGAGCAGGGCTGGGCAAAAGCCGGGGCATGGAAGGGGCCCATCGGGGAAGCGTGGGGCGACCTCGGGTAGTTTAAGGCTGGAAAGATGGACGTTCACTTCCATCCGTTTCCAGGAATGTGGGTGAGGGTCTATGAGCCTGGGCCACTCTTGCCCCGCCTCAGGCCTTGGAGCCCGTGTCCAGCTGCTTCCCCTTCCTGTGCAGAGCAGCAGCAGAGCAGGAAAGGTGGGGCGGGAATGAATGCCTGGCCCTGGGCCAGGTTCCGCCCCTCCAGCAGCTTGGCTGTGCTGAAGGAAGCCTATGGCATCCTTGGGGTGAGTCCCCTTCCTCTGTCACATGCCCACCATCGAGTGCCCTGCTGATGTCCCCACCCAGGCCAGCTAATTCCAGAGCCTCTGTTGGGATCAGGGAGAGACATGGCCCCAGGGGCTTGGGCTCGGAGCCCTTCCCCCACTCTCCATGACAAGGTTTCTGCCTGGGTCATTTGGGACCCTCGCTGTCCTCCCTCCAGCAGGGACACTCCATTTCCGGTGATCCTTGCATGCTTGGAAGCCCCTCTGGCTGGGGACAGGAAATCCTGCCTTCCTCCTGCAGCACATGGCTTCCTAAGGGGTCCCTTGCATAAGACTGAGCCCAGCTAGCGGTGGTGGGCTCTGGACCCTCACCTTCCTCACTGCCTGCACCGTCTCCTCTGTAGTGGTCACCAAGTCTGATGCTGGGTCCACTGTGACATTGCTGAGGCCCTCATGGCTCTCCATGGTGGACAGAGGCAAAATCAGGCCTCTGTGGGCCGAGTCAAGAGGCCGAGCCCGCAGGCCCTGAGCTTGACACTCCCCCAGCTGTGTTATGTCCTCCACGGCTCCAGCCAGAAGCCTCCAGATCCTCTGGTCCCATCCAACCTCTCCTGACTTACACGACCCTGTTGAGTGACAGATCCTGGGGGTCTCGAGGACAGGCCTGGCCCCTCTGACAGCACGTCCCTGCTTCTAGAGGCCGCAGGGTTCTGATGTGATGGTGAGGTGGCTAGGACCCCGTGACATGGCTCTTCCCAGGCACATGGGAGCCACAGCAGGTGTTTGAGTAGCTGGAATTGAAGGACGGGTATCCCGCAAGAAAGGAAGGGCGCTTCCCTTGGCGGTTCTGGGCTGTCTCACCTGCCCCTGCCCCGCTTTGCCTGCCAGGGTTTCCCCGGGGACATGAACCAGACTCCTGGCTCTGTCCAGATGTGGGTGGCCATGGGCCTTGCTGCTGTGCACTGGCTCTGGTCTGTATCCACCCAGGGGCGCCATGTGCAGCCGGGAGGTGGAAGCAGCCCTGCTGCGACTGGAGGAGACCTTCTCAGCCTCCCTGGCCCATGTCAACACACGCATCCTGCAGCCTTTGCTCTTGGCCGGTGAGTCCAGGCTCGAGGGGGTAGGTAGGGGACCAGGGCACAGTCCTTGGACAGGAGTTCCACCTTGCTGGGCCCTCTGAGCTGCAGGTTTCTCAGTGTCAAGGGGCAGTGCCAGCACTTGGTGTCATGGCCCAAAGTTGCTGGCTGCTCCCTTTGTAAAGTGACCCCAAGGGGTCAGGCTGTGAGTCCGGGCTGACACTCGGAGGTGCTGACCTCTCCTGGGTTGATGGGAGAGCTCTGACCGGAAGGCAGCACACCTGGGCTTTGCTCCTGTCTCTGGTCTCCCTTGTGGAGTGACCTTGGGCAGGTGTTGTCCTTTTGGGGCACCTGGACATCTGTGAGATAGCCAAGGACCATCTAGTGACACTCTGAGCTCTGAGTGGGTAGGGAAGCCACAGTCCCAAGGGGTCCCCAAGATTGCCAAAGTCACCCCGAGTTATCAGGTGGTGACCATGCACTGGAGTCTTCTGCAGGGTACTACCCACTGTCCTGGCTTGGCCCCCAGCCGCCAGGGCCATGTCCCATTCACCATGTGACTGCCCTGTGCAGACCCAGAGCCCTGGGAGCCCCGGGGGCGCGAGCACCTGCAACTCTTGCAGCAGCTGCTCAGGAGCTCCCAGCAGCTGCGCCAGCTGACGGAGCAGAGCCTGCAGTCCCTGCTGAAGAGGCTGCACCAGCCACGCACCACCGGCCTGGAGGCCCTGCCGCTGCTGGGTAGTGCTGACGGCGTCCTGCAGGTCCATCTGGAGTAAGAGGGCCAGGGCGGGTCTGGGGTGGGGCTCCCCAGGTGTGGGTGTTACCTAGTGGGGGGAACTTGGACATCCAGGCCTCAGCCTCAGAGCCTCCTGGGCATATGTGTCTCATTGGGTCACAACATGACGTTGCCCGTGGCCAAGCCTCTGCTGCTCAGTACGGAGGACTTGGGACGAGAAGGCAGAGGCTTGGGTCTGGAGCCAGGCTCTGTGCCACAGGTACATCGAGTCCTACACAAGCTGCCTGGTGGCGCAGGTCTTCCAACAGGTGGCAAAGGGGAAGAGGTGAGCAGGGGTGCTACAGGGGACCTCGAGTGGGAGCAGGGATTGGGGAGCCTTATCCCCAGAGCAGCAGGATCACAGCTGTGGAGCATCTTCTGGGCTGTAAGGGCTCCACACTGATCCCTTTGGGAAGCGGAAGGAGAAGACCAGTGAGAACGGCCTCCAGCCTCCAGCCCATTGTCACAGCCCTTCCTGCTCACAGTGACCCTGTACTCAGCCTGCCTTCCTTCAGCCTGGGCGCTGTGGATGGGGCAGTAGCCGGGGCAGGGCAGAAGGGAGGGTGATGGGGTGCATGCCCCACCTCTCCACAGAGAGCACTGGCTTGCTCAGTGCAGGCCGCTGCAGAAGTACCTGGCTGGCATGAGCTTCGAAGGCTCAGTGGACGCCGTGCTGGGCCAGGCCCTCTGCCAGCCACTTGCCCAGCACCTGCAGCAGTACATACTCCTCCTGCTGCGCCTCAGGGACACCCTCAGGAAGGTGGGTTAGGCTGGGTAGAGAGGTAGGGGAGAGGCTGGGGCCGAGGCTCAGGGGTCCCTGCCTCTCCTGAGGGGTCACAAATTCCCCACCCTGCCCTGAGGCTCCAAGGGGGTCACAGCTTTGCCTTGGAGGTGGGAGAAGACCCAGAGGGCAGAGGTGGAATCTCATTCCGGCTGCCCCCAGCCCTCCAGCCCCTCACAGTCTGTCCCACCCCTCACAGCACCACCCCGCCCAGGAGCTGGTGATAAATGCCATCACCCTCTATGGGAACCTGCAGTCCTTCCTGCAGCAGGCACTGGACCAGGCTGTGGCTACCCAAGCCCTAGGGCACAGCCTAAGCAGCCGCCTGAAGGTGGGTCTGGGGCCAGAGGGGTGGCCAGGCCAGGGGTCCACGTGGGCACGAGGATGAGGCTGCTGGCTGGCTCCAGCTGCTTGATGTATGCTCCCTGCCTCAATTTCCCCATTTGGGAGAGGCATTGGGGGCTGAACCAGAGAGCTGCTGGTCACCCCCATCCAGCCACTGAGCAGCTCGTGAACCAGCCTTGACCTGGCTCTGGGGAAAAGCAGTCAGAAAACTAGATGTGGAGGTGCATGCCTGCAATGTCACCACTCAGGAGGCTGAGGCAGGAAGATCATTGGCAGTTCAAGGCCAGGCAGGCTGCAACTGAGTTCAAGACCAGGGCAAACTACACTGCTAGACCCCATTTCACAAAAGCCAAATCTCCCACTCATGCTTAGTATGGCAAAAAACTGCAGAATGGGTTCTCTCTGGGTTGAGGGGTCACCAAGCACCCCTGAGTCCCTGCCAGCTTGTCACACCCTGCCCGGGGCACAGAGAGCCCTGTGTCTGAGAGGAAGTAGACCTGGGCACAGGGAGGGACAGCAGAGCTGGATGGAGCCAGCCGGCAGCAGAGGACACAGAGGAGCAGGTGGCGCCACTTGCTGGCGGTGCCTGTCACAGGCCTGGGCTCCCCTGGAGGTGTCTGGGGAGCCTGCCGATCCTGTATCTCCCAGGATGCACTCTGCACGCCTGGGCACCGCCTCTTGCAGGACAGCCAGGACATTCCGGTGACGGCCATCCCGTTGCGGGCTGAGCGCGTGCTGCTCTTCGATGACGCCCTGGTGCTGCTGAAGGTGGGGGCTGACCTGCTTCAGATTTCACACCCATGCCTGGGGTTGGGGGGATGCCCTGCCTATAACAGGCCACTGACCCCTGGGCCTTTGCATCGGCCACTGTCTTCCCTGGGCTTTTGTACTGGCTGCCATCTCTGTGGCTGGCCTGTGTCTGTCCAGCTCCTCCTCAGCCTTGGGCCTGGGCCTTGCACTCCTTTCTTGCTGGCCACGGAGCTGTGAGTGACCTGGCCAGGCTGATCCTGAGGACACAGCACAGATCTCTCCAGAGGCCTGGCTGGGGGTGAAGCCATCCAGAGTAGGCAGGCAGGAGGCAGCCTGGGACCACGTGCAGGGTCAATGCCAGGTGACTGAGCCATCCTTTGCAGGGCCCCAATATCCACTCCTTCGATCTGAGGCTGGTGTGGGTGCATCCCGTGCAGGACAGGTGAGCCCCTGCCCCCGCCCTCCCTCCACCCCTCAGTCCCTGCCTGGGAGCCCCAAGCTGCCACTCCACCCTGCCCGTGCACTGGGGCAGCTGTTCACCCCCACCCTAGGTGCATGCTCCGCGTCGTCACGCCAGAGGACGAGTTCTCCTTGTGTGTCAGGGACCCCCAGGACCTGGTGAGCACCGTGGGAATCGGGGATCTTGGGGGTGGGAGTGGAAGGGTCTCTGGTAGAGTGGCAACTGTCTCGTGTTCCTGTCAGGTGGTGTGGCAGTGGAAGGTGAGCCAGGCCGTGTGCCAGGCCCTGCGTGGAAAGAAGGACTTCCCAGTGCTGGGGGCCGGTCCTGCACCCTCCGAGCCCCCGGCCTGTCGCTCCGCAGCCTACACCTTCCGCACCAAGGGACACCTCTGCCGGGCCACCTATGAAGGCGAGTGGTACTCGGGCAGGCCCCACGGCAAGTGAGTAGCTGCTGGGGGCGTGGTGGGGTCAGGATCTCACCTGGAGGCCAGGCTGGCCTGGAACTCAAAGTGATCCTCCTGCCTCAGACTCAGGAGTGCTGAGATTACAGGCGGGCACCATCATGCCCCACAGCAGAGCAGTGCTCTTCCGTGGTGGTGTGGAGGGGCCCCCTGGGGCAGGCTCTCACCTCTTATAAGGGAATCTAGAGTGTCTGGGGCTCCCCAGGGGTCTGGTGAGTGCCCCCACCAGGCTGCTGGTGTGGAGAGGGTTAAAGGGATGTGGAGGGAGAAGGGGCTCAGCTCAGAGGTTGGTTTGGTGGTGGGGAGGACCTCCGTGGAGTCCCAGGGCTGTGGTAGGCTGGGTCTGGTGGCCTGATGGTTGGGGGTGCTGTCCGCCGTGTTCCAGGGGGACCCTGAAATGGCCGGATGGGCGGAATCACGTGGGGAATTTCCGCTGGGGGCTGGAGCACGGGTAAGGCCAGAGGAGAGAAGCGGGGTGCGTGTGGTCTGGCCCAGAAGCCCCATCTGAACCCCGAGCAGGAGCACAGAGACTGGGGAGCTGGGGCCCTGCGCTGAACAGAGAGGATCCTGCGGGGGAGGGACAGGCCCAGGGCCAGGAGGGTCTCAGGGCTTCACGGCCTGGGTGCAGAGACGGGCGTCCCGGTGGCAGGGTGGGCACTGACGCCTGCCTGCTCTCAGCAGCTTTGGCATTTACCTGGTGCCCAAGGCCATCGAGGACAAGTTCGACTGTTACAAGTGCCACTGGCAGGAGGGCACCATGCAGGGCTACGGCATCTGTGAGTAAGTGGCCCTCAGTGGCAGTGCTGGGCGGGCGGGGTGGCCCTGGGTGTCCTGGGAGGCGAGTGAGGCCAGCCTCTGTGAACCCTCCAGGTACAGCTCGGAGGAGGTGTACAGAGGCTACTTCCAGGCTGGCCTGCGGCACGGGTTTGGGGTCCTGGACAGTGCGCCCCAGGCTCCCCAGCCCTTCCGGTACACGGGCCACTGGGCAAAGGACCAGAGGAGTGGCTACGGCATCCAGGAGGATGGCAACAGGTGAAGCCACCACCCTGTTGTCCCCATGGCCCCCCAGCACCCCACTCCCTCTGAGCTCTGGTCCTGGCCTGGCATTCGAGGCCACACCTCTTCCTCACCCCACTGCAGCCCCCGCACCCCAGCCTCGCTCTGAATCCCTGGCCGCCCCCTCGGACCGTCTCAAGCTCTGGCCTCCACAGCCTGCACACTTGGGACTTGCACCCTCTTCTGCTGTCCCCCTGGGAAACCTTCCTCCCCAAGCCCTGGCCCAGCTGGATTCTGCCCCCCACCCTGTCCCCTAGTGGTGAGCGCTACATCGGCATGTGGCAGGCTGACCAGCGCAATGGCTCTGGCGTCGTGGTCACCCAGGCAGGCATCTGCTACCAGAGCACTTTCCAGGCGGACAAGATGGTGGTGAGCAGGAGTGGCCCAGTCTGTCCCATATGTCCCAACTCCCAGGGAGATAGGGAAAGCGCTGGAGGGATGCCACCTGCTGCCCATGTACCCTGATCTTGCTGAATCCCAGCCCCAGAGCGACTCAGGTTAGGAGTATTCCTTCAGAGCCCCAAAGCAGCGTGCAGTGACGCCCCTGTACCCTGGATCCCACCACCCTGTGGGGTCCTCAGGGAGCCTCAGGGGAAGAGACATGTAAATGACAAAGACAGAAAGCTTAGAGGGATCCGTGTGGCCCTGGGGCAGTGACGGGAGTTGGGGGAATCCCAGGGTGAAGAGCCAGGCTGGGCCGTGCATAGGGCACCCAGGAGGGAGATGCCCTGGGCTGGTACTCAGCAGCCCAAGGGTGAGGGTCCCCTCGGGGGTCCCTGCTGTCCTTTCCCACTCCTGATGCATCTCTCCCCCGCACCCCCCAGGGCCCTGGCGTCCTCCTCTCGGAAGACGACTCATTGTACGAGGGCACCTTCACCAAGGACCTGACCCCTGAGGGGAAGGTGGGACCACTGGACCTGGGGTGCAGTTTATTGGCTGCACCTCTGGGCCCCAAATTCAGGCTGGATGGAGGGCGGGGCAGAGTCCTCCTGTGATTGGGAGTGGACGGAAGCTGTGTCTTGCATCCAGAGGACACTGGTGGTCCCTGGCCATGTCTCCCCAATTCCCCCACCAAGTTCCGGGAGCTGTCCCTGGGATCACCGTCTGGTGAACACTCCTGCCTCAGCTGACCAGCCAGAGGCACTGGTGCTGCCGTGGGACTCTGGAAGCCTTTGACAGGGAAGAGCAGGCACTGCTGGCACAAAGGGGTGGACCCTGGGGTGCTGGCCCTGCCCGTCCTGTACCCGCTCATTCCTGGGCTCTGTCCTCCCTCATTAGGCTGGGGCCCCCATCCATCCTCAGCCCCTCTGACCTGAATGGCCAGGCATGAGGGCATCCTATCAGGTGACAGCCCTGCCTCTGCCCGCTCCCCAGGGCAAGATCACCTTCCCCAACGGCTTCACCCTGGAGGGCTGGTTTGGCAGTGGGACAGGCAGAGGGCTGAACACCCAGGGAGTGCTGGACACAGCTGCCCTCCCGCCGGACCCCAGCAGCACTTGCAAGAGGTGAGTGTGGCCGCTTGGTCTGGCTGTGCTGAGGCCTCTACAGAGACGCTGGGCGCTGCTGAGAGCCTGGGGGCCCAGTCACAGGCAGCTCCGGACAGGGGAGCTGCGTCCTCCACACACCTGTGGGGGACACGCGGGGGGTGGGCAGAGCTCAGGCTCGAGAGTTGTTCTAAAAGGGGCCCCTGAGTGTTTACAAAGCACACACACACACACACACACAAGAAAAGGGTGAAGCGAAGGAAATCGTGGATCAGCCATAGAGGAGACAGATAGACAGAGCCTGTGAGGGTGGTGGCCAGATGCTGGCCTGGCGCTGGTCCCCTGGCAGTCCTAGTCGGGGAGGGAACTTGCCAGCTGAACTCACTGTCACAGGGTAGTGTTGTTTTGTTTTTGTTTTGTTTTGACTTTTGGAGACAGGGTCTCAGGATGTAGTTCAGGCCAGCCTTGAGCTCACTTTGTAGCTAAGGCTGGTCTCAGACTCTCAAAGATCCTCCTGCCTCAGCCTCTCAAGTGAGGGGATCATAGGTGTGCACCACCATGCCCAGCTTCCTGTAGCAGTATTTGAGGGGCAGACAGACATTTTTCTCCCCTGTGAGGACCGAGTTCTGCCCTGGGGAACCGCAGTGACAGCAGCATCTCTTGGAGGCTCTGTCCTCTTGGAGGGACTTGGGGGACAGTGGTGTTCAGACACAAACAGGGGGTGGCGTCTGAGTGACCTGCAGTCCCTGCCCGCAGCTTCTCTCGGGCAGCAGGCATTGGAGTGCACAGTGGTCCCTTGGAGACGCCAGGTGGGGCACAGCTGTGACACACTGCCTACTGCACATGAGCCCAGCCGGGTGTCTTCCAGGGGTGACCCACCCCAGGCAGAGGCACCTGGGCTTTGGGCACTGGGCTTTTCTTGGGCTAAGACGCCTGCTGGCCTTCCTTGGCCTCAGCGCTCATTCCCTGCGTTTTCTGTCTCCTCTTTCTGGAGTCCTGGGATTCTCTGTCCCAGAGCTCATCCTCTTGGCCCCCCTTGTCGAGGCCACCCCATCTGCATGCTGCCGTCCACCCCCTTTCCCGGGGCCTGACCTCCCCAGGCCTGGGTCAGGGGCCTGCAGCTCACCTGTGACCTCCTCTCACTGTCCCTGGGCAGGCAGCTGGGTGTGGATGCCTTCCCCGTGGAAAGCCGCTGGCCTGGCGTCTATGGCCCCTTCCGGGTCTTCATGGTGGCCGGCTGCCCCGGGGAGCTGCAGGAGGCCCTGCTGGGCTTCCATGTCCAGAGATCTCGGGTGCCACGTCGTGCCCAGGACTACCTGCGCTGTGAGAGGTGAGGTGGGCAGGGGGACCGCAGGGTCTGGCTGTAGGTGTGAGCACAGGTGCAGGTGAGGGATGACACAGGGCTCCATACTGCCCAGGAGCTGCCTGGAGGACGAAGCAGGTCGGATGGAGGACGCCCTGGAGGAGCTGCTATGTCACCGGGAGCCCGCAGCCCTGCAGCGGTACCTCCAGAAGGTGAGGTCCTGGGCCCCCGCCCGGGAAGCCTCTGGGATGCAGAGTGGGTGCTGAATGTCCCTGTCACCTCCACCCTCGGCCCAGGCTCTGAACTCCACCTGGCACCCACTGGGGAAGCTTCTCCGCACCCTGATGCTGACCTTCCAGGCCACTTACGGGGGCTTCGGGGCCAACAAGCACCTGCAGGGGATGGCGCAGGGGGAGGTGAAGCAGCACGCCCGAGAGCTCTGGGCTGCCTACAGGTGAGCCTCCCTGGGACCCTCCCCACCTGTCCTATCCCTGCAGCTGGGGGCGTGGCTCCTCCGACTCCTCTGAGGGTAGCCAGTGTGCAGCTGTGAGCAGCAGAGGGGACTGGGACCACGGCCAGGCCATGGCAGCTCTGGACCAGCATCTGAGGCTGTCCTAGGCTCTGGGGACTTGGAGCCACTGTAGGCTGGGCTGTGATCCAGTGGTCACTGCAGACAGAAGTCCCCTGCTACTGGGCTAAGGACACTCCGGCCCGCGTCCCCTGGCGCCAGCCCTGAACCTGTGATGACTGAGGCGCTGACCTCAGTTGCCCCATATTCCTGGCTTTGGGAGAGGCAGCTGCCGACCACAGGTGGCCGCAGATGTGTCCCTCTCACTGGCCGCAGGGGTCTGCTGCGGGTGGCCTTACAGCGCAAAGGCCAGGCCCTAGAGGAGGAACCTGAAGACGCAGAAACAAGGTGACCAGCTGGCCAATCCCCTGGGGCCTCCCTGGGGAAAGGAAAGCCAGCTGGGCAGGGCTGGGCACCCGCACTGGTGGCCACACTTCACGTATTGGTCATTTGTGGATCACGGCAACCTATGACCTCTGTCCTGGGAGAGAGGGGGGACACACGCAGTGCACCGCCTGGGGTGGCGGTCCCCAACTGTCTCTATCTCTCAGGGACCTGCAGGTGCACAGGCTGATGTTGCCCCTGGTGCTGCCCAGCTTCTACTCCGAGCTCTTCACCCTCTACCTGCTCCTGCACGAGCCAGAGGACGCACTCTACAGCCAGGGCATTGCCAGCCTGAGCCTGTTTCCAGACAGCAAGCTTTTGGAGTTCCTGGACGTGCACAAGTGAGCCGCCCCTTCTGCCTCTACCGGCACCCCCTCGGGCTTCTGCGACACCCAGAAGGGTGCCAGGATCTGTGCCCAGGTGGGCTGGATCTAGGTGCCTGCAGAGCCCAGCGTCTGTCCTTCGCCTTTGGTTTTCCTCTGGCTCCCCCTGGTGATGATAGATGTTCCTGCAGCCGCTCCAAAGTCAGAGCCTTCCAGCCCAGGGTCCTGTGTCCCCGAGGGAAGCTGGCGTTTCCTTCCCAGCAGCTCAGGCAGGGCCCCCTTGAGTCCCTTACTGGCTTGGCCTGGGCCCTTGGGCCCACCCTGAATGCTGCCCTCACTGGTCAGGCTGGCCCCCGAATCCAGGCAGGTGTGGGCACTTGAACGGAGAGTAGGGACAGGAAGTCCCCTGTTTTTTTTTGTTTTCTGAGACAAGGTCTGGCTCTGCAGCTCAGGCTGGCCTTGAACTCACTATAGAGCCCTGGCTGGCTTGGACTCTCCGTGATCTTCCTGTCTCAGCCTCCCAAGTGCTGGGGTAACAGGCATGAGCTGCTAGGGTACCCGTCACTGAGAGAAGACCTTTTCTCCCTGGCCATGCTGATGCGTGGACACCACGGGTGACTACTTGGCCTCTCTCCCTATGGCCACACAGCCCCTCTTTCCAGCTGCACATGGACCCATTTGTCACACGGGCTGGAGGATCACTTCCTCCAGAATCTCTGGTTCCCTGCCTCGGCTCCGTGTGCGCACCAGGGTGGCGGAAGTGACTGAGGTAACTGATTCCCCGCCTGCCTGGCTGCCTATGCCTCCTCCCTGAGCCTTGTTTACTATTCCAGGCACCTGTGGCCCCTCAAGGACCTCCGGCTAACCAGCAATCAGGTAAGGGTCAGGACCCCGGTCACCCTGCTGTCACCGTGATTCCTGGATGCCCAGCCCGGAGCCCACCAGCCCCAGTCCTTGTTGCTTGGAGCCAGGCCAGCGGGGTAGCCAGGGTCACTGTGTCCTCTGCATCTGGGATAGCCAGGGTCACTGTGTCTTCTGCATGGCTGGGCTGTGTCTGCGAACATGGTGGGTGGCAGAGGGCTTGGCGCTGGGACCCAAGCTCACCCTGCTCCTCCACAGCGGAGCTCCCTGGTCAGGGACAGATGTTTCCTGTCAGCCACTGAGTGCCTACAGAAGATCATGTGAGTCTTCTGGGGAGGGGAGCATGGGGCGGGAGCGGGGGACAGCACCCCAGGGCTGCGACTTGGAGCCTGGAGCTGGCAACCTGCTGCAGCACCACCGTAGACCCCCGGGAGAAGCTGGAGGTGTTGGAGAAGACGTATGGGGAAATCGAGGCCACTGTGTCGCGAGTGCTGGGCAGGGAGCACAAGCTGCCCATGGACGACCTGCTGCCACTGCTCATCTACGTGGTGTCGCGGGCGCGGTGAGGCCCCCTGGTTCCTGCCCCTGGTCCCTGAAATCCATGAACATCGGGGTCAGGACAGGTGGGGAAGCTGAGGCCCGGAGAGGAGCCCCACCCCTCGGGCATCCAGCCCACGTCCCCCACATGACACTGCCTTGATGGCCCCCTCTCCCCTCCTCACCATCTTGGGGATGGGGTGTTCTCCAGAATCCAGCACCTGGGCGCCGAGATCCACCTGATCCGGGACATGATGGACCCAGTCCACACAGGCGGCCTGTATGATTTCTTGCTCACAGCCCTGGAGGTGAGCCTGGCGTGGAGCTGGGGTCACCATCCCGGAGACCTCCAGGCTGCGCCCTGGGCACAGTAGGAGGGGGAGCCCCACATCCCTCAAAGGGTGGAGCTGGAGCTGAGTGGGCCTCTTTGCGAATGATCCCAGCCTTGCCCCTCTCCCCAGTCCTGTTACGAGCACATCCAGAAGGGAGGCATGAGGCTGCGTCGCCTACCTGGCCACTGGGACCTCAGGGACCTCAGCTAGCTCTGCACCAGGACACGGACCGCCCCCACCCCCCAGACCAGCACTGGCCCGTCTCTGATGATCCTTGAAGCTGAGGCAATGAGCCGCTCTTGTTTTCACCTTAGCCCGTACGACAGGTCCCTGTGGCTGTGTTCCTGGGAAGCAGGCTCCGGGCTGTAGCATGCTGTCCCCAGGAGTGTCCCAGACCTGCCGCCTCCCTGACTCTGCCCTGGGCCTGTGGGGCAAGGGATTGGGGCCCAGGAATTGCAGTCTACTCACCTGTCATCACTGTCAGTGAGTTCCAAGTGGCCTGTGAAAGACATGCTGTGGTCTCTGTGGACCTTTCGGGGAGCACAGCAGACACCCTGAGGCCAGCCTGGGCCCTGACGGATAAACACCCTTCAAAGCCAGCTGGATCTTGGGCAGCCTTATTGCTGCAAGAACACTGCTTGCACTGAGCCAAGGCTGGGCTCCCCGAGCCCCTTTGTGCCCTCCTCCAGAAGGACCAGGAGAGACTTCTGGTCTGGTTCTACCCAGTGTGTCAGTCTGAACACAGGGCTGGAGCTGGCTTCTGCCAGTGACTGGTCGGCTTGTTGTGGCTGTGACAAAATTTCTGGGAGAGTGACCGAAAACAGGAGAGGGTTATTTGGGCTCAGGGTCTCAGAGGCTTCAGTTCATGGTAGGCCAGTGGACATGTGACTGAGGAGAGATGGAAGGGAGGAAAGGGGACGAGAAGAGGGTGACGGGGCAGAGGGAGGCAGGGTGAGAAGAAGCCGAGGACACAATCACTGACCCTGTTACACCCCCAGTGGCCCCTACTTTCAGCCAGGCCCCGCCTCCTGAGTTTCCACCTCTCTGTCATCAGTTGGGGACAGCTGTCCATGCAGGGGCCTGTGGGGTGCATTTCAGATCCAAACCATAATAGCTAGGAAGCTGTGGCATCCCCAAGAAAGTCCCTGGGGGGGGGACAGACCCACTGGAGAGGGAGGACAGGATCTCAGTCCTCTAGCTGTGGGCAGGAAGAACCCCTGCCTCCTGTCCTGCTGTGCCAAGGAGACCCCAGCACCATTCTGGCCTCCTTTGGGGGGTCCACCTTGCCCCCAACATGGCTTACAGTGGCCATAGCTGAACACGGGCGTGGAGGTGGGGGCAGCAGAGTGACCTGTAGAGCCAGGGCCTCCTCCCTGCCTCCCATGTAAACACTGTATTTGAGGGGTGCTTTTCTGGGGAATTCCCACAATTAGAACCACATATTTCTTCCATTTTTGTGAAGAGTCCATTTGATCTTTTAGTGGCATCTGCTGTAGGTGGTGGGGGTACTAACCATCTCACAGATGCCCACATAACTGCCCACTGTGGGAGTCCCAGCTGGGAGCCGAGCACCCTTGAATAACTGCTGGGCTCTGTATGTCAGGAATGCAATCCTGTCTGTGAACTGGCAGAGATCTGTCCCATGGCCAATGCCCAATGCTACTCTTGGGAGACTGTGTGCCAGGACTGGGTGGTACCCCTGCAGTGCCTTTGGCACTCAACCCCGGGGCTGGCACTCAGGCACATTTGCCAGCTGTTGTGGGCCTCATGTGTTGATCTGGACTCTCATGCTTGTGTGAGGCTGTGTGCGGGGGACTGAGGTCCTTCCCTGGGCTCTGCAGAGTGGGTCACCTTGCTGGTTCTGCTGATGTCCACTGCCATAGGGTCCTTTGCCACAGACAGCCATGTGTGTCATGAATAGAAGGCACGGGCCCGTGAAATCTGCTGCACAGATTTGGACTAGATCATCAAGTCACTCTGTGGTCACAGCCAGTACACTTGGTTAGCACACTGGCCACTAATGTGGAGGATGATGCATTTAAGAGGGAAAGGACTTTCCCAGGCATCTTAGCTTTCCCACTGCTGGACACTGTACCTGCCACCCACGATTTAAAGGAGGAGAGCTTGAGTTGGGCTCACGGTTTCAGAGGATTCAGTCCATGGTAGGGTACTCCAAGGCAGGAGCATTGTGCCAAGCTCTTTAAGCTAATTGTCCCTAGTGACTATTGCTCTTTCTTTTAAAGTGCCACTCTGGCACACCACTCAGGGACTTTGAGTAGGTTTATAGGACCTGCTGAGACAAGGCTGCCTGAGAAATATATAAAAGCAGATTGTAAGACCACTGGAGTGAGTTTGACTTTAACAGGGCCTGTGTGGGAGCACAGGATTCAGCACAGTGGACAGAGCCCTCCTAGTTTACCCAAGAGGTAGGAGGAGAGGCTGCTTATATGGCAGTTGCAGACCTCTGATTGGTTCAAGTGTAAGTTAGTGATTGGTTCAAATTTGGGTCTTTTGATTGGTCCAAGTACAAGCTGTGGTTGGTTCAAACAATTGGGCATCCAGGGAAGCCCAGCCCCCATGGTGACAGGTAAGCTGATTGCTTGACAGCTGTCAGACCTCCCTGAGTAAGGGGGAACTGAAATGAGCACTTTCAGGAGGATTATCTGTCCATCGTATCTATTGGGACTTGGGGGTGTTAACAATTTCAGCCGTGAGGTGCTGGGGATTTAGCTCAGTGGCATAAGCACCTGCCTTGCAAGCAGGTGGTTGTGAGTTCAATCCCTGGTACGGATAAAAAGTTAAAAAAAAAATAATAATAATTTCAGCCGTGGCAGGGTTGTCCCTTTCCTTCTTCAAAGAGGAGGCAGCGGTGGCCAAGCTGCACCTCCTGTTGGAGCAGCCTGGGTGGTGGCTACGAAACAGCTCCATGAGAAAGGCAGAAGGGAAGCTGTCCTGGTCCACTTGGGTGTGACAGCCATTGGCCAAACTGTGCCCCTCTCCTGCCTGCACAGGAAAAAGGGGGAGTCAGGGGCTCGCCATCTGTCTCATGCTGAGTGCCCTGGGGATCTAGGAGTTGCACACCTGGGAACCTGTGCCTGTTGAACCCAACAAGTTAACCTACATTTGAACATCAACTTGCTTTCTTCCCTGTCCCTGTCAGGGGCTCCATTTCCAAGAACAATTTCCAGAATGACCTTCAGACCCGTGGCCATGAAACGAGGCAGCCGGCTCGGCAGTTGTGTAGTCCTGGGCATGGGGAGAGGGGCGAGGCCAGGTGTTTCATGGCCTGATGCTGGAGGTCAGCAAATGCTCTGTCCCCAAACTGTCTGAGGCTGGCTCCATGTCCTGGTGCTGCCGCCCCCAAGCTCCTCCACTCCCCAACAGGCTGTCCCCAGCCGTGTAGGGGACCACACGGGTTTCCATTTCTGGTCTCTCTCCGCATCAGCCCCAGGATAAGCTGTGTGGGAGACTCAGAGTTAACGTGGGTGAAGAACCCTCACACAGGTGCCGTGGAGGCTGGATTAGCTCTTCTAATCTCGGATCAGTGGCTCAGCCTAGTTCTGGGTTCACCTTGGCTCTAAATAGCTGAGCTGGGCCTTGTGTACTTGAGCAGCTGCCATGGGCAAGGCTGATGCTGTGTGACCAGTGTGGGACATGGGAGGCCAACTCCTCGTGGAGGCCGGCTTCTCCCTCTCTGTGATGGTGACACTCGTCACCGTGTCCCCAGCTGGCTGTGCGGTTTCACCACTTTCCCGGGGCTGTGGTTTGAATGCCTCCTCTAGGGTTCATGTGTTGGGACAAGGTGACTGGGTCCCCAGGGCTCTGTCACGGCTGGAGTGGGTTTGCTAGCAACACCGTTTGTCCCTCTGCCGCTCCCTTCCTGTGCATATATTTTCTTGCTCTTTCCGCTTCTACCAGGGACGCTGCTGTGCTAACTTTCCTCACCCTTGGACTTCCCAGCTTCTGGGATTGTAAGAAGTAAATCTCCCTTCTTTATTCATTACCCAGTCTTGGTATTTTGTTACAGCAACACAGTACAGACTAAGAGGCTGTTACGGTTTGAGTCTGGATGCCCCCACAGCCTCGTGCAGTCAGGGAGGTGGGCATCTAGAGTGTGTGAATGACTGACAGTTCAGTGCTGGGATGGTGGGTGAGTGCTACACCCAGGTGATGTGGCCTGCATGCAATACAGGGACAGAAAGAGTCTTCTGTCCATGCTCCCCACATTTTGCCCTTGTCACCCTTGGTGCCTGGTGGTGCCCCTGTGCCATGTCACCCTGCCTTGTAGATAATGGACTGGAAGCTCCACAAACTGTAAGCTAAATAAACCTTTCCTTCCCTAATCTTGGGCATCAGGTATTTTGTCTCTGCAATGAGAGAAAAGTAACCAAGACAGACACCCAGCCTCCTGGAAGTCCTCTAGCACCATTTGTTGCCAAACTGCTGCCACACAAGTTGAGTTTACCTTGTGGTCACTCGCAATGTGAGTCTTAGTTTGCTATGTAACAACCCCTCCATTGCAGCAGCACCCAGGGGCGGCCAGGTCACTCTGCCTTGGGCAGGGGTGTGTGTCTGGGTCTGCAGGGATGACCTGCTTTTGGCTCCATGTTGCATTCAGTGTCACATCTGGGGGCCAAGGCAGCTACCTGGACGTCTGCATCTTATAGAGGTCAGGAACTGGCAGCACCCACGGTCTCCGAAGGCCACGGCTTGGACCTGGCTGCCAGTTACATTGATTAAAACAGGTCCTGTAGCCAAGCCCAGCCTTCTGTGGAGGTAGAATAAAACATATGTCCAAAATATTTTAAAATCTTTGCCAATTTGTTTTGCAAGGCTGGGGATGAACTCAGGGCCTCTTGTGTGGTAGACAAGCACTCTATTATTGAGCTCCTTTTTACCTGTAGGGGCTTGGTAACTGGTGGTGGACTTAAACACCAGCTGAAGTGCATCAGCGTGGTGCTGAGCGTGGACGGCCCACGGGAGGGCTGCTGTCAGCATAAAAGGAGACCTGGAGAGGAAGAGTAGCATTGTGAGTTCTCCTAAGTGTGGTTGTTTGGAGCTGTTGGTCCTCCTGGAGGAGCTTGTCATGCTGGCCTCACCTGCTGGCACAGATCCTTCACCCCACGGGCACAGACTTTTTAGCTTCGACTGCTGAGTTTTGGGCCTTCCCAGTGCAGATTTATGAAATAGACTTGCATGAGTCATTGTTGTGGGCTTCAGGTTTTCAGTTGAACTCAGGCAGGTTATTGCCAGGGGATCCAGGCCTTCGGCTGGATCTTCTAGGTCTTCAGTGTGTGGACAGATTTCCTGTACTTTCTCTGTATTTGACTCCTTGTGTGATCATTATAAATAATACTATAAATTAGGTGCGCTGCATGTAACTGTTCCCCTTGCAACCCCTGACCCACAACAGCACCTTTTATTTTGAGATAGGATTTTGCTAAATTGCCCAGACTGACCTGGAATTTGTGACCCTTTTGCCTCAGCTTCTCAAATAGCGGAGGTAATAGGCAGGTATCGTGCCCAGCTCTATTAACTTTTAAATTTTATTCCATGTATTTGATATTCACAATTTGGGATGCTCAAAAATAATCCTTAAGTCAGATTTCACTCTTTGGTACCATGCTTAGAAAATCTATCCTTCTATCGCATCTAATTCAACCCCTGAACCCCCTAATTTAAGAAGAAAGGTTAGGTAAGAGGGGGACCAAAGTCCAGGACACCCGTCATGTACGCAGGGGAAGTTCAGGAAGTGAGACCGTTTTCACAGCTTTGTTGAATACATGTGTAGCGTCCATTCTGTCATCCTGTAGGTGACTTGTTCCTTAAAATTGCTCATAAGAGACCTTTGAGGGCTTAAGGAAATAGCTCCTGTGGCTCATTCACCTCTCCGACAACTTCAGAGAACTCTCCAAAATGAACCCTCTTGGTCCCTGGGATACCTTTGTCCGTACACCATCTGGGCATTTTCCTCTATGCCAGTTTAAAAGGCTGCTGTGAAATCTGTCCTTTGTCTTTAGTTCCTTTTTTGTTACTGAGACATAGTACCCAGCATCTGCACTTGAAAGGAGGAGAGGTTGGAGGCTGAGGCAGGAGGATCGCTGTGAGTTGGAGGTCAGTCTGGGCTCCAAAGTGAGTTAAAGGCCAGCCTCAACTGTGTAGCCAAACCTTATCCTGAGAAAGGCAATAATAATAATAATAATAATAATAATAATAATAATAATAATTTTCCCAGAAAGGGAAGACCTTCAAGTTAACCACTACCATAGCAGGGACACACCTGGGAAAGCCATGTCACAACCCACGTGGGCCCTGCTGAGTCCTTCATGTGGGCTGCTGTGGGCCTCACGTGGTCCTCTCCTCCTCTTCTTTCTTCTTTACCCAACAGGCCCCTGATAGAATCAGCCAAGCTCAGGAATGAACTCTTCTGAACTCTGTGCAGATCTTTCTAGAAAGCTGTACTCTCTCCTAGTCAGCCATCTTGGCATTCTTCCCTGAGTTCCCTGTAGCCTCAGGAGCTGTCCCCATGGCAGCCTTCTGGGCCCAGGGAGGCTCTGAATGGGGACAACTGTCCAGAATGTCATGGAGCACCCACTGTGGGAGATCCACTGGGTAGGTGGGAGCTCCTAGTGGAGAAGTGGAGCAGAAATGGAGAGCAGGGCCCGACTTCAATGGGCCCAGTGGGAGAAGGCTCTAGAAGACCACGCCCTCAGCACACTCCCTTCCAGAGGCCAGATGGAAGGTCTGGGCAACTATAAAGGGTGAAGGCTTCCTGGTCAGCAAGTGGCCTTTGAAGCTGAGCGACCCAGTCTGTCCTGCGCTGACGGACTCACACAGCTAAACTATGCCCTCTGTGATGGGGAACATGCCTGGAGTGGACCCTTCATGCTCCTCAGCCTATTCTGGAAAACAGGAGCTGTGTGGAGCACAGGCCTCCATTCCTTCCTCAATGCACCGGTGCTGAGTCTAGGGACCCCGAGTTTCTGCGTCCACGCTCACACTCGGGGCCATGGGTGGGGCCCCTGCCTTCCTGGTGCTCCCTGGTCAGCCTGGCCGCGTGGCCACAGCCGTACTTCCCGTCCCTCACCCAGGACACCAGGTCCATGAGCTGCTTGACCTGCTGACCCTGTAGATGAGACAAGGGGAAGTAGGGTCTGCCCTTCTTCGGGTGCCAAGGCTGCCGGGCAGCAACCAGGACCATTCAGACCCCGAGGGTTACCAGGGAGCCCCTAGGATGGACTGAGAGCTGGACTTCTGAGCTGCTGTGAGCCTCCAGGGCTTTTCTAGAACTTGAGCAAACCAAACCTGTGTAACCCACCTACCAGGTTCCAGGGAAACATGTTTTTCCTGGAACACATGGTACATACCTATAATCCCAGTGCTTGGGAGGCTGAGGCAGGAGGATCTCTGTGAGTGTGAGGCCAGCCTGGACTACATAGTGAGTTCAAGGCCTGAAATTTAAGAAAGATGCACACCTATCAGTCCTTTAAAAACAACTTCATTCTGTGCATACTGATGAATGTAGATTTTGCAAACCACAACAAAAACAAAACATTGTAACCCAGACATACCAATCAGTGAAAATTAGATTCAGCCTGGAAGAGATTCGAGCCCCACCCCCACCAAGAAATCATGAACCGTTTCACCTGTTGGCCCATCTATACTAAGAAACCTCTCCCTACAAAAATGGTTTTCCCAGCCCAAAGCCTCTACTTCCCTCCCACCTCTTGAGGCAGAGTTCATCGCTGTCCTGGAAGAGGACTGTGGTGACCCACAGCTTCAATGGATCCAGCTGGGATCCCTGCAGATCTGTCCCTGGCAGGACAGCAGGCAGGCTGAGTAGCCAGCCAGGTTGCTGCCTTTGTGGTGAGACAGGGTCTCACTCTGCAGTTCAGGCTGGCCTTGGGGTTGGCATTCAGGCTGGACATGGGCAGGGGCATGCTGGGCCCATGCGGATTTTATCACCCCCACATTGAGGTCATCACTGCTTGTGTAGTTCTGAAAACCAGTTAAATTCACGCAAGGCTCAAGGAATTTCAAACCTGACTTTGTTTATTTACACTAGTGTGTTTCTGCAGGGGGCGCATTTCTCCTTCCTCCAAAGCAAGCAAGGGAAGGGTTACAGGGAATCAGGTTTCCTAGGAGGGGCAGAGACTGCGGTGCGGGGTGTAGGCTGAGCGCTGGGTCGGAGGCCCCTCAGTGCGCTCCGGAACTAAAACCAAGCGGATTTCAAAATCAGAAGCTGGTTCCGTGGCAGTCTCCCGGGAACCGTGGTCCGTCGGGGACTCAGGCTGATGACTCCATTGCAGGGGCCCCGGTGGTCAGGGACAGGAGGAGGCCACTCAGTTGGGGCTCAGCCGCTTCTCTGTCTCCTCTGGGTTCCGCAGCCTCAGCTTTGATTCCAGCTTCTGCCTCCATTCCTCCCGCAGCCTGGGGACCAGAGCCGGGGCCCAGGAAGAAAAGGCTTGTCCTCTGTCCGGGGATGCCACCTTCCTTCCTCTCCAGCCCCCCAAAACTATATAAGCCTTCAGATTGTGAAAGGACATGCAAGGGACTTGCAAAGTTAAATATATGCCAGTCTGTATTTGTTTATATAAGTAGAGTCTCCTTAGGTAGCCCAGACTGGCCTTGAACTCATAGTGATCCTCCTGCCTCAGCCTCCTGAGCGCTGGATGACAGGTATGGGCCACTGCGCCTGGCCAGTTTTGCCTTTAAAAACAACAAAGTGGACAGCGAGGCCCTGAGGCTGGGATTTCGCAGGTGGGCAGCTGGGGGAGGGGCACACAGGGAAGTCCGCTGGCAGCTGCTGCCCGAGCCCCCTACGAGCTACAAGCGATCTGGAAACACAGGGCGGTCAGGAGCACCCCCCCCCCCCCCCCCCGCCTACTTCCTCAGGGCGCTGCGGCCCAGGCGGTGCTCCTCTGACTGCCGCTGCCGTGCCTGCTTGCCGATCTCGTGCTCCCAGAAGCGCGTGAGGTCGTGGCAGGTGTTCCCGCAGAAAACCTCGCGCCGAGTGTACTGGTGGTTCATGCCCTGAGGGGGCGAAGGGGCGATGGGGTCCTGTCTGAGTCTCCCCCCCTTTCTCCGTCAGGCATGCTATGCAGTCCAGGCTGGCATCAAAGCCTTGGCAACCCTCCTGCTTCGGCCTACCAAGTGCTGGGCCTGGCCCCCTGCCTGCCACTTTCTGAAGCAGTTCTGGAAATCCTCTCTTGTGTCTTTATGAGTTGTGACCAAAATTAGGGCGAATGTAGCTGATGGGTGCCATTAGGCAGAGAGGCAGACTCATGAAAAGGCTCCTCCCCAAAGTCAAAATGACCCGGAAAGGGGACTTTTTAACCAATTCCGGACATCAAGGCGAGAGCTGCTGCTGGAAGTGGCCGGGACACTGGGATGAGTGTTCCAAGCCGGTGGAGGATCTGGGGGCTCTCAGGCAGTGGGTCTTTTACTGTAATAATTTTTTGGTTGCCGGGGGTTTAGCTCTGTGGCATAAGAGCCTGCCTGGCAAGCGTGAGGTCGTAAGTTCGATCCCCGGTACCAAAAGTAATAATAATGTTTTGGTTTAAATATTCACCACCATATTTGTCTTTCACATTGTACATTCTGGATAATCAAACGTCTCCCTTTTTTATATGAAGAAGATTTTCTCACCTCAGGGTGCAGGGGGTCCTACACAAGTGCCCAGCAGTGCCAGAAGCAGTTGAATCCGAGTTGCCTGGGTGTCCACGTCCCAGGGGAAGTGCTGAAGGAGCAGATATTGGTCACTTTCTTACCGCTGGGACGGAACGCCCAACACAACATGGTTAAAGGAGGAGAGGCTTCATGGCTCAGGGTTTCAGTAGGTTCAGTTCAGGGCAGGCTACACCCAGGCACAGACAGCGTGGCAGAGGGAACTGGCCCAAGCCCTGGCAGCCAGAAAGCAGGGAGAGAGGAGAAGCCAGGGACAGGAGCACATCCTTCTGGGTCACCCCCCAGTGACCACTTCCAGGCAGGACCCACGTCCTAACAACTCACTCAGGTGGGACCTGTCCAGCACCTGGCAGTCCAGTCACTGCCCACACATGCAGGACTTTCAGGGGACATTTTAGATCTGAACTGAACCAGGGCATTTGCATGCATGGCTGCAGAACTCAGCTAAGTGGTGGTCTGGGGTCGCCTTGGAGACAGTGACCGGGTCGGCAGGGCAGGGGAGGTGTTGGAGGCCAGCCTCTTACTGGCCCTGCTGCTGCCCGGTCTAAGCCTCTCCCTCACCTCCAGCTTCCTCTCAGGTTCAAGTCTGGTCACAGATGTAAAATATTTTGCCATTTATAAAGCTCTGAATAAATGCAGAGGCTGAATCTCCCTTATCCAAAATGCTTGGGATCAGAAGTGCTTGGGACTTTGAATTTGTCCTTTGATGTGGTGATATTTGTGTCTATGCAGTGGGATATTTGCAGGGATACGACCCAAGGTGAAATATGAAATTTGTTTATTTCATAAGCATCTTGGACATATGACTGGAAGGTGATAACTGTGTAGCTGAAACAGCATTGTGGTGTGCAGTTGTCTATTTTAGCATCATACTGGTGCTCAGAAAAGCTTCAGATTTTAGCTAGGCATGGGGATGCATGCCTATAATTCCAGTTCTCTGGGAGGTTGAGGCAGGAGGATTACCGAGAGTTTGAGGCCATCCTGGGCTACACAGTGAAAAACAAAACACACACACACACACACACACACACACACACACACACACACACAATTAAGTAGAGAAACAGAGTGAGCTCCAGTAGGGAACCTTGTGATGAACCTCAAGATGCTAGAACAACAAAAGCTTCCGGAACCAGGCAGACTGGTCAGCACCCTCATCCCCACCCTTCCACCTTCGCCGGGTTCTTTGGCAGCCCTGCTGGTGGCTTTGCCCGAAGCTGCTGATGGCACCATGATGGAAATGAGTGACATCTCCTCGGAGGAAACAGCACCCTTCCCTTGAGGATGAGAGACGCTGTCTCCTTCTTAGTCTCTGCCCTCACCGTGACCATGGCGGGAATTAGCACTGATGCTATAGCCTCGGGAAGGAATGCAGCTTTAGGAATGCACGTTTAGGAAACCACAGAAATAAGACAGTGGCACACATCTGTGGTCCCAGGCTTCTGGGAAGCTGCAGCAGGAGGGTTCCAATTCAAGGCCAGCCTGGGCCACCTAGTGACTGAAGATCTTGTCTCAGTAAGAAAAGGGGAGGAGGAAAAGCACAGGAAGGAGCAGGAAGAGAGGAAGGGGGGAGGAGGATGGCAGGGAGGGTCCCCCCAGGAATAGAGAGTCGCCTAGGGCCCCGACCAGCCTCAGCAGTGTCTCATGGCCAAGGTTCACCGGTGCACAGTGAACAGCTATGTCTCTGGGTCTGTGCTCCTGTTTCTCGCCTTGAGAAAGGTGACAGGGGGGATGGACAGCGGGACATGCAGGGCACCGTCCTTGAGGGTGACCACACTAATCCCATGTCTCTTCAGCCAAGAAGAGACACTTCTGGCAGTCAGCACCTCTGTCTGCACACAACTGCCATTCCAATATATTCAGGAGGCTGAGGCAGGAGGATCTCAAGCAGGAAGAGGCCAGTGTTGGGCATATAAAGGGCCCCAAAGACATATAAAGACAGAAAGAAAGACTGGGCCTCTCCGAAGTGAGTCAGGGCTACTGCTTATGGCTCCTCACCACTGCCTGGGGACCCTTCCCGCTCCATGCCACCCGGTGACTGAGTGCTGCCCCTTGCTACCTGTGAGGCTCACTCCGTGGAGGGCAAGCACCGAGCAGGACGCCTGTGTCCTGTGAGTCCCCGCGCTGTGCCAGCAACTCACCTCCCTCTCCCCTTCTCAGGTCAGGCAGGCCTTGAGCCCGATCTAGGTGTCTTGCCCTGTTTGGAAGAGTTTTAGGGTGTAGGAAGGGGTCCCAGGACTCCAGCCAGCATGGCTGGTGGAGAGCGGCTGCCTGTGTCTGCTGCCGAGACCTCCAGCCTGGCCCACACCTCCAAAAGGCAACTGTTTTGTGATTGTTTTTCTCATTTCTGTGTTTAACCACTTTTTACATTTCCTTCTTCTTTGTGGTACTGGGGATTGAACCCAGGGCCTTCCCATTGAGCTAATCCTTTAAATATATTATTATTTTGAGACAGGGCCTTACTAAGTCCCTAAGTTGCCCAGGCTGAGCTCGAATTTGAGATCCTCCTGCCTCAGCCTCCCAAAGTGCTGGATTTACACTACCATGCACACCTGTTCACATTTTTCTTTATGATGCAGACCAGAAGGCTCCAACTCCAGACGATAGAGGAAGTAGCCCCGCACTGGGGCTCCGGATCAACAACTTGGCCTGGGCAAGCAGTACAGGGGTGGGGAGTGGGGGAGGTGGTGGTCCCTGGAAGGAGACCCCGCGTGCAGAAGCCTCTCATTCCTCCAGGGGGCGCTGTGGTCCCGACCGCGGGAGCAAGCCTGCCCACCCTCCTCGCGGCAGCCCGCGTGTCTCGGTCTAGGTTTTTGGTCAAAGGACCGACCGAAAAAGGCGAGTGCAGAGAGATGCAGAGAAAGAGGGAGGCGCAGGAGAAATGTTCGAAGAAATAATAGCTTAAACGCTCCCGTTAAAACTGGGTGTGAGGCGCACACTTATAATTCCAGCACTGGGGAGGCTGAGAGAGAGGGTTGCTGCAGGTTCCTAGCCCACCTGGACTACCAAATCAGTTCAAGCCAGCCTGAACTACAAAGCAACACCCTCATTAACTAACACTATGCTGACCCCACTCGCCTTAAAACACCTAGGTATAAATCCCACAGAACACAAGCCACATGTGCTCGCTCCAGACTGAAAATGCTGGTGACTGAAACACAAGAAAACCTCACAGAAGGGTGAGAGGGAGCCTGTCAGTGAACTGGGAGACAGCGTAGCCAAGGCAGCAGTTCTCCCCAAGTAATGGATTATTTGTATTTATTATTATTATTAATTGTATTTCTATTATTAATTGTAATTCTAATCAAGATCTGAGCTGAAGGGGCTGGGGATTTAGCTCAGCGGCATAAGCGCCTGCCTTGCAAGCAGGCAGTCGTGAGTTCGATCCCTGGTACCGATAAAAAGGAAACAGACAAAAGAAAAAAAAAAATTAAAAAAAAAAAAAAAAAAAAAGATCTGGGCTGAAACCAGGCACGACTGCATATGTCTGTAATCCCAGCACTCCGGAGGCTGAGGCACATCTCTGCGAGTTCGAGACCAGCGTGGGCTATAAAGTGAGCCCAAAGCCAGCCTGAACTGCGTAGTGAGACCTTGTCTAAAAAGACAAAAACCAAAACAAAACAGAAACATCGGCTGGAGCTGGGCATGCTGATGCATGCTTGTAATCCCAGCACTTGGGAGGCTGAGGCAGGAGGGTCACCATGAGTTTGAGTCCTGCTTGTCCCACATAGTGAGTTCAAGCCCAGCCTGAATTATGTAGCGAGACCCTGTCTCAAGAAGACAAAACAAGACAAACAAACAAAAACTCTGAGCTGGATTTTTTATAAATGTAAAGTACATGTAAATTTTCTGAATTTCTGCTTCTAAAATTTCCATGTAAAAGGGAAAGACTCAGGCCAGTCACTCAGACGCTTGGAAATGATGACTTTGTAGGGACTTCATTACCAGCGGAGAAAGGACAGGGTACACGGATCAGTTTGGGAGTGCAAGGGTGTTAGTGAAGGCAGCAGCACCAGCAAACCTCAGTCCCCACCCTGTTTTACACAAAGATTAACCCCGGGGACCAGAGATCTAATATAGAATGCATAAGAGAAAGCAGGGGAGAAGCTTTTCATGACTTGAGGTTTGGCAAGAGGAGTTCTCTGATGTGAGAAAAATAATAAACCGTGCTTCATCGAAGTTAAATACTTCTGTGCTGCTGGCACACACCGATAATCCTGTTCCTGAGGGAGGTTGAGGCAGGAGGATCAACACTCAGCCCAGTCTGGGGAACAAGGCCTGTCTCCACAGAAAACTAAAAAGGGCCGGCTGGCACAACCCCGATCTGATGGCTGGGAAAGGAGAGAGGCTTGAGGGACACCGGCCCCCACCCCGGCTCCAGAAGTGCAGGTGACCCCCTGACCTCCACGCTTACCTTAGAGATGAGCCTGGGCTCCCCAAGGCCGCTGCCTGGTCCTCAGCCTCAGGTCCCCACTTTTATACCCCCAGGAGGAGGCACAGAAACATTTGTCAAGGTCACGGGCACCAGATGGGTGGCAGAGTCACAGCATTCTCCTCTCAGGACCGGGTGGCCTCGGTCCACAGCCCTGGCTGGTCAGCTGCCGGGGGGAGCTCGGCACGGCCCCGGATTATCTGCGCACGGGGTCTTGCTGTGTGTGACCAGCACTTGTGGGGTCACCTTACAGCAGGGCTGAGTGGGGCATGCTGTTCGTCAGAGCCTTTAATCCCAGACAGAGCTGCTGGCAACAGGACATTTGCCGAATCCTCAGTCGCCATGCAGGCGGGGCCAGCACTCGGACAGGGCGCGGGCTCAGAGCAAGAGGACATATTGGATGCAGGCTTAGGACCGGGTTACAGAAGTCTCAGCTTCCAGACTGAAGGCAACTCTGGGGTCGCTGAGCAAGTGTATTTAAGAGTAAGAACTAACGATGGGAGCGGTGGTGACATCCCAGCACTCAGGAAGCTGAGGCAGGAAGACCTCTGTGAGACTGAGGCCAGCCTGAACTGTGTAGTAAGACACTGTCTCAAAAAATAAGACAAAACAAAGAAACAAAAGCTCACTTTGGGTTGTGGGCGCAGCTTAACGGCAGAGTTTAGCTTAGGGTATGCAAGGTCTTGGGCTTGATTCTTAGCAAACACACACATGCACATACATGCACAAACATTCTGCTTTTACTGTTTTTCTGCTGCTAAATGTTATACATGCACAGAGAAGATAGGATAAAAACGCTAGTGAAATATATTTGCTGTAAGATTTTGAGGTGTTTATTTGTTCACTTTGTCTTTTGTCAAATTCCTGGGCTTGAGAGATCCTCCTGCCTCAGCCTTCTGCGTCACTGGGACTCTTGGTGCCTACAGCCTTGCCTGGATAGGATTTTAAATACCTATGTCCTCTTTTTAAAAATCTACAGTGAAACTGAATATTTAGTAGGTGGAAGAGTGTCTTGAAGGATTGGTGATGGCTGGGTGGTCGCACAGAATCCTGGAAAGCCTTTTGGTGACTTTAGCCTTCTCAGACCTCTGTGGAGCTATCAACAAGTTTGCCAAGAAAAAGCTCATAAAATGGAGCCTAATGGGGCGTGGAGGGCCGACAGGAGTTCCAGATGAACCTGGGCTGCGTGGTAAGTGGAGGCCAGCCTGGACTGCACAGCGAGACCCTGGCTCCAAACAAAGGAACAAAGGAACAGACCAGCAGGGTGTGAGGAGATTGAGCTCAGCCCGGAGGACTCGGCTATAGGACTCTTGCCTGGTGTGTGCAAGCCCTGGAGTCCACCCCATACTGTAGAAGAAAAACACCAAGGGATGTGTTGTAATGGCCCAGTGGTCAGGGGTGGCCGCTCTTTGTGGCTTCTGGAACCACATTTCGGTCTCCAGAGCCCACAGCACATGTGGGTCTTTGTTCCTCCTAACTGGGGTCCAGCTGTAGAACCCCGACCTGCCCTGCGGGTTTGCACCCCACCTCCTCCTGCACCCTGTGGCTTCCTGTAAGCACAGGACACAGATTCTCCTGCTAGGGAGAGAAGAGAAAATCAGTTGTCAGCCATGTTTCTTCCCGGTTCTCCACTGAGAACCCCGCCTGGGGCTGGGTCCCTGCAGACCACGCCTGCCTGCCATGTCCTGGTCCCACAGCTGGGGCCCGTGGAGCTGGCTCTGGGAATGACCTGGCCGAGTGCTGGACTTGCTCTCAGTGCCCACCCTGTGGGAGGTGGCCACAGCTTGGGCACACAGACAGGGACGGTGAGCACCTGCACAGGGTGGTCACTGTGTGTCCTCCAAGACAAGGCGGGGCAAAGCCGTGTCCACGGTCCTGGTCACCATGTACCACGCTGGGATGGGAAATCAAAGGTCAACGGATGATGATGAAGATGATGGAGGCCAGGGGAGACTAGCCAGGACAGGCTGCTGGAGGGAGGTGGTTTGCTCAGTGGACACCTTGCAGCATGGAGTCCTCTTGCCCTGGGGGTTCCCTGTGGCTCTCAGGCAGCTGCTCGGCTGAGGGGCGATTGGGATGCACAGCATGGGTGTAGCGCCTCCCACCCAGGACTTCGGGGAGCCAGGGCTGATGCCTCCTCTCTTGGGCAGCCTGTGCTCTCTGGGGACCCAGGGACCATTCCACAGAAGCAGATGATGCTTTGTCCCTGACCCAACTGGACTCCTGGCTCCCAGACTCCCGGTGACCCTGGGCCAGAGTTGCTGGGACACTTTTCAGCTGTCTGCAAGATCTGTGATGGTGTCATCTATTCTAAAGCGTCATCCTGGGAGGAGGAATGGGGAGAGGTGACCCATGACGGAAGAGAAAGGGGGAAGAGGTCCCACGTGGTACCCCTGCCAGAGCAGAGGGAATAAGCCTGAAGGACAGACAGGCTGTGACAGACTTCGGGCGCCCCAGAGGGGTCCCCGAGGCCCTGACAACATGTGCTGGACAGCTCTATGGGGAATGAGAAGCCCTCCCCTGCCGGATGAGTCATTGTCAGGAACTTGCTCAACCCTGCAGGACACGGGGTACGGTGGCACAGGCCTGTCAGCCCAGCTATTGGGAGGCCGAGGCAGGAGGATCACAAGCTCAAGGCCAGGTCTATCTTAAAATAGCAAGGGCCAGGGCTGTAGCTCAGGGACAGAGTGCTTGCCTGGCACACGGAGGCCCTGGATTTAACCCTCAGTACCAAGAGGGAAAGGCCAGCCTGGGAGAGGACAGGTGCCCCATGGCCAGGCCTGGCCGTGTCCTCCTGACCCGACCTTGGCCAAGCCCTTGGAGTCTGATCCCTTAGCTGTCAGACTGGGCCATGGAAGTGGACGGTGTTGTCTTCCTGCTCATCCTCTGAGGACAGATGAGACTGGGCAAGGCTCCTGGGGTGATCATCAGGGCCACCAGCTTTTTGGGGTGTTTGCAGGCACTGGGTGGGGTGCTGAGCTGGGACACTGCTGCCCAGGCACATCCCGCTTCCAAAGGGCACGGCTCCCAGGGCAGCAGGCTGAGGGCTGAGCAGGACCAGAGGCCTCTGTCCTTGGCCACCAGGCTCTCTTTGTGTCCAGGTCCCCCAGTTTTCCACATCTCCCCTTTCAGATGGGGTGGGGGTGGGTCACTGTGGCTGACTTGGGACAGCACAGCACCTTCCCCTCAGCACACCTGGGGACCCAGGGAACCCCAGACCTTGTCTCCCCGCAGGGTGCCTGCCCCAAGGTAGGTGCCGTGGTACTGAAAGCCCACAGCCCCTAAGGTGTGTTTCGAGCCAGGTGCCAGCTCTGCAAACGGGGAGTCCAGGGCTGGGAGTGGTGCTCAGGGTGGAGCACTGACCGGAGGTCCCGTGTTCCACTCCCAGGGCTAAAGCAGGGAAAATGTATTTGCCAAGTGTGGTGGGGCTCACCTGTAACCCCAGCACTTGGGGAGGCTGAGGCAGGAGGATGGCAAATTGGGGCCTATTCTGGGTGACTTAGGGAGATCTTGTCTCAAAATGAAAAGGTAAAACTGAGTGTGGTGGTGCATGCCTGTAATTCCAGCACCCAGGGAGGCCGAGTCAGGGGGATGGCCCATGTCCAAGGCCAGCCTGGCTGCACAGTGAGTTTGAGGCCAACTGAACTACATAGAAACACCTTGCCTCAGTAATAATAATTCAGAGGGGAAAAACCCACTACCGTGAAGCACCTGTCAGCTCGACAGCCAGTACTCCTCGGGTGCATTTTGGTCAGAGTTTTCGCAGGCTCCAGTGTGTGCTCAGAGATGGCACAAATATGACACACAACTTTGTATCACTGTTTACAACTAACCGTACTTCATTCTCTCTATGACGAGCCGGGTGTGGTGGTATACACCTGTATTCCAGCACTGGAGAGGCGGAGGCAGGCAGATCACTGGGAGTTTGAGGCCAACTTGGACCAAACAGCAAAACCTTGTTTTAGAAACCACAAAACAAGGGCTGGGGATATAGTTCAGTGGCACAACACCTGCCTGGCAAGCATGGGGCCCTGAGTTTGATTTCCAGTTTCAACCCTCACCCAAAAAACCCCAGTAGAATTGTCTCTTTTTTTTTGCTTTTTCATTTTTATTGGTACCAGGGATTGAACTCACGACTGCCTGCTTGCAAGGCAGGAGCCCATGCCGCTGAGCTAAATCCCCAGCCCCTGAATTGTCTTAATTGACGCTACTTAAGATATTTCTGGCCAGTCCCACATTAGGATTATTCTTTAATGACCTGTAGATTTAATAGTTTAAAAGAAAGTAATAGGAAATTTTTTTTTGTAATAGAAATTCTTTTAAAAAGTTACACATATCAACAAACACAGACTTGTATTCAGGAGGCTGAGGCAGAAGGATCGTTGTGCATTCAAGACCAGCCTGGGCTACAAAGTGAGGTCAAGGCCAGCCTGGACTGCATAGGTAGACCCTGTTTCAAAAAGAAAGAAAGAGAGAAAGAGACTTCAGTGCTAGGTAGGACTTTTTTTTTTTTTTTTGGTACCAGAGATTGAACTCATGGCCACTGAGCTAAATCCCCAGCAGAATTTTTTTTTTTTAAACAGCTTTTGTGAAGTGAAGCTGCTGGTTCCTAGAAGCCCAGGGATAGGTGTGGAAATTGCTCATTATTTTAAAGCAGCCAACAGCAGATTGTCTTTAGTTCCAAACCAGAGCAGTGGCCTTGAGATTCGCAAGGTACCTACACTGGAGCCTCCAGGAGGAGGCAGGCAGCAGCCAGCAGGAGAACGGAGCCCATGGATGGCGCGGATCCCGGAGTACCGGAAGCCGGGCTGTTGTCCCTCACGTGGCCCTCTGCAGGGACAGAGAGGTCGTTAGAGGACAGCCATCCGCAGCGTGGACTCCTGTGAGCTTCCTCTCCCTGGACACTCGTCCCTGGTCCCCGCCCCAGCAAGGGACACCTGGCGTGGGGCCACCTTGTTGAGGCTCTGGTGCTGGGAGACAGCACAGGGGGGCCCCAAATCCCAGGAGAAAACCAGGGCTCTGCTTGTTCAGTCACTGGACCTGGGCTTACAGACCCCTGTCCTGGGCCTGCTGATGGGAGTGGGGGCCCCTCTTGTGCAAGGGGGGGGGCATTTGCTGTCATTCACTCCCCACCCCCAGGACACATTCAACACAGGACAGCAGCAGCCTGGGGTCAGAGGAGTCGGTGACGGGTGTGCCCAGTCTGAATTTGGGGCTGGGTGGGGACAGTGCCTCCAGGGGGCTCCTCTGGGTCCCGCCCTTCTCTCCTTTCTCCTTCAAGTCAGTAAACTCAAGGGGACGGGCCCCATTCCTGGGGGGCCTTTTGGGAGAAAGGAAGGGGTGGCTGAGGACATCAGGGACAAGGAAGCCTGGGGGCCCGAGACCCCAGGCCTCCCACCCACCCTCCGAGTGGAGACCCACAGGAGTCAGTGCGGGCGGCAGGATGGCGGAACCTCAGGGACAGCATTCCAGGGGTGCCCAGATCTCTGGCCCTTCCGGGCTTCCTAGGCAGCCAGCTCTGCCCTGTCACGGGGGCACCCCTGCTCACCACATCCAGGGAGGAAGGCCTGGGGGAAGCAGTGGATCTGGCCCAGCCAGCACTTGCACATTAAACACTTTCGGGGCAGCCAGGAGCCATGGGGCACGGAGCCACATTTCCTGAAAAGGGACAGGTGACAACTCCTCAGTTTTCTTTTTGAGACAGGATCTTGCCATGCAGTTTAGGCTGGCCTTGAACTCACTAGGTAGCCTGGGCTGCCTTTGAACTTGCAAAGATCCTCCTGCCTCAGCCTCTTCCCGAGCCTTTGAAATGACCTCCCTCTACTCCTGTGGCTTACTGTGTGTGTGTGTTGTGTTCACAGTTGCGTCCATAGTAGGATGGGGGGCAGGCACAGAAGGACCCCAAGATGCAAGTGCCCCCATTCAGACAGCAGGTTTTGTTTAGCTTCTTACCTGAAATGAAGAGGGAGGGAGGGGATGGGAAGCCCACAGTGCTGGCTCCCATCGGAGGTGTGCCCCGCCCACGGACTGCATCTCCCTGTCTTGTGGGTAGATGTCTGGACCCTCCCAGGACAGGACTCTGCTCTCCAGACCTCTGAGCAGTGACACCAGTCACAGGTGGTTGCCAATGTGACTGCCCACCCAGCAGACCCTCTCTCGGTGAAAGGCTCACAAAGGAGCCACTGGGGGGGACAGAGGTGACCAAGGACAGGTGGCTCTTACTGTCCTGGATTCCCACTGGTGGCACGAGCTGGGAGGGCCTGGGACGAAGGGGCAGTGCCCCCTGGGCATGGCTGCTGTCCTCTGTGCGGGCTAGGTCCCCCAGGGGCGGGCCAGCAGGTGCCTGGCGGCTGGAGCCTGAATGACAGAATCAAGGCCTGCAGTCTGTGTCTGAGGCCCCAGGAAAATTGGGAGTGACCAGAAGAGCAAAGACACCAGGGCGGGGTTTGGCCCAGGGGTGGGGTGTCCTTCCCCGCCCCGCAGGTCCTGGTCCTGGATTCCCCCGCAGTATGAGAAAAAAACTAATCAAAAAAGCACAGATTCCCTTACCAGCTTCTGCTCCCAGGTCAAACGCGTTGGAAATGGCCATAATCAAAATCACCCTGGGAAGAGGAAATGGGGCAGCGTCAGCAAAACAAAGCATCCCAGGGTCCCCTCAGCCCCAGGGTGATGCCTCAGGCAAAGGGGAGGAACCTCAGAGCCCACTTTCTCTTCCCCCTCATGCAGTGCCTAACACAGGTAACAAAATGTTGAGCACAGGTCACTGCTATCTAATTCTTTCACATATGTACACATGAATGACATGCACATAATTTTAAGTAGTTGCAAAATCCTCTCCTAGGCTGGGTGTGGTGGTGCAGGCCTGTAATCTCAGCCTTCAGGGAGGCTGAGGCAGGCTGGGGTGCACAGTTAAGTTCAAGGCCAGCCTGAACTACAAAGGAAGACCTTATCTCTCTCTCTCTCTCTCTCTCTCTCTTTTTTTTTTTTTTTTTTTTTTTGTCTTTTTCATTTTTATCGGTACGGGGATCAAACTCAGGACTGCCTGCTTGCAAGGCAGGTGCTTATGCCACTGAGCCAAATCCCCAGTCCCTGAAGACCTTATCTCAAAAAAAGAAAACAAATTAAAAATAGCTATTGACATTTTAGTGTTTTGGTGAGTTCCAGTTTACCAATGAGTTCATTTGAATCTGTCATTTAAAATTATTTCAGGTTTAAAAATTTTAGTACTATTCTCAACAATTCGGCAAACCTGCCTCCAGAAGGTGATTTTTAACTCTGTAAATGGCTCTGCACCTCCAGGAATAGGAAAGAGTCTTTCTCAGGCAGAGCCACCTACGGCAGCGGAGGACGTCTCAGTGGGAATTCCCAGGTTTTCCTGGAGCAGCAGCCTTGAGGTTGCTGCACCTCTAAGACTCTAGGGAGATAAAACTCGGGCAGAGGAAACCTCCTAGCAGCGGGAAGGTAGTGACCAAGATGAGTTCCTACCTGGAAGAGATGTGCTTCATCCTCCAGCCTTCTGGAGCTCGTAACTGTAGGGGGAGACACAGACGCTGACGGTGGCTTCTGCTCACAGGGTCTCGGCCACAACACCCAGGCTTAAGCTGGGACCTCCAGACCACGCACTAGAGGACAGCGTGACCCGGGCGAGACCCTGCCCCGGGTCTCGGAGATGCCAGAGCCCAACTGTCTGGGACAGTAGGGGAGCCAGGGCTCTAGAGGATGTTTTGACTTTGGGCAGGGACTTCTGGGACCCTCAGGTGGGCGGGAGGCGGGACTGGAACCCAGACAAAGCCCAGCGCTGTGGGCTGGGTGGGGAGACACTGGGGGTTGGGGGGGCGGGTCTCACCCTTTGGGCTCCTCTGCCGGACTGCGGGGCCGGTCCGTCCCTGAGGACGAAATGGATGCCGCTCTTCTCTTCTGCAGGGAAAAGGCTGAGCAGTTTTTGACTGGGGTCCATGCTGCTGAGGTGCAGGGGTGGTGGGCAGCCTTTGAGGTTTCACCCGCCAGCATTAATTACTGAAATTTGCTTTTTTACCTTTGTTTTCCTGAGAAAGAGGCCTTAAAACTGCGCCTGCCCAGGGGACACTTGTGTGCAGGGCTGAGGCCAGGTGGGGAGGTGCTGAGGGTGGGAGGCACCTGAGAAGCCTTCTTGGAGTGCACCTGGGAAAAGCCGTGGGCACTTGGCCGGCATTGGGCCATCAGCCTTGCCCTGGGCTCGCTATGGGTATCCTGTGGACAGGGTCTCCTGACTTTACCCAGGCTGTGCTCAAACTTGTGATCCTCCTGCCTCCCAGAATGCTGGGATCACAGGCAAGCACCCCCATGCTTGGCTTTCCCTCGACCACCAGCGCACATGTGTGCCTGCTCCCGGACCCTTGCAGCCCAGCACCACGACATCGGGGACTGAGCAGTGTTTCCTGGCTGGTTCCACGATGACTAAGGATGAGGTGTGCATGGGACAATCTGGTCCCCTGATCCCTCCGACCTCCAGCTTCCTCGGTAGAAACGCCCAGTCAGGGTGGCTCGAGGCTTTAATTCTAATTTCTAAAGTGAAGCCCGGCTCTACCTGACATATCGGTGTTCAGGAAGCTTTTATCAGGCCCCACGCTCACCGGCCTCAGGTCCTTGGCTTTAGGCCGAGCCAGGCAAACTGGCAGCATCTGTGGGCCCCTGTGCCACCTGGGGTCACAGCTCCCTTCTGGCCACAGTGGGGTTTGGTGGACCCCAGCACTGTTCCTTGCAAGGGGATGGAAAGCCTCTTTGGGGCGCCTGTAGACTGGGGTGCCAGGGAGGGGATAGGCAGTCGCTAAGCACCGTCCCTGAGAGCCCCATGATGGTTTGCAGCTGGCTCTGCTGGTGGGGGCAGGAGTGGACTCAGCGCCAAGCGCCCCTGGATGCCACTGCCCCTGGTCCCCACAGAGGCTGCCCAGGCTGAGCTGAGCGCTGTGTGCCGGAGGCCCGGGCCTGGGGCGGGGGAGGAGGACAGGCAGGTGCCCTTGGTCCCAAACATTCCACAACTGTCTCGGGTCAAGGTGATGGAGCTGTGTTTCCTTGGACATCAAACCAGCCAGGCAAAACCAGGGAATCCAGAGCCGTGATGGAGGCACAGACTGCCAGTTGCAGGCCAACCAAGGGCCAGGTGCTGGAGGGACAGACCCCAGCTTTCGGTCCGAAGCCAGCCTGACCCCGTTTATAGCTGCATCCATACAGGATGAAACCCTCCCTTCAGCCAAGAGCAGACGCTCTCATCGGGGTGGTGCATCCTCCGTTCATTGTCCTCCCACCCCCAGGGTGGTGGGACTCGACTAAGCCATCAAGGTGAAGCCCCGCAGCTTCTGGTCTGAAGGACATTAAGGCTAAAGTCTGGCTGGGTCATTACCATGCTAATGGCTTTCTGTTTTTCTCCACGAGAACTTAACAAACAACAACTCTGGAAACCCATTGGCATTTGCCGCTGGTATTTCCGTGGGGCATAAAGGCTGGATTCCTGCATACAGAGGTCTCTGGTCTCACAGTTGGGAAGACAGACTCCAGCTGGGCGCCAGGTGGGGTGGAGCCAAGGCTGGGGTGGGGGTGTTATGTGCAGGGCTGGCTACCAGCAGAAATGTGGTCCCGAGGTTCTGGAGACATGCACGGATAAAAAAAGTACAAAATATACAGGAAGTCTGGGTATGGTGACGCATACCTGTAATCCCAGCATTCGGGAGGCCGAGGCAGGAGGATTGCTGCAAGTTTGAGTCCAGCCTGGGCTATAAGATGGGTTCGAGGGACCTGCATAGTGAGACCCTATCTCAAAAAGACAAGAGAAAAAGAAAGAGAATAAAGGAAAGGGAGGGACAGTTTGGGGAGAGGATTCTACCTAGTCTCTGGGCGAGTTCATTTTTAAATTAATTATTCTCTTAAAACTGGATCATCTGGGGCTGGGGATTTAGCTCAGCGGCATAAGTACCTGCCTTGCAATCTCGTGGTTGTGAGTTTGATCCCTGGTACTGATTTAAAAAAAAAAAAAAAGAAAGAAAGAAAGACTGGATTGTCTACATTTGGCAGTGAATTTAACTCCCCTGTACATAGATACCCTGGTGAACATCTGGGAGAGAAACTGTCCCGTAAAGCCCTAGCCCTGGAATTGCTTGATTAAAGGGTGGCCATTTGCAAATTATTTTGTAGGTTGCATCATGGGCCTAGTTTCTGTTAATTTGGTACATGAAAAATAGTATTTTGTTGTTGTTTGGAGTTGTGCTGTTTCCTGTGCTTATTGGTTGTTTATTTTGTTTAAGTCAGGGTCTTTCTGTGTAGTGCAGGCTAGGCTGGAACTCTACCTTCCTGCCTCAGGCTCCTGAGTGCAGGGATTACAAACTTGCACACCCACCCTGGCCTCAAAGGAAAGAAAGACAAACAGTGGTGAGTGCTTATGGCTCCGCCCTGAATATGCGGAACTCAGTATAGCTTTTCACCCTACACAAAGCCAGATCCCCCATGCCCTTTCTGGAAGCCTGGGGAGTGGAGGGAAGTCGGGCTGAGACCAGATGTGAATATAATTTAGACTCACATGAGTGAGGCTTACTGGTGCCTGCCTGGCAAGGGTGAGGTCCTTAGCTCGAGTCCTGAAACGCCCCCCTCAAAATAAAGAATTATAAGGGCAATCAAAATATTTGGTGATTGTTTACATTTTAAAAAATTTACCAAAGGGCCGAGATACAGCTCCATGGCACAGCAAGTGCGAGGTCATGAGTTCAAGGTCTCGAAGGATACTCCAAGCTTGTCTGGAATTCATTGGAATCCTCCTGCCTCTGCTTCCCAAGTGCTGAGATCACAGGCGTGTGCCACCACGCTTTAATTCTAGCCTCTTTCTGAAGCAGTTCTGGAGTCCTCTTTCCCAAGTGTCTTTACAGCTGTGATCAAAAATACGGTGACTGCTGCTGCCTCACAGCACCCTCCCGAAA